AACAATAGACCTCTAGCAGAATAAATACTTCATTTACATGTCCTTCACTTGGTTGACACCCGTGAAGGACATTAAAGCCGGCCTTATGGCTGAGAAAGAGAACAATCTCTAAAAATAATAATAATAATAATAATTTTTATTACATTACATTATACATCATACATTACATTAATTTGATACAAGTCATGGTGTCGTAGTACAAAATTAAAAACTCTGACCTCTGTACTAGGAAATACCTGTATCACAGAGATCAGTGCCCTCATGTATGGTATCATTGTGAGCCTAGTATAGACTTTACATAACAAATTAATTCAAATTAAGATCAACAAAAAGCAAACAGAGAAGACAAAGAATGTAATTAAATTAAATAAACAAAATGGGATGAAAAATAAATGGTAGTTATGTGTGGTGTGTATGTGTGTGTGTTTGTGTAAGAATGTGAAAGTGTGTGTGTGTGTGTGTGGTGTACCTGTGAGATTATGAATTTGTTTGAAACCTAACGCGTGACAGCAAGGGTGTATGCGAAAGAGAATGCACTTTTCCTAGATTCTAGTCCCCCACCACTACAGACGGCCCCCCATCAGCTCCTCAGTGCTGTGATAGTCCAAGCCAAGCAGAAATTTTCTTACCACTTCTTTACATTGAAATTTGCTAATGGAAAAGATGCTTAGTTTTTTATTCAAGCTATTATACAATAAAGCACTATTAATATAATATTGACGGTTTGCGAAAGATGTCCTTCGAGACTCCACGATAAAAATGCGATGTTTGAGCCTGCTAGATAGGGGCTGCAGAGGCCGACCCGAGTGTCTACGGAGAACCGATGAAAACACGTACAATTGCCTAACTGATAGGACTTCTGCCCTCTCATACAAGAGTTTTGTGGAATAGCGTCGGGGCAAGAAAAGCAATACCTTCAGGACAGCTCTTTGAGCTCTCTCCAGGCGGATAAAGATACTCTGTGCGGCACCTCCCCATACTGGTATGCAATAAGTAAGAATCGACTGACAGAGAGCAAGATAAGCCATTTTTAAAATTTCTCCGTCGGCAGATTTACGTAGTTTTTTAAAGATGTAAATTAATCTACGTGTCCTAGTTGAGAGTACATCAATGTGTTTGTGCCAGTTGAGATTCCGGTCAATGTATACTCCCAGGTATTTGGCGTCCTGCACCCTGGACAGGACCATACAATCACAGTTAAGAAAAGAAGAACAGGTATGGGCTTTAAGAGAGTAATAAAATGGCGGCTGGAGATTGTTTCTGATAGCAAATGCGACATAAACAGTTTTCTCGATGTTAAGAGTAAGGAGACTATTGTTTAGCCACTTCATTACGGAGGACAGTGCTAGCTCAGCATTATAAAAACAGTCGTCCCAATTCTCTCCAGAAACTAACAAGGCTGTATCATCAGCATAGGCAACAATACTACAGTGTGCCAGAGGTAGTTTACACAGGTCATTTATGTAAATAAGGAACAAAGTTGGTCCCAGTATACTCCCCTGGGGAACACCGTATGCTATCCCAAGTTCATCACTAACGTACTCCCCAATTTTAACAACCTGAGTCCTGTTGTTGAGATAATCGCGGAAGATATCCAAGACGACCCCACGAACCCCCATCCCCTCCATCCTCCCCAACAAGACGGGCGCAGGGACGGTGTCAAATGCCTTAGATAAGTCAAGGAAGATGCCCAATCCTCTGCGCCTCCCATCCAGAAACCTGGCTGCTTGTTGCGAGAAAGCCAGAACAGCATCCTCAGTACTAGTATTTGCTCGAAAACCAAATTGATTGCTAGCCAAAATTTTGTTTGTGCTAAGGTAACTAACAAGGCTCTTATTTAGTATACGTTCAAGTATTTTTGAAAAGGTAGTCAGAATTGAAATAGGTCTGTAATTGTTAACCTCATCCCTGCGCCCAGACTTGTGAATTGGGAGGACCAGGGCCTTTTTAAACACGTCGGGGAAAACACCATTGGTAATAGAGAGATTACAAATGTGAGTAATGATGGGCACCAGAACTTTCCTGGAAGCTTTTATTATTCTTGCTGGTACGCCATCGTATCCCACAGCAGAGTCAGTCTTTAGATTTAAAATGATAGCCTCGACTTCCTCACATGAGACCTCCAGAAGGACCATCGACCCAACTGGTTTCAAAGGGCCTGCAAGTGAAGTGTTGGAAGGATTAGGGTTTATACTTAAAGCTAATTTTTTCCCAATGCTGGAAAAGTAATCATTAACCAGATTGAGTGAGGACACGGGAGAATCAGACAGCTTCAAAAGTTCAGAAGGGGGCGAACGATTTATCTGCATGTCAGACACCTTTTTTATCACTTCCCACGTGGCCTTGGGGTTGTTCTTTGCTTTAGAGAATTCCTCTTTTTCGTATGCTTGTTTCAGTTTATTTAAGAGAGAATTACAAAAGTTACGATATCTGGTATACGAAATTTTCAACACAGCATTATTTTTGTCCTTATTTAATTTCAGGTGCATTTTATCACGATTGCGTATACAACGCAGGAGGCCAGGTGTAATCCACGGTTTCAAACATCTGCTTTTCCTAGGGAGCGTCACAGTCCGAGTAAACCTACTTACTAGCTGTGATAGATCTTCTGTAAGGAATTTTGCCGACAAATTTGGATCAGACATATCCAGTATTCGGGACCAATTGTGGTTATTGATGGCTTCAGTTATAGATTCATAGTCGAGCGTGCACTTAATTCGATGAGCATCAATGTACCGCTTCTTATTAGCAAGGAATAAAAATACCGGTTCATGATCTGTGATAGATGAATCAACAACAATCGTGGTGGCAGAAAGACTGGTTTTTAAGAGGACGTGGTCCAGGCAGTTAGAACCCCGAGTAGGCAGGTGATGAGTAGGCAAAAGTCCGTGAGAAGCGATGCACGTTAAATATTCATCAGAATTACGATCGTTGTTGCCATGTTTAATGTCGATGTTTATGTCCCCCATAACCACTACAGTTTCAGTTTGCAACTTGAGTATGTCGTTTAAACTATCTATGAAATTAGTTAAGTCCTTATAGGAGGGAGAACGATATAGTAGAATTACTGTTATTTTATCAATCTGACAAACCAAACAATTAGCGTCGATAAACTGCGGCTCAGCCACATTAGCCGCAAGGGATGACTTTACATATATGGCACAACCATCGTTTTGATTGTGGGTATTTTTGGTGTAATATGAGTTATAATCACCCAAAATAGGGAGCTGCGACATTTTATTTAGCCAGCACTCCGACAACAGAATTATATCACATTGGAAACTCATCGTCATCATAAGCGGCAACAATTGACTAAAGTTTTTATTTAAGCTACGAATATTCAAATGTAATATCTTTAGTCCGTGAGTCGGTTGTGTAATATACTGGTGACAGTTTACGGGTGGACATCGGTATAATTTAGAAATGCTTAGGGAGTCTAGTTCGTGACACATCGAGTTAATGGTAGTCATTTTTAAAGTAGGTAAGACCGTATAAAATGTCACAAAAAACATGCCATGTTATTATTAATTTGCCAGTCTCTATTGATTGCCCCGAACGTACTGTTTCAAACAGGTTTCTTGCTATATAAAAACATTGGAAAAGTAAACAAAACAATACAGTTACGATAAAGTGTTGTGAGTTGTCGTGTAGTTTGAGTAGGTGTGTAGTAATTATTAAGTAAAAAGTTTTTGTGGTGAAATAAACAAGTTTAGAATATACAAAAATGGCTATGATTATGAAATGTATGAAGAAACAGGACGTCGTCGGTGCTCCTTCAGTTATGAGTCATTGCGGCACTGGTATGTCACGCAGACTTTGTTCTGATTTAATCAAAATCTGCTTAGCACCTTCAGCCTTTCTTAGAAAAATTTGACCGTTTGTAGTCCAGCAGAATTTGTATTCATTTGTCTTGGCGAATTCCCGGGTCGCAAAGAAGAGTTTTCTATGAATAAATAAAAAAAAGTATCCTATGTCGGTCTCCTGGCTCTAAGCTACCTCCCTACCAATTTTCAACCAAATCTATTCTGCCGTTCTTGAGTTATAAATGGTGTAACTAACACGACTTTCTTTTATATATATAGATTGTTGGCATATTTAACTTTTAGATTTTTGTATATAGCTACATCTATTTTATGTTTTTTTTTTATTTCACTCCTAATTTTTTTGCATTGTATTTATTGTATTGTTTGTGCCTGGTGTTGTACCGAATAAATTATTTTTCTTTCTTTCTTTATATGGATTAAAAAGCGATGTTAGTTATAAATTATTGTCCTTTAAAATTGCATGCGTTGCTAATCTTGTAGCTTGTCGCAGAATCCTTGTCCAATCTTTGATATGGACTAGTTATTTTGAGCTCCCTATAGACTAACGCATGACTATAGGTATGGTAACTTCTCCCACCTTCTTGCCTATATTCGATAGTGGACGTTTGGTGGTAATTATGACGATGGTAACTTTGCATAATCTGGGAATTGAACTTGAGATTTTTAGTCGATCGGTCGTATTTGCGAACAACGAAGTTGCCTTGTTTCCATAATATGTATTGACGTACATGTTGCTATTCATTAATGTATATTTTAAAAGTAGCTAATTATGCTCTAATAAATGAAAATATCTGAAGAATAATAGATAAAAAAAGATGGCAACAAAATCGATGTTCAGATTCGTGAGTGTGACTTTTTTCGACGTTTAGAGTGTGAAATAGATTTTTTTCCCCTCTTTGGCAAACGAGTCTCCTAAATAGATTTGGTATTTGTAGTCTGTGACATATTAAATTGGTGACAGTGACATGACAATATGACATTGACATTCATGACACTGACGACCGGCCCACATTGTTTTCTTGTATTGTGTGTGTGAGTTGTTGGTTGTTGAATCAAGAAATATTATCGATAGAAATATAGCGATTATAAACTGCATTGAGTGTGAGAAACTGACTGTGACTTACTTGTGTTATCAACTGTAGCACGAACAATTCAGTATTATAAACAGTTGCAACCATGACAGAAGCTATCGTCAAAAATATTGACAATGCGTGTGAAACTGCTGAAGAATTTACAAAAGTATTCTATAAACAAGTTGATAATAACCGGCATTTAACTTCCAAACTATATCTGGACACCGGCCTGCTAGTTTGGAATGGAAATGGAATAACTGGTAACGACAAGATACAAAAGTTCTTGATGGACTTACCCGCCAGTAATCATGTGCTGAAGACATTAGATGCACAACCAATTTCTGAGAATTTGGTTTCAAATAAGCTCACATACCTTATTCAAGCTTGTGGAGATGTAACCTATCAAAATGACGACAGCAAGAAACCGTTTCAACAAACATTTGTGATTGTAGCTGTTGATGGAAAGTGGAAAATTGCATCAGATTGTTTCAGATTACAAGTGCCGTATAATAGTTAAGAAGTAGTGTGTACTTTAAGGTATGTCTGTCTCTTTAGTACATGTATTTGCTGTGTAATACACTGAATATTTGGTAGAGGTTCTGGTGTGAAATTGACACAACTGTGACTCATCAATCATACCTACTGATTGTTGTATGTATTTCTCTTGTATTTTGTTGTTGTTTTCTACAGTAATTTGCCTTATAAATTTAAAACAAGATCAGCCTAATCATATGTACAAACTGAGAATTTTCTTTAACTTTAAAATAAATGTTGTTACTGTTTATAACAACAATATGGAATATTGTATTATGTTGTGCAACACACATTTGAGCATAAGATCATGTTTATGCCTGTCTATACCACACATCATTATACACTCCTAAAATTAATATTCTAATGAAGTTTGTTAAAAAACCATACTTTGGGTGGCATTCTTAATTTGTAAATAAATTAGTAGGTATCAACTACTTGATTAATATGTGTGAGTAATACATTATTGTTCTCTTATTCATATTTAAAGCTAAGGAAATGTGGCAAGATTATTTTCAAATTTTAAGAATTTTTTTATGAATCTTGGTTTGTGACTATGTATGTGTCAACTTATTTTGAATGAAAACTGTTTTGACAGGTTGTTTCTTTGCTAATTGGTCTAATTCATATCCTATATTAATAGGATATAGAACATGTAAATAAACAAAAATTCTAGTATCTAAAATTAAAATAATATGTAGCCATTTTTTAAATAATTGAAATAAAAATCATTTAAAAATTTAATTTAATATACAGTAACTATAATTATTAATAATATATACAATACATGAATATTTAAGAAAAACAATATTTTCACTAAAAATAGGTTGTATCCAACCCATGTTTTTGTGACTAGGGCTCCAGTCCATGTAGCCCTTTATGTGTTGTGTTCTATTTTATAATGAGTATATTTATTGTTTCAGATTTTTGTATTGGGGAACCTAACCATCATCATCACCAATTATACAAAAATATATTTTAGCACTGATCTTGGAGATGAACTGAGTTTAACTTACTCAAGACTCAAGAAGTAAGATAAATGAGAGATCAGTTCGATAAGATTATCTTTACAGCAAGATGTTATCACTGGCTGGAAGAGAACAAATATCTTCTACTACAAGGCATATGAAGACACATTTATTTATTTTTATAAATATTGTACAAAACAGCTATGAATAAATGTCATGTTTAAAACAAATTATCTGGGATTATATTTTACAAATTGTTAGAATTTATTATAACTTGTAAGTAGGTAACGGAAACTAGATCAGGTTATTATAGTTTAGAATAGGAACCTAAAAATGATTTGCAGTTGGGACAATGGTGCTGTGTTTCCTTAAATACTTTTGTTAGGTAGGGGACTGCAGCAACACAACAAAGGCAACACCAACTGAAAAGAATAAGAGATAAAGTGTTGATTAATAATTACAACTTGTTTATCAGCATGTTTATAGCACAAAATAAATTATATTCCACATACCAAAAGACTCCACAAAGAAAACCAGCAAGCATATGAGTTCTCTGTGTGTTTATATGTGTTACAGCAGTGACAATCCTTTCATCACATTTGGGGCAATTATAGACCATCGGCGAATCCTTTAGTGGCGCGTGTATGATTACAGTTCGAGACGTTGGCTGATTGGTCACTGGTTCAGGCACAGTGTTGGCGGAGTTGAACGTCGCATCATATGACGGCGGTGGCTCTCTGTGATACACAGCTTTCTCCTCTTCACTATTTAAATACAACTGCTCTCTCACATTGTCACTTTGAGCCGGATTTACACCACTATTCATATCCATGTTAGTAAAATATATTTACTAAAACATTTTCCATCTATGAACACAGTATTGATTATGATTATACACAAAAATTTACCTCCTTATCATTACTGATTGCTACTATCTTATCTACACGTCAGATACTTAGTGTTGGGTACCTACAAGAAATGGCTCATATAATATTCTTTTATGTCTTATTGTCGGTACATATTATTCATTTCTATATGTAGATAACTTAGATTGTGCGAAGATTAGGTGTTGCAAGTACGTAAGTCCTGCGCGTGTTAAGGATATTGGTTTTATACGTACAAGTACTATCAAAATGATTCAAGGACAAGTAGGTACATTGTAGAAGGAAGGCAATTAATGAGTTTTCCTCTATTAACTTTTATGTACCTGTTATTAGGAGAAACTCGGAATATTCTTAATCTGTACAACGCACAACGGTAGGTATATTACGTATCTCCACTGTAGAAGAGAACGCAACCCTACTATGATCTTTATCTTCCACCAGATTCATTCATCTAATATTATATTCTAGGGTAGTCACTAGTTGTATCTAATATAAACTGCAATCCGAAGGCCAAAGAAACTAGCTGTATAATAATTTGCTACCTAATTAATTGTTGTGTATGATCTTAATATCGACGTCGCCTGCCACGCTTCTATAACGGCGATTAGTAAGCATGTAACTTGTCTTCTATTGCTATTAAAACTCTTAAGGCGTAGTAGAGTGTCATAATTTTAAGTATGTACAATGCGCCGAAAAATACTAGCTGTGTAACGGTGTAACAGCGCGACTTGTAACGGTTGACTGCACGGTGCAGTGGTAGGCGGACCGGTTACTGCACACCGTATCGCGGGTTCGATTCCTGCACAGAACAATTCTTTGAAAATCTTCGTGTCTGTCTGAATGTGAAAATGAAATAAATAAGGTTACTTAAAATTATTTTTTTTGATATTCTAGTCACTTAGGTATTTGGTTCAACTAGTTGTTTGTTGCGCCATTTATAATACTAGTGAGTATCTTTAAAATCCAACAAAATTCGACCGTTTACGTGCGTCCTACACATTACACACCCTTCTATTTTTACATTTGGTATGAATTTTATTTATTGAATTCAAATTCGAATATCTTAATATGTAGAAGGAGGATTAGTTTAAGGAAAAAGTATAGTATATAAATACCTTATAATATATTATATTTTGTTAACAGTGAATGAAGAACATTTTACGTACAATAGGTATTACATTACCCCTTAAAATTGATAATTTATATTTTAAAATTTTCGCTTTTATAACTAACTGGAGATAACATACGGCCAATAAAAAAGTACGAAATTATTACGTGTTGCCACTGTAATTACTAGTTACATACATTATATTATAAATTACAATTTTCGTGGTTTTACATTCAGTCTAATTTCAGTCATATTGTCCACTGTTCATGGCAGAATTTTTATTCCATTATTTTAAATAAATAAACTTTATTCAGAAAACTAACTGTTTGTTAAAGCCTAAAACTGTTGGAATGCCTCAATAGCTTTTTATATCTAAAATTTAATTTAGTAAAAAAAATCGTTAAATTTCTAATTCCATTGGTTGTCATAGGAAAATACTATCAAAATTAAAAAGATATAAAATAACAATTAACTACAATGATACAATTTTTGCAATAGGTATAAGTTTGACTTATTCATGGTGTACAGTGGGCTAAACTTGGACGCAAATGTTAGGCACACCTAAATTGGAGATTTCAAATGTAAGTAGCGTGAGAATATAAATAGAATTACTTAAATAACAAATTTGGAAGTTTGGGTAGGAACAGACATAAATATTTATGTTTCAATTGGCATTTTAAACTAAAAATAACGGTTTATTCACATAAATATACTGAGAAAAGCTCTACTAGTTTCGATTTACAGAGGGAATCTTCCTCATGATCCGCGTGCGCGTTCGCGGAGACATCGCGCAGCCTACGTTAGTAAACCGTTATTTTCAGTTAACTGGACATTTTACATGTTAATAGTAAAATAATATTATTTACGTATGTCACAAACAAATATGAGGGAGACCATAACTATTTGGAATGAAAATTATGGAAAATACAGATAAATGACATTGTGAAATAATCAGCCGCTTTCTTACTCTTTGTACCTTACAGTAATGTATTTAAATAGCACTGCCAAAAATTTAAACATAAAACACATTTTATAAGAGATAGAGAGGCCTTAATTTAATGTATTCTATACAATTATTTCGATTTCGTATATAGTTGATTAATGAGACATCTGAATCATAAAACATTTCCCATTCAGAGTCTTCTTACGTTTAATTTGACTTACAATCATAAGAGAGTTAAGGAAACCATTATTGCTTCTTACGCACAGCTTCACCTGAATTGTTAACCACACTTGTGTACCGTGAACCTGTGAGTAATTGCTAGCATTACTTATTCAATAAACAGAACACAGGTGAAGTAGTATTGTGCTGAAAACCATTGTGGATTAGGACATTTTTTATATTAGTCATAACACTTAAGAATTTACAAGCATTATTAAAATAACAAAGACCATTGAATATATGGAGCATGCCTCTAAATAACTTGATGGCACCATAATTGCTTCAGAGAAATTTATGTATTTTTTATATCTTTTTCTCGTTTTCATTGATGAAGCCAAAATCTTCACATCAAAATATGATTGTAGCGTCTTTCCCAATTACTTAACACTTGCTACTTTTACCAATAAAAGTATTGCAATTGGGGCAGTAGTGCTCTGCATCCTTGAATGTATCAAAGCAGTATGGGACGAGTCCAAGACAGCAGAGAGAGCAGATCCTGCAATAAAGATCAAATATATTAATATTTAACATTATTTAGCTTACTCAATTATTATCTGCACAATTTAAAAGTAGGCCATAAGAATGCAATTTGACATCACCTAGTTAAAAAAGTTTTAACAAAATGAAAGTATGTATATGTTTAAACTATGTATATGTCGAACTTACATGGTAATAACACACACAGATCCAGCCACTAGATGGGTATGCCAAGCTGTTGTGTATGTAACTCTTGTAGTGACCACTTTGCCACAGTTGAAACAAGTTATAGTGGTGGGCTCAGTGCCCACTGCAGGCGGGAGCACTATGCCCACAGGCACGGGACCGGGCGGCTGCGGCGGCCCCATGTCGCCTGCTTGCGGCTGAGTGTTCGTCACAGTGATTGTAGGATGTGGGTAAACCCCCGGAGCTGTATACTGCTTAGGTTGCGCCTGCGGGTGCGGGTAAGCACCGCCAGGAGCCGCATATGGTTCACCTCCAGGCGCTACGAAGCCATATTGTGGGTTACCCACAACAGCTGAGTAAGGCGGCGGCAGATCTTCAGGCGCAGAAGCCACTACTCCTGTCCCAGCGATATTTGCCATTGTTTTCTGGTTTCAATCAAGGTGCAAGATAATACACTACACTGAGTAGAAATGAAACTGTAATAACAAGAGAACTCGAGAACAAAAATTTGTTAACTTTTATTTATTTTACGAAACGATGCACGAAATTAATCTGAGATATAAAACATATCATGACGTCATACGTCAATGTCAGGTGCACCCGTACCCGTGCTTGAAAAACAAAGACAAAAGTACTTTGGTATGTGTTCGGATACGCATACGTGCACTGTTCGCGCAGCGTTAAAAAGTGTTGTTTTTAGTGTTTCTTTTCTACGAACAATATGTTTCCTTTTCTTAAAAGTATTTTTTTTATATTTGGCGATTAGGTGAGAGAACCAGTGTCCCTTCTGCGTTTTCAAAGCATATTCCTCCGCTTCAGCCTGTTCGCAGTGAGCGTCGGTTTTGCAAGTTCATTGGCGAGAGCGTTTGGATCGTTGAGGTATTCGTGTATTTCCGCATTTCTGAAGAACAACGGAGCACTGGTGATGGAACGCAAGATGCTATTTTGAGCTCGTTGGATGCACATGATGTTGCTTCTACTAGCGGTTCCCCACAAAGGAATGCCGTATATGCCGTTATCCACAGAAAGGACTGAGTTTCTTCCCATAAGCTAGTAAAGCTTCCTGAACTTGTGATTTATTTCATCCCACTTTTTTATGTGGTTAGTCCATATAAGCCGTCTGTCCAGGTGGAAGCCAAGATACTTTACAACTTCCGAATCAGGCAGCAGGTCGTTATATCTTCTCAAGGTAAATGTGATGTGGTTTGCTTTCTGAGCACTTACCCGAATGCGCCACCTTTCCATCCATGAGTATGTCTTGTCTAGTAGGTGTTGGAGTTTATCAGTGGCCACTGATGGGACATCATCACTAGCGAGATAGGCAACATCATCTGCATATGTAGCTACGATGACTTCCTCAGGGATAGGTAGACCCGAGATGAATATGTTGTATAACACTGGGCCAAGCACAGAGCCTTGCAGGATCCGTCGCAGGGTAGACATGGCGGCTTTCTGTTTTATACTAAATCGTACCTAGAAAACAGACACCTCAGTAGAGAGAATGAGGAAGTTTCTCTTTCACTTTGCATTTGCATAGTAACCCTTTGTGCCAAACTTTATCGAAGGCCTGTTGTACGTCCAGGCCATGCCGCCGAGCAGAGTACTGCTCGAGCTTACCTAAAGCCTCACTTTGAGAAGAAACAATAATTTCTTTTCAAAGTAGCATCTGATCAGATCTCATGGTTGCCCCAGTGCATTTGATCTATCGTGGAATCATGATTCCGAAACCCAATCTGGTGGCCGGGAATAACGTCACACAGGCTCATATGCTCCCTCAGGTGAACCAAGAAGATCCTCTCCCATAGTTTTGAAAGAACAGGTGTGTATGGCTAATAGAATGGTATGACGAGGCTTCATGTGGAGATTTACCAGGTTTAAGAATCTTAATGATTTCCGACATCTCCCAGATTTTGGGAAAATATGAAAGTTTTAGTGTTCCATTGAAGAGCGAGGCAAGAAGTGTAATGAACTTTCTAGGCAGATTTTTTAAGATAGTGGGGGTGATTAGGTCGAAGCTAGGAGCTTTGTTGGAGTTTAGCCTCCTGATTTCGCTGGCAATTTCTTTTGGTGATGTATGCTTAATTAGTAGGCATAACTGGACATCCTGATTGAGAATGTCATCAACACTAGAATCATATTTATCGTCATTCGGCTTGAAAACATTCTCTACATTCGTGCGGACCCATGACTTTCCAAAATGATCTTGCAGGAAACATTTCGCCCTTACGAGTGACAGTATTTTATGAAGTTTCGAAATATAACATTGGTTGATTCTCGAAGTAGTTTAGATTTTATTTTAACTGTTTTGCAGCCAAGTTGAGGGCTGTTTTATCGGTAAGGTGTTGTGACTGATGCCAGACTTTACGTAGGCGTCTCTTCTCAGTATGTTTTGCTTTTATGTCTGCTGGCTAAGGAGACATCGACGGAATTCGAGATAAGCACGGACAGTTTTTCCGGGCTGATACTTGAATTAGGTTAGTAAGGTACTCACAAGAGTTATCGACATCCTCTGGAGATTTCATAGGGGTATTTAACTGGATAATGTCTTCTAGGAATTTACGAAACCCCTGCCAATAAATTTTTCGGTTGCGTAGGGCATCACACGGTTCAGAATATATGACTGAAGTGCAAACGTGAGTATTACGGGCGTATGATCTGACGAACCATCATAGCTCGATTCTAATGTGTAATAGAGATGACAGATACCCGTCGTTATGAAGAAATCGTTATCTATGTTCATATTTGAAATATGTTAGTATAATCTTCTATTTTCTCAATTAAATCGTTGCTTGCTTCTTGCTCCTACCATTCACTCTTCTCTGCATCACCCAAAGGTCAGACTGGGAGAAAATGCCTGCGGCATTAAGTCCACCTTGTGTACACTTTGTGCATGAAGCGTTAATAAAATAAATAAATCGAGAAGATCCGGAGATTTCTTGTGATCAGCTGGCCAACTTGTCTGTTCTCCAGATGATATTGGAGTGAGGAGAAGAGCAATCAGGTGGCTCTTAAGCGAACGACTTCTCGGTCTAACTCGGTAGTGTTATACGAGAATCCCTGTCTGTGTGCTTTGGGTTCCAGTCCCCGCCTGATATAAATTTATTTCCAAGTGGCAAAAATAAGTGGTCGAACATTTGAGGAGTGAGATCTTTATAAGGGACAGAGTCTGAAATACAAATACTATTACTGACATAATATCATGAATAGCTGTTAACCATTAGGATTGTGAAGTGGTTTCTAAGAACTGGTCATAAAACATTTGAACACCTCTACCTATCCTTTTGAAGGTTATAGTATAGAATTTTTATTTAAATAATTCCTGTGTCTATCTTTCAGACATGGATACTATTGAAAGCCTACAGTATATCCATGTAGGTTCCTACTTCAATACAAATCTATATTTATAGTATAGATATACTTAATAAATCTGTAGGGAGGTTAATTCTGTACATGAAATATATTTCCAAAATAACTATTAGGGGGTGATTAGTGATCGATACTAATGCCAAAATAGCAACCAGTAACATTTTTGTCTGTCTGTCTGTCTGTATGTATGTATGTATGTTCCTTATAGAAACAAAAACTACTCGACGGATTTTAACGAAACTTGGTACAATTAGGTATTCTTCATACTCCTGGGGAGGTTATAGTATACTTTCCTACGCGCTACAATCAATAAGAGCAGAGCAGTGAAGGGTAATGTTGGGAAAACGGGAGAAGTTATTCCATTTATTAAGCTACTGTCGCGTGTGCAGCCTTAATGGTTAAAGCTACATAGAAATCATGTACGACGGAAATGCTCTACATATTATCTAAAAAATATCCCACAACAGCACATGTCTATCTTTTATGGTTGTCTTATAATAATTGTAATAGGTGTAACTCCCGATAGCTTAGCCGTTCGGAGCTTTCTGCTTATATTTGTTTACTGTATAATATATTCACTTAATTGTGCGGCTCAATCCCTAGGCACATTTACTGTACCAAACGCAAATATAAGTTTGTCGATGTTAGGTTGCCCGCAATAGACTTTACGCTGTAACTGTAGGGCCGATGGTTGAAATTAGCTTGAACCGATATTATAAATGTAAAAATATGTGTTTGTGCGTATGTTTGTTACTCAGTCATATTAAAACGACTGAAGGGACCGGAATGAAATTCGGAACAGAGGTCGATTATGGTCTGAAGTAATACATAGGCATTTTACCCCTGTATCGCGGGCGAAGCCGCTGGCAGAAGCTAGTATAAAATAAGGACCGATGTATACCTACTTACTTAACCGGCTTATCCGTATATCAACATACCAAATGAATTCCACACATTAAAATAATAAATTACACTATTTTGAGTGAGGTAAATCAGCAAATGACTCCTCCCGCCCTGAGTGAGGTGTAAAGGACTGTAAGACTCTTACTTACTAAAAACACTCCTACTTCGAACCTTTCTTATGGCGCTCTATCCGTAATAGGTAAGTTACACCCTGCGGTATGGAAAACATATACTTTAAGATCTCATTTCCCATGTTGAAACTAAATTGTGCCTCTAAATTTTTCACGGAACTCTTAAATATTCCATGACCCACATGTAGGATCACTCACTGCCCAAAAGTAAGTAGATGCCCTATGTATTGAATAACATTGATCCTCGGATGTCTGATGTCTGCAGTGGTGGTGGTGGATGTTGGGTAATAGTTCTCAAGCCTGTTACGGCTTACGAGTGCCGCGACCAGTAAAGTGAACGGGCCTGTGTGACGCGCGCGCATTCACCTCTATCGAATATTGACGAAATTTTACTAACACATAGTCTACTATTTCGTATAAACAGTTCGTAATTTTGTACTCAAACGTTTGCTGTACGTAGTTTTGTATATTCTAGTTTGTGTTGTGTTTATAGACATTAAGTGCGTCTCGTCTCAACAATAATATTTCCGCATCTGTGCACATTAAGCATTTGGGTAATTAATGTTGAGTAATCATCTTATTTTACAGCCTAAATGATTTTGATATTAGGTTTTAAGTCTCTGCAACAGTAGAGCGGTGGAATGTTTGAAACTGATACATATTTAAGCATTCCTAATAGTATTGCAGTCTGTACCGGTTGCGGCCGCGGCGTGAGCATTAATCAATCAATACTTAATGTAAGAAGACTTTATCTTTAAGTGAAGTTTTATAGTAAAAATAAGAAATACTTAATCGAATGTCCCTTTATAGTCCAAACAGCAAGGGATTGAGCCTAGGCTTCGAGTTATTTGTAGGTAATGGAGTTGAGGCTGTAGGTAGAAGCCCAATTTGCCGGCTTCAGATTACAATGCGCATACATTATAATTTTTTGTTGACACCATTGTCGTGTTTTTTATTTTGACTCAATCAATGTCTTCATAGTTAAAGACAAACTGATTGAAAAGTCTAATAATGAATAACAAGACATTTATGTATTTTAATTATATTTATATGTTACATGTTTGAAGCACGTACCCTATTAAAACAGTATTGCACTTCATATCTACGTTACTCGACTGTGAAAGAATTAGTATTTGGAAACCACGTGTTTGGCCACTCGTCTGACTCACAGTCACAACAGACGGTCAGCTGTGTTTATCGTAATGTTTAGCTATGCAAATAAACGTTTTATTACAATACAAGCGTCATGCCCACGACCTCGTTTGAGAAATTTCCGCTCCAGGAATTACGAAAATTCTTTCTTAATTATTAAGAAAATTTCAAGTTTATGTCAATCACAGAAAAGTGTGATCTAATTCTGGGTTTTATTAATATTTTATTTATTACCTAAAACGTGTACTTTATGAGTGCTGTGTGTGATATAAATAGAGTGCTCAGTAGGCTGGATATAAATAGATAACTTGCCAGGAGAATGTTGTTCCCGTACCCTGCGTTTGAGATGGGACATCAGGGTAATTTTTAATATGTAAGAGTGTGACAGTTTCCTTCATCCTGCTCAGGCGAGGAAACTCCATATTTTCTTAAAAAATACTTACCTCATAATCTCCTTAGAAGCTGCACTAGCGTAAAAGGCACTTAATTATAAGTTTATCCACATCGTAGACACTGTAATATGTAAGTATCATCAAAATCAACTACTAATTCCTTCCTCAATCATAAAACCAGACCTGCAACTATAGATTCGGATCTCTGGCTACAACGTAACAGCACTAACCGATAGTCCTTATCAACTCATGGAAGCACAACCAATAGCCTAGAATTATAATCTCTAATCAGCTGGTATTACGTAGGTTCAATACAGTTACGAGTATACTAGCATTAGTACTTAGGTACCTACAATATTTGAAGCGTATCATGACTAGATAATTATATAGGAACAATGCACGTTGGATAATAAAGAGGTGTGAGGCGTGATAGTGTGATGAGTATCATAGTTCTTTACGCTTGTTGCTCGTATCTCAGTTGTCGTATAACACGCAGCTTGTAAATAGGAATGATTAATGACTCTAATATGCTGCAGTTATGACAATCCCATGGCATAACTGCGGTGGCGGAGACATGAACATGTATCCATCAGTTCCTACTAATAGAATGACACATCTGTACACGTCACTTGTTTTGGCGTGAAATAAAGTTTTTTTTTCTTTCTTTCTAATTATTATGATTATGATAGGTAATCCATTATAATAGTATTCTTCTAGTTCGACTTCGACAAACATTTGTAAGTGTGTTTGTGACGTGTAACTTTTTTTGCTGATTTTCCTGATTACAAAGATAAATAAGTAGAGAAATGAAATCATAATGACGCACCTAAGCGGACAGAGTGCAATCTTTTTTAAAATTTTGTAGTAGGTAGGTACGATAGAGCACGCAGTTTATGGAACTTAATAAAATAATAAACGTAATAAAACTTTCTGTAACCTGTAAACTGTAGGCGTAACTGTAAGCGTTTTTAATTACTTAAATTGAAAAATTGGTTGCCATTAGTCTCCATATATGAAAGAAAACACGCGCCTTTTAAGCTCCTGTGGCGATCGTACGACCGACAAGGCAGTCTTCTACTTCTACATAGTCATATTACTCTCCAGAACAAGATGGACAAAAATGTACACCTGCTTTTCACCACTAAGCTAATAATATGTCACTTTATACAAGGCCTTTTTCTTTTGATAAACTCGTGAGCTGTGGACAGTAGAGGACGGTAGCGGTCCACCTTCACTTCGCCGCAGTAATATCTACTTCCTACATTTAGGGATGTTGTTCTCTAGTGATGTAACTTCAGAAATAACTAGGTACACTGTACACTCTCCAACCGTTGTGTAACTGTTCCGGGGTTCTGATCTTATTTGTACCTGCACCTGTTACTTGGTTGTAGGTATCTAGTATTAATTCTATTGCTGTTATGTTGTGTTATCAGATTATAGTTATAAGTCTTTATTTATTTTTGGCACAATACGAAAATACATAGAATGGTTGGTTGGTACATACAAATAATGTAGATTTTAAATTTTTCTGCACAGTTCTAATTAGATCTTTAAGGAATTAAAAAAATGTTAATTATTCGTCTAATAAATGACTTTGAAATTTGTGACAGACCTAGTAATGAAAACTATACAGGAGATTAGTACCTAAATGTTATAAATTAAAAAGAGCGAGGGACCTAGTATAATTAAATTATAGTAGCTATAAGGACCGGTACCGCAATCGAATGTATTTATTTGCATACAGAATATATTCAAACTCAAACTCAAACTCAAACTCAAAAGCATTTATTTCAATTAAACCATAATTTGGTAATTTTGAAACGTCAACAAATATGAAATAAATAATAGTCTGTCAGTCAGTCCGTCAGTGAAGCTAGGCGCTCGTTCCAAAATGTCAATTCGAGTGGAGAAGAACGAGCAAGAAAATCTATTCGTTACTCTTTTAAAAAAAAAAGTCTGTATATTGAAATCAAATACATAATTATTATCATACAATATCCTCAATAATGTGTGTCATTGTCACCACATTTGAATGTGGAATTATCTAAAAATGAAATGTATTTTTAACGAAATATTTTAGTTTTAAATTATTTTTTTATATTTTAAGTTGTAAATATAAATAGTCGCAAAGTAGTATTATATGTTAGTTTATGTACTTAAAACTAAAATTTATTAGATTTTTTAACGATCAGTGTCGTTGATGTCTTTTGTATGGCGGACCCGTTTCCTTCTATTTTAGCTTCCTGATATAATTATCTTAACTAGCCAAATTATCGTCTTATCAAGTGTAATTTTTATTATGCATGCATGAAAATATTTTTTTATTAAACCTTGTTAAAAAGAGTAAGTAGACTTTTACATTTATTAACTTTTCGAGACGGGAACAATTTGCTTATACCGTTGTAACTGTTATTGCACTAACGTGATTACATCGTTTGTTTATAGACTTAATAATATATTTACATGACAAAGCCAAATATTGTTTTTAATTGTTATATATTTATGAATCTGTGACTGATAACTACATGCCTCAATGTATTTGTTGTAAGTAGTGAGTGAAAGTGCAGGTTGAATAATATCGAGAGCGTCGCGCTCGGCTCGGCGCGGGCGCAGCTAAGTGCATGCGCGTGCCAACTTGCCAAGTAAACGAGGCTTTAAACATTAGTCCTAGTCGATATCGCAGTAACTAGTGTAGAAAGCATTTGAGATCAAAACCGATATAGTTACGTATAATACATAATGTACACACACAGTTAGCATAATTATTTTATATAAGTTTATTTTAATGCTTCCTTTGACGTTTTTATTTATCTTATTTATTGGTTTAATTATTCTCAGTCACAAAAAAACTAACTGACTGAATTTTAATAGGCTTTAGTAGAACTCTGATTCATGAATCCTGGAATTTTAATTAATAGAGCTGAGATAGTGATTGACAGAATCATTTGCAATAAATAAGACGATTAATCACTTAATGCCTTTACTCACACCGATTATAGTGCATAACCACAAACAGCGACAGAAACAATTGGAGTTGCCAAAGGTTGAAAGTTTCTCCAAAGAGTTATTGAAGCGGTAAATCATTGCCATTGTATATTATTATTTGTTTGGTTAATGCTCACTGCTCTTCATTACGGATTTGTGCAATCAGTTACAACTCTGTTACCGAGTATACTGAACTTCGTAAGTCTTTAGACAAAGGAGGATTAATTTTACTACAATGAAGTTAAATTAGTAATTTGTAGGCAGTAAAGAGTGAGGAAACGAGTCGTCCGTTATTAAATCGTCATTTGAATACTTTTATTTATATATTATCCTTATACCCTTTAGGATTAGACACAACGGGACATCAGATAGATAAACAAACATTATAAAAGTGACTGAAAAATCAGTGAAACGAATAAATGGTGCCTCGATAGGCAATCGAGTAAGAAACTGTCAGTTATACGTACTTTACTAGTGAGAACTGAAAGTGTTAAGTGAATAGAGACGAACACAAAGATGCGTGTGCGCTGGTGGCGCGCTGTGGTGCTTTGCGCATGCGCCCTTGTGCTGCGCAGCCACGCCCTGCCTCCTGCCACCCTGGGCGATGTCGTCGCCAACGCTGCTACCAGTCTCAACTCTATGAAGGTCAGTAGTTTACATACATTGATACTTACATAATATCTTATCACTAAAAATTGAAGGAATCATTATAATATGTATAACATTTTCAGTCCGTTTTTTTGCTCGTATTATACTTACTACTCGTTTTATATTAAACTTCTACGAATCAAACTTTATGATATGCACTATTCATTATTTGAACCTACTTAACTCAATCGACATAGCAAATTATTAGGTATAAATAATGGAACAATTTTATTTAAATAGGAAACTAGGTATAATTCTCTTCTGTAATATTATTCATTGGTTGTTGATATATTAGGTAACATCAACAATCACACACATTCGTTGAATTGACATTAAGTACCAACATAATAGAAAATTGCACCGAGGTTATTGCATACATAAATATTCTACGAATATATATATGTACATATCAAACGATTGATAATACATACCTACATAATATCATGCCTGTCTCCCAAGGGGGTAGGCAGATTAAAATACAATTTATAACGATTGCAAAAGTATATTTACCACGCTTAGAATGTGTCTACAAAAAGCTTAAATTAATAACTAAATTAATAACTACTATATAAATTAAAATCTTATGACTAAATTTAATAGAATAATGTCAAAATCGACTTTAAATCAAATATTTTAAATTGAAAAGGGTTATTAATTTCGACTATAAATCAATATATATAAATACTAGAGTTCTTTGTTTAGTCACATAATACGATAATGTGTTACAAGTACCAATGGTTCTCGAAAGAGGCCACTGCCCACGGTACACACTCTGCATGCATATTTTCACAACTTAGAAATCACTTCAACCGAAAAGATCTCACTATTACAACACACAATCTAATCTTATTCACAAAGGGCTTACAATTTCATGTGCAACCTTGCTCTGTAATAGAAATGTACCATTTTTTACTCTAAGCACGTGGAATTACAACAGTACGTTGCGCTATCATCCAGGGAACGTCCTAAGAAGTATAGTACGTGAGGTAACGAGAAGTGTGCCGCATTCAGACGGTCCACATTATGTCTATACAGTTCACGGTGATGTAACTCTAACTTTACCTTTGAAATTTTAAGTTTGGAACGTATTGTTTGTGGCCAATACTCACAATATTACGTTCGGTTCGCAAAGTAAAATATTGGTCTGCGATAGAGGTGCATATACAGATACAGATAACAGAATCCTTTAAAATTCATTTTTATAATATTATAAGTGTGTCTCCTTATAAGTAAAATTACCTTAAGAATCTTAGGTAACTACCAACCTTTTCGAATATATCAATTGATCTAAATTCAAGACAATACAACAAATGGTAAATATAACTTATGTAAGTACGTATGGATAGGCAATATTTCGAGCAGGAATCACAATTATTGCTAATAAATCTATACATACATTATCGCAAGCGTAACCGAAGTACCTAAATGTACATTTAAATATTATCCTAATGATTGACTGTCTCCTGAATGATGATAGATTTGCCAAACCCGGATATCATTAACATAAACCGATTATTTTTTTGGTTCATATAGTCTTTTAGCAATAGATTTAAATAGATTAACCGCAATATGGTCTTAATCATAGGTTTTCTAGACTTTTCTGTGATACTGGGCTAATGTAACATTCCATTGGGTGAATGCAATACTATAAGTATTAGGTTAATCTCAGCGCTGCCGATAGACAGTTGGTAACTCAATTGATGATATATTTCATGTAATAGTAATGACTTCCTATAATTTTAAGTCCAATTGAGTGCAGGACCCAGTTTTCGTAACGTTGCTAATGTATAAAAGTATTTCGATGTAAATGAAGATCGAATCGTTACAGATCAAAGCAATGTACTGTTTGTTGCAAACGTAGTAATTGTCGAAATTGCTTGTAATTTTTTTTTAATTTATTACCTAGCTTTACTTGTAACTAAGAGGGGACTTTAACATCAAGTTTCGATCATCTTATTTCTTATTTACCAATACCTTGATATCACATAAATACACATATCTGCTTTTAAGAAACCTACAAAAAGATATAAAATATCATCTTGACACATTTTCCAAGTACAACACGTTAAATTAAGGTCTAGACTGTTTATTATTAAATAAATTGCTCAAAGGACTATAACATTAACATACAATCAGTGAGTATCATAAAGGAATTGCTTTGCAGTTGCATTTTCGCAACGCTGTCCGGCTGCCCGGCCATATCCATGAGGTTTTATTGGAATATTATACGAAAGTCAATGTTGGTCGTATGCCCTCGGGTGACCAAACCCATGTGACATAACGATGGTAACTCTACCTATACATAATTCAATTGTCTTTAAGATAATATGAAGTTACAATCCGAATCGTTTTATTAAGCAGGTATTTGTGTGTTGTAGCCTTCGTAGCGTGATACTTGCGGTGCTTTCAATAGGGGAATGGATATGGTACCTACTGGTACTTACCACAAGGGCCTAGCTTATGATCTTCATGACAATATTTCGTACATTCAGAAGGTTTATATAGGTCAGGTATTTAAGGTTTTTAACTGTAGTATCTGCTGTAGTAGACTGTTACTAGACTGCTGAATCAAATCAAACATAGTTACAAATTTTCCTGTAACCTTCGATATAGACATCCTTTTCGCTAGAATACACAACAATAATCTAAGATATTATTACCACTGTTACGTACCAATGTAATCAGTTTAACTATATACTTCCAAATACCGGATACGATTTCATAAATATTCATTGTGTTACTTACTATTGATAATTTCAAGTCGAAAATCCCTATCTTGGCTGTATACCCCTGTAATATCAACTATTACGTACTATCCATTTATCGATGACAACGATCATAGTCCGACTTGCGACTACTTCACTAGTGGTAATGTGTAATCTTTGAGGGTTCCAGGTTTTGTATTTTTACCCGACTACGGCAAAGCAAAGGTGTAGCTTCACACGTTACATATACCTCCCTACCGCACCACTTTGACAACGTGTGACTGTGGTTTTCGAAGCATGAAAATTTATCTCTACGTAGTGAATATTTCAAACCTACTTCAGAATAGTATTGTATGACATTATTGTCAATTTACAATATTAGCAACTTTGTTCAGGTCAGTATTCTGAAAATATTGTTTTATACTTTTTCAGTGTCGTTTTTTGTCGTAGTTGGGTTTTGGTTTTTTAATGTACCCATTGTAGTAAATTCTCTATCATCAATGCGTTTACACACAATATTTTAAGTGTGCGAGAGCCACGCTTCGGCACGAATGGGCCGGCTCGACCGGAGTGATACCACGGCCTCACAGCTTGCGTTGTGTTTCATCGTGTGAGTGAGGTTACCGGAGTCCCAATTACCCTCCCCTTCCCCAATCTCCCCAATTCCTGAATCCCCTACGATCCTCAAACTCCTAATCCCCAAAAGGCCGGTAACGAACTTGTAACGCCTCTGGTGTTCCAGGTGTCCATGGGCGACGCCGATTGCTTACCATCAGGTGATCCGTCTGTTATTTATTATTTATTTACTAATAACAAAAGTACATGGTATGCCTTATAATCTAACGCCATGTCCAACAAAACTATAGGTATATAAATAGTTTGACTGTTGGATCTTCTATATTTAAATTACTATTTAGTAGGTATTAGTAGTTTACTATGATAATGGTTATGAATGGTTATGTTCGTTTACCGGCTTATGCCATAAAAAATACGAATTTACAGGAAGAGAGAGATTTACGGGTGAGACCAGACCCCGAATTACAATTTGTGGATCAAACACAACACGTTGCATACCAGCCAGTTGTCCAGTCACTGCTCCATCCATGCAGTTGCAACCACTGAACGTGTTGACGCATTTCAAATAATAATTTTGGAAATCTTTTATATAATTTGCAAAATAAAGAAACAAAGAATTTAATTAAAAAATTAACTGTTGTAAGCATTGCAGCAAGAAGTGCACAAAAATTAAATGTGTTGTCATAATAATTACATATAATATATTGTGAGTATAATTAGCATATAAATATCACGATACAAGAACTGGTTTGGACACTGCATAACTTGCTGCAACCATCGATAACATTAACTTTGGTGTGCATATAAATCTTCTTGTTACTGTACTTACATGATGATTTTTATAAACCTTGACACCAGACACCAGCGTCCATCATTGTAGACAGGGTCATGATATTTATGAACAAGTCCTGGCAATTAATTAGTTTATGACTCAGGCGGGAGAAGTTAAGTTTAAAAGATTTTCGGTTGCGACTCTCAAGACAGCATGAGGTCTCTTGTATCGTGTGCATGTGGCAAGATTTTTGCTCGTTTTGTTCTGGCTGATCACCTATTAGATCTTGGAGCATCAACTTCAGTTGCGTTGGACAATCAACCTTGATATTTTCATAAAAAGTACCATTCTTGCTTGACTGTTAATAGTTTAAGTTCAAAATTTTGCTTGCGTCACTCGCCCATTTATTAATATTTTATTTTATTTATTTAAAGGCCATCGCTATTAAAATTACGCAAAGTTGAAGTCTTTGAGTTTATGAATAAAGGCTCTATTGAATTTGGACGAAGACATTCGCATAGGCATATTATTGTGTAACAAATTGACTTAATGTTACAACATAACGAGTAACAACTTCTCTAATTGAGGCCCCAAAAGTGTAGTTAGTTTTTATTGAACTTCATTAAAACCTTGATTCACTTGAATGAGTTACACTCAGAATCAAGATGGATGTAGGATTGTAGAGATATAGTTTTTTTATTTCATACAGACCATCATTAAACGTGACTGATATGATGTGAATATGTGGTTAGGTATTATTATGCATTCAAAATTTAATCAAGCAATTTATTGCCTTATAATTTATTTTCATTATTATTATTTTTTCATTATTATTATTTTTTTAAGGTGTAAATATTTTAGTTTTAATTATTTATTTCAATAAGAAGTGTAATATTAAGACTCCTATATAATAAATATTGATTCTACACGAAAAAAATAAGACTACAGGGAGTAATCAAGCAATAATAGTATTAAGTAACCGTATTTAAAGGCTAAACTTACTTTCGTTTCAAAACTTTTGGGTTCATTGTGACATTCGAAGGTTCGAGAATCATATAAACGAAGCTGCGGAAGGAAACTAGGTTAGTAACGAATCCATAACCGTGAATAAAAACACACATGGATGTGTGTTTGTTATGCAAGAACTGCTGAAATGATTTAGATTAAATCGGAGTAAAGTATAGAATCTACATAACATCACGACTTTTATCCCCGAAGGGGTAGGCAGAGGTGCATATTACGGCACTTAATGGCACTGTACAATGTAACACCCACTTTTCACTATTGATGTTATGAGTCCCATGTAATTGGGGATGAGCCTATTGCCTTTTACCGGAAACAATTCAAGCCTCCGTGCTACAATTGAGATTTTTTTAAAAGAACCCAGTTATCGAACTCGAGACCTGTTGCTCGGCAGTCGCACTTCAGACTTCAGACCACTCGGCCAACGAGGCAGTCGAGTGAATCAACAATGTGATAAATTTCAATTCCATTATCGAAGACAAAGTGGTAACGTATCACACTCCTATATAGTATTTTGGACAAATCGCAGTTACTTTTCATCAGTCAGTTTCATACGACATAGGCCTGTTCAATGGCATACATACCTTTGTGAGTTATAAATCAAGACAAGACACAAAAGCGATTTTAATAATTGTTCTTTGCAACGTTACCGGAACTTAATTAACTATGTTGTAATGTGGTCATATCTTTCTAACGCTAACACATGGTATGCTGAGTGCGTTACCCACAAAATAATGCCAAGTGTTGTTATTACAGTATTTAGAGCGTGGTTGGCGGCCGCCGCGGTCCTTGAGCTTATGACAGTTTTAATGTTTCGGAAAAATAAGCATGAATGAAACGTTTTTCAAAGTAAAACAAATTGTTTTTGTGGTAATTTACTCACGAGGAAGGAAAGGAAGTAGCTTATTCATGACGCGCATCCTCGTACGTTTCATTAAGCGATTGAGTTAGCTCATTATGTTCTAATTGCTTACAACCATTTGTATTAAATACATAGTAGAATGGCACTTTCATACATATTTACCTAGATTAAAGATGTTACAAGTTCTGTAATATCACGAATTCACGGATGTACGTTCAAATTATAAAACTAAGCATTGGATTCCTTGGAATACTATTTCTGCTGATGTTGCGTTGTCTTCGGGAAGTCCCTAAGTACTTTATTTAATAAGATCATTGTATTATAATACGTCACAAAGTTCTTTAGTAACATTATGACGTATACCAGTCGGTAATACTTGGTTTCGCAGTACCAACCCATGAACTAAAGTATTGTCACGTTTTGCATCTAACCGTAAAGGGCAGATGAATTAAGGATACAGCCGGATTTGGGTAAGACCTGAGTCTTAACCAGATCCGGTGCCTCGACCTGAATAAGAAAAAGAAAGTAGGTGCAGCAAATATTGAAGTATTAACAGAAGTGGCGAAATGTGGATGTGTCATACATGGCATGCATTTTACACCTACGTCTTCAGAGACAAGGAGGCGCTGGCGAGGTGATATATTGATATTTATCTTTCATTCTTGGAAATCGGTATAAATATTCATATCATTTTCTGTTACGTTATTTATGTAAGATACTAATTAATGGCGTTACATTTCGTTGCGTGTGATGTCGGCGCTGACAGCGATCTTAAGCAGCTTGCGTGTGGTCTGTCAGTCAACTAGGTATTTAAGTGAACTGTCAGTAAACACTGCGAACAATTATTCAAATTGGGCTAATTCGTTAATAACCATATTTTCACACGCAAAAGTGTGAAAATTATAGTTATTGTACATATGAGGAAATAATTGTTTACAGAGCTCTTGCCGTCAACCGACAACACATCACGCGAGTGACAATAACACATAATGCTGTTTTAATGAGAAGCTTTATGATTTAAGTTAATGATTTTGAATGGTGATTGAAGGTTTGGTGGGCACGTAATGACCATGCCCACATTCCTCTTGTGCACGTTCACCTAAGAAGGAAATTCTACATTGCAATTTTAAAATTTTACCAGGTGACGGGAGCATGGCGACGCCTCTCAAGTACGGTCAGCGAGTCAGTGGGTCTGAAGCATGCGTTACGTCGGCTGCAGGCAGTACCAGCGCGTGCGGCTCGGCTGGTTCACGCACTGGTAGATCGCATGCGCGTTGGAGGCGGGCCTATTGTCTTCACGCAACTAGGAGCGCTGCGTGGACGCAAGCTTGTTACCAGGACTACAGCTCAGACGCCATACTATAGTTTTAAGGGTATAAGGTATGAAATGCTATTAGTAGACCCTAATAACCTTTTACTACTTATTTAATAATTGTTTATAAGATACTCAGGAATGTAACTCCCTCATTAAATTACTCCATCTATGTCTATCATTTGCAAAATAACGAGCATTATGCATGTTTGAAAATAATTTTAACAAATCTTCGTAATCGTAATATAATAACCTACTTGACTCAGAGTAAACATTGTAAATCGTTATTAAAGATATGCCCAACCACCTCGAGGGTCTCTCCGGTTCCGGCCACCAGCCCCCTTGGAGCCATGGTCAGGAATACGGGACGCGTTAGAAGAGGGCGCTGTGTGCCCTCATCGGTTTATGCTCTTCGACACCTACAAGGGAGACGAGGACTGCCTCTTCCTCAACGTGTACACTCCCGCGCTCCCTGATAAAATGTCTGGGTGAGTTACCTTTAAACCTTTAATTGTGTACATTTTAAACATATGCCTAATTAGCAATGCACATCAGTGTTTCTTTTCTAGTCCCATTTTTATCATTATTAAATACTCACTAGACGCCCGGGGTCAGACCGTATTTTTATCTGTTTAGATTTGTAGGGGATTTAACACAATTAGAAGATTCGAAATTAAAAAATAAGCTCAATATAATTTTGATATTGGCTTATTGGGACATAAAAAAATGATAGACTTCAACGATAATATTGATAAGCGAAGCGGTCGCGGCTTTTGACCTCGCGTTACCAGCTGATTAATGAAATTAAAAGATTTACGGATGTTGAGTAATCGGACTTATTAAGGCAATAACGTATCATCAGCTCATCTGACTGTAACACATTGCCATTTAAAAACTTTTGTTAAAATTATTTGTAAATTAAAATATGATTTATTACTTATCGACTTCTCCATGGTCTACCTTTTTGGATCCAAAATTGGCGCGCCTGGCCTTTAATTATTTCATTAAGGTCCCTAGGTTGGCTAACCACCTTCATGCAGTACATATTTCATTGAGAAAACTCGCTGCGTCCACCTTAAAAGCGAATGTCAGTTATGGGATATTTTATCATCAACGATACACTAAATTGCTTTTCATTTTTATCAGGTACAATCCAAAATTAGCAGTAATGGTCTGGATACACGGTGGTGCCTTTGCTATGGGCTCCGGTAATGCGTTCCTCTACGGTCCCGACCATCTCGTCGGTGCAGGAGTGGTGCTGGTCACACTCAATTACAGGCTCGGCGCCCTGGGCTTCTTGAGTCTTGAGAACGAAGAAGTTTCTGGAAATATGGGTCTGAAGGTGCAATTGAAATTTTGAAAAGTTTTTACTAATTTTGATTTACTTTACATAGGTATTAGGTATAACATCGTTTATTCTCTCTTTCACATCTCCTCTGAATACGAATACAAAACTGGCACAATCTTTGTTCACTTGTTAATGAAATTCTTTACACGTATATTTTCGTAGTCTTCGTGCGAGGCTACAATGTAGTTGTTTATAGTTTCATGTCTTTTCACAATGCAATGTCTTTACTAACGCCTTTAAACTTGGTTCACTAATTTTTGCGCAAGTACTCAGCGGGTGGTTTGCATTTATGAACGTGTAGGTACCAAGTACATTCAGTCATATTGAGTGTAGCTACTGAAATATCTACATGACACGTATAATTAGTGCATATTAGTTACGTTTTTTCTTAAAAATACAGGCACATATCTCAGCGTGTACTTAAGTTGTTATTATTTATACAGCTCTCGTCATGGCTCACCCATTCTGGCCAAGTTCGCAACATTTTTGTTGCATTGCACTACAGAGCATACAATTATGTATCTAAAATGTTATTACGAAATATCTTAAGCATATTTGCACTGAATTTCGATTACTTTAAGGGTGATCATTGCGTTATTATTGTTAATAGGTACCAAGTACGTACAATGTTATTGCAAAAGCAATGTAATCATGGTGTCATTAACGGCCTATAATTATATCAGAATGGAGCGAAATAAAGATAACAGAATGGCCGAATCTTTGTATTAGATTGATATCAGGCAATGATTAGTTCGCTAATTGTTTACAACATCAAGATCGTGGTTAGGTAACGTGAATGAAAGCGATTAGACCGTTGTTGCACAGTTTCGTGGGCGATTTGATGACGTACAGCTCGTCGGCGTTCACGCTCGAGTCAGTCACACGTGGACAGTCAATGAGGTATAAAACATGCGACCCCAGGGTCGGCCAAAATCTAATTACACTTAACTCTGAGAAATAATACTATTTGTATTTATCACATGGAACTTAACTTCTGCATTTCTACTTATACCTTCAGGCTTGAGGGAAAAAGGCATAATCTTATGTATACTATGTATGTTGTTTCTAAAGGACCAAGTGATGGCTCTGAAATGGGTGCGGGACAACATTGAGGCGTTCGGTGGCGACCCGGCGCGCATTACCATCTTCGGCGAGTCTGCGGGAGCCGCCTCCGTGCACCTACACATGTTGTCACCTGCATCACAGGTTTGTTAAACTAGAAATGAAGTTAAGGATTTTTTATCCTCTTATACAATAGAAAACACTGCATCTCGCGTAGATATATCTACGTTCCGGCAAACCTCGAGGTAAAGAACAAGGACAACGTTAAAAACTTGAGATTCTTCGAGCAAAAGAAATTTTCTCAACTTCTTAATATAACGTCCTTTGTGCTGAAAACTGTATCACTTTCAATACAAACCTGCACCCAACAATTTCTAGAAACCTTGCATAATGTTACATTACACACTAATAAAACTAAACATGTTTGTGATCTAAACCTAAAGGCAAAATTCCAATGATGTAAGAATGCCGTTAATTATGTGACATAATAATAACTCATAATAGTTTTAATTGACTTTATCTATTTATTATAGTTACACAACATAATATATGTTCATATATTTACTTGTGGATAAAAAAATACAAAGAATCATATATTTTTTTAAAACATTATTAATATAGGAAAAGAAGAAAGAATACATGGTCCAATATTTTTTTCTAATTTTCTGATGATAAAGGCAAATGAACCTTCAAAAGCTGCCTAGTATTTGTGGAGAAAAACTAGGCTGTATGAGATTTTGTCACAAAAAATAACCCTATTAGCACATAAGGGACAACAAGTTTTCTAAATACAACAAATCTGTATAATATCCAAACAGATTCATAATGATACCTAGGGTCCAAGATCAATTGATCTTATAGTCGGTTATTGCTTGAAACATTAACAAACATGCATAACTATCTTTTCTCATAAACTTTCACTACAGTAATGTATTGATAAACAAAACTCGACCTTGAAGCTTTATAATGTGCTAGTGACATTCAACCTTATGTAGGTACTTAGGTAGCAAGCTATCGACTGTAAGAGGTTACGTCACCATATATTATAAAGATGAACCACAATATTAATATTACATACAGGTTTTTCTACGGAAACAAGAATGCATATTATTATTATACACTATATGTACCTTTGTATGTAATTAAATTACTAATATAGACATTGAGGAAAACATAGTATCTAAGCAAATAAATAGAGCATTTCAGTGAGTAATATGTTTTCTTATCTCATTGAAAAGGTATTTGCCCTTTTTGTGTTTATTTATTGATAGAAACATCTTATCATTTATTAAGTAGGTACTATGTTTTGACAAATAAATATATTATTAGACGTCTCACAACTAAAAAGAGTTTATGAAATCAATTTGTATGTATATGTAATATTGTTAGAATGGCACAATATTTGTAAGTATCTGTTAGGTTATTTAGGTTTCAACTTGTGTGTCATATTTCATAAGTGTTGCATGCGTTCAAATGTTGGTCTATGCCACACACATAAAATTGTATAAAAAATGTTTATTCCGAAACGATTTAATAGTTCTCGAGACAGAATCTTTTATTTGAAAAACATGTTTTTTTACTAAACTGTTTTCATGGCAGGGTTTGTTCCATGCTGCCATTGCGCAAAGTGGTGTGGCAGTGGCTCCTTGGGCGCTTGCGCACGAACCTCGCGCACGCGCCTTCGAGCTAGGCAGGGAGTTGGGCATCGACACCAACAACACCGCTGAACTGTTGGGCAAGTATTTATACGTATTTTGTGACATTTCTAAAATAATAAAATTTATGGTACTAAGAGTTTCAAAACTAGAAACAAGATTGATCCCAAGTCTTTAGTTTGGTTTCAGTTATTAGTCACGCATGCAAGACGGTTTAAGTGTTTTTTTTAGTCGACACAGAATTAATTACTAACAAAAATAAACTAACCGCAATTAGAACTAGCTAGTTAGTTAAACTACCGATACTTCAACTTTACTAAGAACGAGCATAACAGCTCATTCCAGTATTTAAGAAAGTTCTAGAAAATCGTTTATGTTTAGGCTACCTCCGCGCGACACCCAGCGAATTGCTCGTCAAAGCGGGGGCTCGGTTGTCAAGTGCTCCAGGCAAGTCAGCTGACCTTCAAAGCACCGTGGCATTGCCCTTCTTGCCCACACTGGAGCCAGAAGGACCCGATGCCTTCCTCACCAAACCTCCCAAGGAAACACTTCCCGGCGCCGATGTTCCGTTCCTTACTGGATACAATGCACAGGAAGGCATTATACTGTTTCGAAGTATGTTTTGTTAATTCTAGATTTTTTTAAGATCATATACGTAAGACCTTCTCATATGTAGCTTATACAAGCAGGGCTTTATTGCTTGTAATTTATATTAACTAACACCGTACCTACCAATTATTATAAATGCGAAAGTTTGTAAACTTTTAAAAAACAAAAATACTCAACGTAGCATAGAAATAGATTACAGCCGGATACAAGTTACTGGATACAAGTCACTTTTTACCACGTGAAGCCGCTGGCAAAAGCTTAAGTTGTTGTATTACATAAATTATGGTAAAGGAAATAATACCTACTTATTGCAAACATACTGACTAAGTTATAGGAAGGTAAAACTAAAACAAACAACAAATTGACCCACAAGTAGCGTTACGGATGATTGCGTCGGTAACAATTAAACATATGTATGTATGTAGGTACATAAATAAATAATTAATCAAACCTATTGTGGTTTACATCGACCCCACAGGTATACAAACAACATAAATAATATGTTAATGAATTACGAGGACATTAACTAAGTATAGTGTTCAGAGAAATTGGAAACTATAAATCCGTTCCTATTGTAGATTTCATTGAAACGGAAATGTTAAAAATATTCCAAAAAATCATTTTCATGTAACTTGTTGCCAAGACTAGACCTTTTAACTAGCTCTGGTAAAAATGTAGAGCCAAGTTACAAACCCTGTTAGCCAAACCCTAAATCTATGAGCCCTAATTTTACAGTAACAGCTAGTAACGCGTAGTCCGTAGCGCGTAGTCCGTAGCGTGTAGTCCGTAGTACGAGTCCGTAGCGCGTAGTTCGTAGCGCGTAGTAACGCCTTCCCGTCCGCCTTTTATCTCGCAGGCGCGCAAACCATGTACTGAACTCGCAAGTCGGCCGCACGGAAAGAGTTTACAAACTGTATAATGAGTGGTCATTCATTAGTAACTCAATGACGTCATGCTCAATATTTTTTTACATTTTCTCCTTTTATAATTTATTCCATCGAATTTTAACCTTTTCACCGACATTTTTGGCATATCATAAATCATTTACACTTCATACAATAGGCATTGCTATATAACTATACGTATTTTCCTTAGACCTTGCATTTTAGTGACGAAATTTAAATAAAAATGCATTGGTTTTTTCAAGTGACACTTCTACATAAACTTTGTCAGGAAAATTACATTTCCTGGTGAATTGTGGGTTTACCCACTTGGTAACCAAATTGGAAAAGTCAGAGCAGACGTAACATCTTATTATAAGTAGATACCCTAGTTAAAGTCTCACCGTTATGTCTATGTATATTGTAGGTATACTATCTACTACTTAGGCATGTTCTTATGTCGATTTCAGTTACCCATTAACGACATATTTTTACTTATTGTTAGACAACTAATAAATAAAAAACATTATATATAAGAAAATCTTTCAATTACTAGAATATTCAGATCCATTTAACACTCACCACCCACGACTAGTTTGGTGATTAAGAATTGCTACATAAATTCCCAAAGAAGTACGAACTCGTGATTGCAGTAACCACATGCCTAAATAACATGTCAGCTAAACATTAACCAAAAGCAATTTTCCTTTAATAGCTTGATAGGTACGGAGGCTTAATAAATCCTTGGCGACATTTTGCAAGCCGGGCGAGCGGAACTGACCGCACTTTGGGCCCTTCACAAATCCTGTACACTTACAATTTTTGCGACACACTGCAATATTACTACGTACATAGTTAAGACTTACTTAATTCAATTACACCGCTTATCTTGTGGTTTTGCAGAAAATAATATTAAATATCTGTTTTTATAAGACATTAGTAAATAGTAATTCAAAGGCTACACACCACAATAAATTTAAGAAAGAGGGGTGCGGGTTATTCATTTTGCCAAAGCTTTATTCAATTAATAACCCTTGATGACCTGAAGTCAAGAGCAACAGAAGGCTATATATTACTATTGATTCAGTTAATTCAGTAGTCCAATAGTGCTAAAGAGCAAAGACTGTGTGAAAGGATGAGGAAGAAAAAATAAAATAATGCCGCCAAACAAATGAGATAAAGACAGGAATAGTAGCTAATGTTGCCACTTAATCTGTACGATAGCCTACAGTCTGTGTTTATTATTATCGTAGGTACACTGATATCAGCATAATGCCTAACGTAAGATGAAGGCCATTACGAAATATTAGAATGATAAGATAACAATAACGAACACTTGAAAATAAATATTATCTCTCATAGCTACATACATGAGAAGATTTAGTCTTATGATCAATCAATGTGGTAATTCTACTAGTAGGTATATCTCAAGAAATAATAAGGTATTTCTTTAGCTTCCATCGCATTCCGATTACCATTCAGGAAAAAACGCAGTCTCTCAACTATGAACCAGACGTCATCAACATTCGCAAATACGATCATTTACTTAACAAGTCGTATAAAAATCGAATAATCGGCCTCGTTATTCAATAGCATGTTAAAAAGAGATAAATATTGCAAAGTATTTGTTCATAAGAATCACAAGTCTCGATTTCACGTAGATAGAGTTATGTCATGCCCCCATGTTTGTACGAAGCTGTCTCCACTTTTCTATGGTTCTAATTTCACTGTGACTCATATTCGAGTTTCATAAGTAAAGGTCACTTGCGACAGATATTTCCCTAGAATATTCAAGAATCATCAATTATTGTGTGAATTGGGTTTTAAGATGAAACCGCGTATTATTTGTTCAAGCGCATTGCGTCTACCAGGATATACTGATTCAATTGGTAATTTTATTTTTTCCAAAATATGTATGTAGTTGGTAAATAAAAATGACATTGGTGGTCGAATATAAGGTCATCCTATTGCGTAGGTGTACTTTACATTAGTCAAAGTTTAGAACTAAGTAACACCTTCAGAAACCAAGCAAACAGTCCTTGCTATCTTCTAAAAATAATGACATCAGAATCAATAATTCTAGAACAACTAAGGCCTTAAGAAACCTAAGTAGAACTATTATTTAAAAAAAGTAGAACACGTAATATTGACAAGTGATTTAGCATTGGTAGTTAAAATTGAGTGAAAAACATATAGTTATTGCGGTGATGTAAAACGTTACATAATGTTCTAACAGTGTCCAAAGTTACCGGCAACAAGCATGCGACCGCAGTTGGACCGGGTCGTTACTCGTATTTACATAATAAAGTAACACATGCGATCATATTCACTCTGTGCCACTTTCTCACCACAATAACATTACTATAACAATATATCCTTCTCGAGGTTTACGTTACAACACTGTATTCGAAATTCGAACCTTTGTTTTCTTTTTTATTGACACCTTTAATGCCTTTGTTGTTGACGTAGGTTGCTTATGCAAAAAAAAAATCGCTTGACCACCATAATACAAAAATGGTTGTATTGAATTGAAACATAAATAATGAATTTAGTTAAGGTATTTACCATATAGCTGAGTATGGTCAAGATAATATTAGGTACATAGATACCTTACAAGTGACGTGATACTTATACCTAGAAACCGAAGTAGCAAGATACAATAAACTTAAGTTACTAACTAAAGTTTCATAGAGTGCTGACTATCTGCTTTCCTTGTGAGGGTAGAACCAACTTAATAATTGATTTCATAATTTATACACTCTAAGCGGAAATATACAATGCCACTGACGGTTGTAATTACTACCGTGGTTCGGCAATGAAAAGAGGTAAAAAGGTTTTAAAAGTTTTAATCACTCTGGGATTTTATTACCAACTGTAACTACTTACCTATTTGATATCGAAAATTTCGCTAAATCCTTCGGCTAAATCAAAATAATTGCAAAGAGGAAAACCTTGATTTTAATTATCGGTTTTATTATCTGCATGTATTATTGTCAGATATGATATGACTTGGACTATAGTTACATAAATTTTATTTATACACTGGACCAATGCGACTTATCTCTTTCGCACATAAGTAATAATCTAAGGGTGCGGAGCATTCGCCATAATATGTGGACGCACTCCAATACAGAATGTCTGAACTGAAATCAGAAGACAAGTGACTACACAAAATACTTGTAAATCTATCAATTAAGTATATAGGTATTCATTAACCAGAATTTTTTATATTTATTGTACTCTCAATTATATTGAAATTATTGTTGAAAATCAAACGTTTATTTAATAATGCCTTCGGTACCTATTGTTATAAAATCCCTAAGTACTATACAAGCGAACAATAACACTGATTTACAGTACATGTACATGTAATTGTGTAAATCTATTGAGTATTTCTAGCCCATAGGTACTTAGTTATATAAGAAGGAAAACGAAATAATATATATATGTTACCGATATAAACATCCAACTATTTTCCTACTTAGGTATGTTTATTAGTGTTATTTACAAGTTGCACGTAATTTTTCAGGACTCCAACGTTACCCAAAGCTGTTGAATGAACTGGAGCATGAATTCCGTCGTGTGGTGCCGCCGGAGCTCCTACACCATAATGACACCATCGTCGACAAGATATCAGACTCTATCAGAGAATTCTACTTCCAACAGAAACCGATCGAAAACAGAAACATTGACAACCTTATTGACGTAAGATTACATACATCGGTTCAGTTAAAACTTTTGGTTATGATTATATGCAGTTAGCCAAATTATTTTGTATGCAAGTAAGGAAATAACGATTGATTCAGTACTTAACGCAGAGACAGAACATAGAGACACCAATACGTCATAGTTATTTATATTTATTCAATCTTTTTTTTTGGAACTGTACATGTATACAAAACAAGTTATTTAACTAATTGTATATATATTTTTTTTTGTTATGGATAAGCCTTTAAACGAGCCGACGGATCACCTGATGATAAGCAATCGGCGTCGCCCATGGACACCTAGAACGCCAGAGGCGTTACAAGTGCATTACCGGCCTTTTGGGGATTAGGAGTTTGAGGATTGATGGGGATTCATGGATTGGAGAGATTGGGGAAAGGAGGGGGGCCTTCGGTAACCTCACTCACATGACGAAACACAACGCAAGAGTTGCTTCACGTCAGTTTTCTGTGAGGCCGTGGTATCACTCCAGTCGAGCCGGCCTTATTCGTGCCGAAGCATGGCTCTCTGGCTCTCCCACACTTAAGAATTCCTTTTTCATGATTAATAATAATTTCCAGTAAAATATATTTTGTGCTTAGTTATTCACAGATGTGATGTTCCTGCGGCCTGTCCTGGAGACGGTCCGCCAGCAAGTAGAGAGTAATCGGACGAGTCCTACGTACTTGTATCGATTCGCGTTCGATGGAGCCCTGGGGCTCTTCAAACGTATGCTGGGCATCACACACGCAGGCGCCTGCCATGGCGACGAGATGGGATATCTGTTCTACTTCTCAAGACTCAACTACAGATTGGATGACGATTCTCCCGAGCTAGCTGTCTCACGACGCATGGTGCAAATGTGGACGAACTTCGCGAAAACTGGGTAAGCTCTAGCCAGTTATGAAGTTTCAAAACTATAAAGTAAAAAAAAATAAGGACCAGATGAGCAAATACTTCACAATTCCCTTTCATTACTGAAAATCATTAAATGAGAATGGACTTCTTATTGATTTTGCCATAATTTTAGTATTGAAAGTGACCATTTGCAACTGCAAGTTATCACTTTCTACGTCGTATGTTCCTGTACAAATACTCAGTTGGCCATTGCTGACTGAGTGATTAGATAACTGCAGATAAACGTAATTGTTATCTGTTGATTCGATGATGGATTGTTATTACTTAATAGCACCACTGCAAGAACTCTGATACTCACGATAGGGGATAATGATTGTATCTAATTAGGTACCCAAGAAATCTGGTATTAAATCTTACGTGTGATTTATATTATTTCGTCATGATTTTTCATTGATTGTAAATTAAACAATAACAATATACATATTGAGTCTTGTATTAAGAGCGATCGCGATTTAGGGCTTCTGTTCTAGACGCTCAATGCCTCTGTTTAAGCTAAGGATAAGTTACCAGATCAAGTCCTAAAATATTTATGTTTTATTTATCTAAAATAAACGTATCATTTTAGGAATCCAACGCCGAGTGTGGACTACGAATCAGTAGTTGACTTCACCTGGCCTCAAGTCAACAATACGGAACATATCAGCTATCTGGACATCAATGGTAACTTCACCGTACAGACGGACCCTGAATCAAAGAGAGTGAAGTTCTGGAACTTTCTATATGAGAACTATGGTGCTAAGCAAGAGGACACCACTAACTCAACTGTAGTTGACCAGTGAAATAGTACAATCAAGTGACAAGTGAAACTAGGTTTTGAGACGCTCTAACTGCCATGCCAGTGCGATTACATCCTTAAACACTCAATTTTAAAGTAACTACTTACTACACATGTTTATTGAGTCTAATATTATGGAGTACGACAATATAAGGGTAGCGTAGAATTGAGTAGCCTATCAGTGTTCAGTGTTGATCATAAAATTACTAACTTATCACCAAGTGCCAAACTATGATAAAGAATTCTGTAAATGTGTGATCTCAAGTACTGGCGGCGAATAGTAGCGATTGATGGAAAGCTAAGCATTCAGAAATGTAGGAAATAAACGAGTGAATGTGTTCGTTTCTTAAGACTATTCGTGAACTTTCTCTCGTAACGCTTATTCCAATTCCGATTGAAGGAAATGGAAAATTAGCTATTTTATCAACTCTTAACTGCGATGTAAATAATAGATTTATTTAGATTAAGTATCTTATATGTCTTCTGTCGTAGTGTCAACGCCTGTTAAGTTACCATTTATAGAATAAACAAATTTAGTTTTTTTAAGTTGTTTCAATTGACTTTATTGGGTAAAGGTTAACTATAAGTAATGTAAGTTTGTACGTTGTTTTATAATTAAATAGAAAAATAAAACTTTATATGGCTAAATAAAGAAATTCCAAGTTCTTGATCGAAGGAAGATATAGACACAATTAAATCAACGTCGCTCTTTACTTTAAGGAAACAAAAATAAAAACAAGCTCCTCGTCGCATACAACCTCAAAGATATTAAAAGTGTACGTCATGACTCGGGGAAACTAGCTCGAGAAAATGGTACCTACATACTTGCTATGATTAATCGTGCAGTTTCCCTATACGTCATTGGATCTTCTAGCGATAGTGACTGGTATATAAAATAAGTGAATCAAGTACAAACAACATCATTCAGTAAACAGATTCAGTCCTGAACCATACAAAACTTTCCTATAAAGTAGTAAATAATTGTATCTCATCAAAATGGTTAGGAACAACTTGGTGAGCTTCCGAAGGCGGGAGGAAAAACCAGCGCAGGGTGATGATGTCTCAAGGTAAGTTTTCACGATAACTGACAGATCAAGCCAAAAAAATCTATTCACACTATAAACCCAAACACAACTTACTAGTTGTTTAACATTCTCCTTCTATCTCCTGCTAACTATTTACACGGTGAAACAGAACGCAAGCGAGCGTTGTTTCACGTCGGTTTTCTGTGAGGCGATGATATCACTGGTGGAACTGACCCATTCATGCCAAAGCGAACTCTTATCAATATCTCTGTGTGGCTTAACTATAACGAGAGATAGAAGCACATCTTGTACACGATTTTTGTTCAAAGGGTGGTGTGTCTGTGTCCGTGTCTTTTCTTTCTTTCTTTCTTTCTTTTCTAGAAGTCGTTATATATCTCTATCTTTCTTACATCAGAGAGCTTTCTCTACTATAGCTTTATTTCTTGGTTAAAAGAACAACGGGACTGATCTATTGACGATGATAGAACTATGGGCGTCAAATTGAGTTTGTGCTTAAATGGACTATGTTGTAATGTCGTGATGGCCCGTAGGTTTAAGACGCCCACTTCTCATGCATGAGGGTGCGAATTCGAAACCAACCAACGGCAAGTACCAATGTGACTTTTTCCGAGTTATATGTACTTTCTAAGAATATCTAGACACCTCTGACAAACGGTGAAGGAAAACTATAATTATAATTTCTAATTATAAGTTTAAAATCGCCAACCCGTGTGGGAAGAGGCTTTGCTCAGCAGTGGGAATTTATAGGCTGTTGATGTTGATGCTGTTGCTGCTCATTTAATTAGAGATCTAAAGACGCCTGTAAATAATAGTGACTTATTTCAGCACCAAGCCAGCCAGTAAGGTGTATAACAGTATTTTGGAGTTAGTCGGCAACACGCCTCTGGTGAAACTGAACAGGTTGCCAATAGAACATGGAGTTAAATGTGAAGTTTGTATGTATCTTTCTTAGTATATTACCATTTAATTGAATGAAATATTATGTCTCTTGTGATTTCGATTGTACCTACTCAATTATACGCAATGACTGATTTGGTTATTAAACATAACATAACATCACGCCTTTTTTCCCCGAAAGGGTAGGCAGAGGTGCACATTATGCCACTGTACAATGTAACACCCACTTTCTACTATTTATGCAATGAATCCCATGTAATAGGGAGTGAGCCTATTGTCATATACCGGGCACAATTCCAGACTCCGTGCTACTACTGAGAATTTTTTAAAAACCCAGTAATACTTTGTCCGACCTGGGAATCGAACCCTTGCCGAGTCGCACTTGCGACCACTCGGCCAACGAGGCAGTCGGTTGGTTATTAAAATGATCGCATAAGTATGATTGCTGAAACAAAGTCTTGGGTCCGATTCCTGAGTGAGATAATATATGACGGTCGAAACCTATTGCGAATTTTGCTATGATTTACTTACTAAATTAAAAAAAAAAATTAAGCAGTATAACTTTTACATGTTACATTTTACAAACTGTGCTGATCAGTTTGCCACTAAGCACATGCACAATGTTCTTTTCTTTCATCAGACGTGAAATGTGAGTTCATGAACCCAGGAGGTTCTACCAAGGACAGGATTGTACTAGCAATGATGAATGATGCACGGAATGATGGAGTTGTGCATGATAAAACAGAGTTTGTAGAGGCCACCTCAGGAAACACAGGCATCGGACTTGCATTGAATGCTACTTTGATGGGTAACAACTTTGAGTAATTAAACACCTAATTCTAAATCCGCAAGGAAAAACAAATAAACAGCCTCGAACAAATAGATAAGATCTTATCAAAAATATATTTATAATAAAGTGATTTATTAAAAATGACGTATTTCTTTCCAGGAAATAAATGTACTATTGTAACACAAGATAAAAACTCTTCGGAAAAAGTAAACACGATGCGTTTATTGGGAGCTGAAGTGATTCAGACTAAGAATGGGGCCCTTGAGACCGCCATCGCTCGTCGATTGAAGGATGATAACCCTGACACTGTTGTGATACTTAACCAAGTAAGAACGAATGTAGTTTTCAAATAAATATATACTCACCCAGAAAAACACTTTTAAGTGCTGTACACCTATGTGAAGTTACGTGTTTGTAAACATAAATTGGTAGCGCAAACCAATATTTAAAAAATTCTCTATCTCGTATTTCAGTTCGACAACGAAATTAATCCGAGAGCTCACTATGAGAACACAGGAGAAGAGATAGTGGCGGCTCTAGGGAAGGTGGACTTCGTGGTATTAGGGGCTGGCAGTGGAGGCACTTTGTCTGGTGTGGGCAGCAGGCTCAAGGAAAATAACCCAGACTGCAAGCTGGTTGCAGCTGAACCCGACGGTTCTATCATGATCAACAAGGACGGAAATCCCCATCCGTTTTTGGTAATTTACAGATTAAATACGATACCAAAAAGAAGATAATCATCAGATATCTTATCGTATAAAACAAATGATATGTGGTTTGGGTGTGTGCCACCACAGAGGAAATGACGTAAAATGATACCTCTCTTTACTTATTTGAACAAAATACAGAATAACTGCATAATAAAGATTTGTTTGTTCTTGTAGGTTGAAGGTATAGGAGGATCCGAGGCGTCAATTGTTTTAGACAAATCCCTGGTTGATCACGTTGAGGTAGTTACTGACAAAGAATCATTCTTGATGGCCAGGGAGCTGGCCAAAAAGGAGGGATTGTTGTGTGGTAATTATCTTCTTTCATATTTTTTCCATAAGTTCCCAAGTGGGTCGAAAAATTGATGCTGGTCTATTATAAATTTACTTGTCGTTAACTTAGGAGATATCATTTAGTTTAAACGCATATTACCAGGTGGTAGTAGCGGAGCGGCCGTGTGTGCGGCATTCAAGGCTGTGAAATCACTGAGCATTGGCCCCGGTAAACGCGTCGTGGTCATCCTGCCCGATGGTATCAGGAACTACATGACCAAGTTCGTCAGCGACCAGTGGATGGAAGCACACCGGTTCCTGGAGCCTCCTCAACATACAATGAAGTAAGTATTTTAAAATGATTTAAAAATAAATTTTTTGCTTAATCGTCATAATTATCAATCGGAATACGTTTGTCACAGTGAATTACTCGTTTCTCTAATTGATATTAATATTATTATTTATTAACAGATGGTGGACAAAACCCATCAGTGATTTGAACCTGTCCCGTGAATATCCCAAGATGCCATCAAACAGCACGTGTCATCAGGTTCTCGATGCTATGAACGCGACCAACGCCAACATTGCAGTCATTGTGGATGATAACGGGTATATATTCTACTTACAATCTATTTGCACAACTGCTATAAACTTTAAAACTATGTACTTACAGTCTATTAGATTACAATAATAAATAACCAAAGCAAATCCATGTATGCACATGAACTTTTATGAGTATTGATACGAGTATGCATAAGACGTCATTTGTGTCGTAAAATTAAAATCACAATTCATTTATGGAAACAGAAACTCGTGATTCAATTTTATTTGATGATAATTTATTTAGTGCAAGTATAATAGTCAAACGGCGAAAGTATAATAGCCTGATTGGCAATTATGCTTTCGAACCGTTTGGGGTTGAAACTTTAGGGCCGTGGGGCCCAAGTGCACATCTTCTTTACAAAGATATTGTAAGGAGGATGGTTGACACTTCAGGTGATCGAAGGGCTGGCTACTACCTTGGGCAAAGGTTAAGCATTGCCATTCAACGTGGCAATGCTGCCAGTCTTTTGGGCACCCTACCTCACGGTAGCGATGAGGAGAATATTTTCTTTGATGCCTTATAATTTTTTTTTTCATTATTATTATTTTTTCATTAGGTATTATTAACTAACACTAACATAACATCACGCCTTTTATCCCCGAAGGGGTAGGCAGAGGTGCACATAGAAGTAACACCCACTTTTCACTGTTTATGTTATGAGTCCCATGTAATAGGGGGTGAGCCTATTGCCATATACCGGGCATAGGTATTATTATTTTTTCATTATTATTATTTTTTCATTAGGTATTATTATTTTTTCATTATTATTATTTTTTAAGGTGTAAATATTTTAGTTTTAATTATACTATAACAATACAATTAAATTAAACTTTAGTGAAATTATTCCCAATATTCTTTTTAAAATTACTTGCAGACATTACGTGGGAGCTGTGTCCAAAAACAATCTTCGGAATAGAGCGACGAACCCCACCAAGTTACCTGGTCAGGTGTCTGAGGAGTATGACTTCCAGGACGTGGTGACTGACCATCTAGACAAGCACGTCTTCACCCTAGCAGATAACGCTGTGCCTGAGAACACTACCATCGGACTTCTGTCCCGTGTTTTGGACATCACTCCGTACGTGATCATCGTGACAAAAGATACCGATAATAGTGGTAAGTCGGAAATAAATAAGTTAAACAACATAATAAAGCTATATTACAATTACATAACATAACATCACGCCTTTTATCCCCGAAGGGGTTGGCAGAAGTGCACACAGAAGTAACACCCACTTTTCACTATTTATGTTATGAGTCCCATGTAATAGGGGGTGAGCCTATTGTAATATACCGGGCACGATTCCAGACTCCGTGCTACTACTGAGAATTTTAAAAACCCAGTAAAACTTTGCCCGGCCCGGGAATCGAACCCGAGACCTCTTGCCTGGCAGTCGCACTTGCGACCACTCGGCCAACGAGGCAGTCAATTAAAGTATATTACAATAGTACTATAGAAATACTAGAACCTTTAAAAATAGACTCGAGTGTGTGCTCAAATTGTATACAACATAAATAGAAAAAAAGCCCAGTGTTCGATAATTTTTATTTCACGAATTCCTTGGAGGCTAACCAAAGGTTTGTGTAAACTATATGTTGACCATACATGTATTCGTATCTGTTCCAGCATTCTGCACCCCGACCAATGTGGTGACTGGTGATGATGTCCTTGACTACATTTTCGAATCTCACAAAAACAATTAATTAAATAGCAACTTGTACTGTAATATTCTTAAAACATGATAAAATAAAATAAATTTATTTTAATTTTAAATGTTTTAATACTTTACCTTGTTTTCATACTTTCATTACCTATACATATAGAATTTTCGTAGACGTTTCATAGAAGCTTCACACAAATTGTGACAAACTTTAATCTCTAGTGAACCCGTCAACCGATCAATTATTGAGACTAACTGTTAAATTAGTACAGAACAATAGTTTATCTGTATGTATTTCATTAAACTGTCAAACACCGCGAGGACACCAGTGACCGCAACCTATTGTTCTTTAATTGTGTCTATAATGACAGTACTCAAAGAGTTAATCCATATAAGCGTCAGTATCCGTATAGTTAGGAAATAGACCAATTTAGTTACATATTATTGAAGTTACTTCCGATACAAAAACCTATGTCAAAATAATGATGAACACTATAAACAATTCGGGTACATTGCGCCAAGTCACTTATCTCGATCAACCAAATTAAACGAATGGTCAGGTTGTACCAGTAGGTACGAATACTAGATATGCCAATTAGTTTTATTGTACATGCACAAAAGTTAATAACTGTAAAAAGTCACATTATAATGATGTCTGATACTATTGTTGAATATCGTTTCCCTTGACTTCCCACGTATAATGCTTATAAATGGCGAAAAATACTTAAAATCTTGATAAAATAGTTCAACTGTTGCTAGATTGAATTTATATTAAGAAAACCAACTGTTCATTGTTTATAATGTTCAATAGAATATATATAGTTTAATAGAAGAAAGAAAAGTAAATTGAATTTTAAAACGAAAAGTTTTTGTCGATGTTTGTTACTTAATCACTAAACGGATGGACAAATCTAGATGAAAATTTCAGAAGTATAACACATGGCTATGTTGGGTGGCAAAAGTTAGTTAAGACTTATAAATATTATTTTCTTATATGGGATAAACCGGTAAACGATCAGGTCTCCTGATAGTAAGCAACCGTCATTGTCCATGGACACCCGGAGCAGCAAAATCGTAACAAGTACGATGCCTTTTGTGGTTTGGAATCCGAGGATAGTTGGGGATTTGTGGATTGGGGAGATTAAGGAGCGGGGTAATTGGAACTCCGGTAACCTCACTCACACAACGCAAGTTGTTTCACGTCGCTTTTTTGTTGTTGAGGCCATTGTATCACTCCGTTCGAGCCGGCCCATTCGTGCCGAAGTATGGCTCTCCACACTTGAATATAACGTTATATCTATTTATGACATTATTGACGCGTCAAAATTACAGTAAAGCCAAGGATACACTACGGGACAATACCCTATGTCACTGTAGACATATAAGTCGCGCATTGTCACCGTCTGTCAGGTGACATCATATCTTGGGGCATTTGTCCTATAGTGTATCCTTAACTTAATGTTTCATCTGACGACAAGGGGGTTGTTTCGTGTGCGTGTCAACGTGATTAAGTTATTAAAAGAACCTGTGAAATTATGACCAATTTTAGCATCAGTCGTATGTCGACCACACGATCACATCGCGCGTCGTCGTGTCGTCATCTGTTTATTATGACGATTATCATTAATTCATTATATAAGCCTAATCTTATCAGCAGGATATAATCGTTGATATTACTTCCTTAAACTTTAGTTGGTCACGAAGTCACGATATTTATTCAATCGTGGTCATCTAGAAAGAACGAAATTAATGGAACGATTCGTAGTTAAATTAGTTTCTTTCTTTTTAAGAATTTTTTTTTTTAGAAAAGAAAGAAAGAAAGTTTAAGAAAGAAAGAAAAAAATACTTCTTTAGGTTCAAAAATGTTACTATAAATTCTTTGTAAAATGATATAGATAGCACAATATTCAATTACAACTTAAAATTGAGTAAAATTTCTATATTAAGGCGTAAGTTACGTTAAGTTGAATAAAAAAATGTTGTCTGCTACAATGGTAACTCGTAGCGCGTAGCAACGTTTTACCGATATCAATCTTGTAGCACTACGAACTATGTGCTACGAACTACGCGCTACGAACGGCGCACTACGAACTATGTTCTTCGAACTACGCGTTAAGAGTTACGGTTGTAGTATTTCACCGTATAAAATTAAGTATAAAGGGATTTAGGGTTTGGTGGGACCTATTCAAGTAAAATCTAAATTAGCCACAAGCGGAAAGAATTTGGATTCGTCTGGAAAGGTAGAAAATGCACTATAATAAATTCTCAAATACGTATCCTCTACCGAGTTAGTAGATTTCATATCACATTTGTTTTACTGGGAAGGCGGAGCATGAAGAGCAGTACGTTAATACAGACAACTTACAGCTGTTGTAAGGTTATCTTACAATTAGTGATTAAAATACGATCCCTCTTTATCTAATCGTCATAATGTAACGTCACGCCACATTTTTCCACAATTTGTAGGCAGAACTGCATACATATTTTGTACATTACGTTACATAACCGACAAGGTAGACAGACGATCCGATCTATTGGAAATCGTAGGTCGCAGGTTGCTCTTCTTTGGCCGATCAGAAAGTCATTGCATTAGGAAGATAAGTAGCTGCTACGATTACTCTGGTGAAAGTACCATTTATATCAGAAAGCATATAGAGTACCTACACATTTTTAAGGACTACCTTATTGCCAAACAGAGCTTACAGGTTAAATTTATTTGTTGCGAATAATTGTTTTCTTTCAGAGCTATATAATTTAAATATTTGAATTGTAGTAATCTTGGCCGGGCGCGATGGGGAAAAGCATGAAACAGTCGCGCCTCGGGAGTTCGAAAGTCCCATGTAGAATTTTGTCAAATAGCTTAATTATTTTACACTCTTCTTATCTCAATGCAAACAATACGTAGGCTATTGACTGACATCATTTTATTAAAGAATCTGTAATCTGGAATAAACATCGTCTATGGCACTGTCTGCCCATCGCAGATAAGTAAGCACTTTATCCATTGACTACACACATAAACAGGCTTATCTCTACATACGCAGGTACTTCAATCTGTGCAAATAGTAATTTTCTAATCACATGAAAAACCATGTATGTATAACTGTTGGTGATAAAACTGTTTCAAGCTAAAGAAAGGCATTTTTTAATATCATGGTTGCTGTTTTCGGTTCTTAATTTCGTTCTTATTGAATTGGATTAGTAAATGCAACGTTTTAATCTAACTGCTATTGTTAGAGACAGGAGAAAACACTATCTCTTCGCTTTTATTATACCTTGTGTGTAGAAATATATGAGTGACTGTAAAATATTTCAGGTTGTCCGTTCAGAATGTAGTGATGTCCTCGGTTAGATACGCAACCTACCTACATGAACACAGTAAAGCCCAACCTAACGCAACTTACTTCATTTTATGATTTCACGCTTTATACACGGTTTTCGAATTTTACTAACACGTAATGCTCGTTATTTACACTTGTATTAACCGTCGTTGGTTTTTGTAGCCTGTAAGGTAGGTATAAGTACCTATTCATTATAAACAAGGGAGGTATAACAAGTATGCTAACCAATCAACTGAAATAAATGCATTACGTATTATATATTTTCTATGATAATATTTTATGTTCAATACCTACATATCTACTTATACATGTTTCTAGTAGTAAATCCGTATTTTACAATAAACATTACCTACTTTCTAAAGCGCTACGAATACGTAAATAAATATTTACATGTATTTTATGTTATGTAGATAGCAAATAAAACATAATTAAATTAATTAACTTGCATAGTAACGTAATTTTTCGATATGAGAATCGATCAACTTCTGAAAAGATTGCTCTTCCCGATCGAAACTTAGCGCCGGCGCTGGCGCTGCTCCGTAATAACCCGTTAACCCTGAAGACCGTTACGAAGGCCAGAGATCACATACAATACTTAGAAACTTGTTTCAATAAACATTACATATTTATGGTAATTTTATCCAATTGTTTACTACCTACGTCGAAGGGACAACTTCCTATAGTATAGGTACTATACACTACCGCAATATAAATATGTAATTAGTTAGTCGTTATACTTAATCGACATACGATGATCCTTATGATCGTACGTTTTAGCTAAGTTCTCAGTCACGTGATACGAATTTATTTGACACCTGCCCGTGTGACCGTTTTCTATTACATAAAATGCGTTAACTGAAGAGCACGATTCCTTCGCATTGTCCTTAGTCAGAGTCGTACCGGTTTCCTTTACTGATGCATTGGTTCTTCTCTTAAATAATTTCTAAACCAATAATAGACTCTGTTCATAAATCAAAGTTAATAGGTATAGTATCGATACTGTGATATATACTAAGGTATACATTGATCTTCACGATAAGAAATACAATTATCGACGTTATGATTTGTGATAAAAAAATACATTATCGAACATAAATATTGCTATAAATTGAATCGTGGATGCTCGCCTTTATAAGTCCTATATAAACTTGCATTCAACGAGTGCTCGTAGTCGTAGTGTTTATGAAATTTTAGTATTTTTGAAAATTAACAGTCTCGGATTTCTACAATGAACGTCAGTCATAATGTTCGGTAAGTTAATTTAAACCTTATTATCGTCTCATAGAGCTTTCTAAGGTTTATTTAAAAGTCAAGATTGATTTCTTCCTAATGAAAGACATTCGCACAACTTTATTTAAGTATTCTTAGTAAACTATTGTTTTTAAATAAATTTTAAATAATTTCACTCAAATTTTTTCTTACAAAAGTTTTAGTTTTAGCAACAAAGTATTAAAACCTTTTCTATTTATTATATGACCTAGATTGAAACCTTGGAACTATTTATAAAAAATATTAGATGCCTAGGTACAAAGCTGAAATCCTGTCTTGTATCTATTGCCTCCATTTTTCATGGTTTGTTTCCTACCACAACATTATAATGAAACAAGCGATGACCCCAATTATTCTAATTAACAATTAGTTATTATAGAATACCAAGGGAGAATTCCTTTAGGTAATGTTATTTTGTGAATTATTTAAACATACGAAATCTTACATAATTTAAAAAAAAAAATATGACAATGGTACCTATGTATTTATCGTAATTGATTATGATAATATTTAACATTGACTGCAAGGATTAAGCAGAAATTTACTTACGTAGACATGAGTGAAATTTAAAATAGATAATCTGAACCAAATATTTTTTCCTTCTATAATAAAAATGCCTCCATTTCTTCTCTTTGGTGTCTCACCTTTCTTCTGAATAGTAGTACTTCGGAAGTTAACAGTCGTAGCAATATCATCTAATTTGCTAGTTAGGTTGGTACCTGTTTACTGAATAAAAAGGAGATGAACGAAATTCTTCATAAAAAGAAGTTTAACCCTAAAATATTTTAGGAAATCTGAAGGCATACAAGAGAGTGCCAGTCCCGAGCCACACTTTGTAATAAATAACATAGGTACTTTGTAATAAAACGTACTTATATCAATTACAAAATATGTTTTCAGTGGAAAACCTGTATACGACAACATATTGGAGGTTATCGGGCACACGCCTCTGGTGAAATTAAATCGTATACCAAAAGACCATGGATTAAAATGTCAAATGTGTAAGTGCTATACATTACTTATTTTGTACTATAGTATTAGACCCCGTACCGTGTAGTATCGTCATAGATTCCAGTAGCATATGTAGATATGAAAATAATTATTAATGAAGTACTTGTATCCTTGCCTTTATGAAAAGTAACTATTTGACTTAATTTCACTGTAAAGTAACAAGCTTTTTCAAAATATTCGGATATTTTGGTTTAAATCTATACTAATATATACTCTGTTTTTATTATGTATTATCCTCTGTGTTGAATGTGTGTACATAAATAAATAAATAAATAAATAAATAAATATTACAAAGCTAATATTACGAGTTTGTTTTTTTGTTTGAACGCACTAATCTTCGTAACTACAAGTCTGATTTGAATAATTCTTTTTGTGTTAGATAGCGCATTTATCGAGGGAGCCTATAGGCTATAAAACGTCACGCTACGAACTATAAGAGCTGAGCAGAGCGTGTGAAACCGCGCGGAAGTAGCTAGTGTATAGTGTATTTTTAATCATTTCATACATGAGGTGGGTAACAGAGGTCAAACGACTAAACCTACATACTTCCTCAACCAAGTATCGGAGTAATTCGTATATTGTGCGAGCGAGCAATGATTTCATAAACTGTGTAAAGATTTTTCTTTCGACCCATTTAACACAAAACTTAGGTACTGTGGCGCGCAGGCAGCTGAACCTTGATTTCTTTAATTCATAGTGGGTACCTATACGATCTTTAATATTTGGAGTAATTTGTACATCATTATTGATTACCTGTGGTTTAATAAGTAATTTTAGTACTGTGTTGACATGTTTCTACTCTCTGTTACTAATCGTGGAAACCAGTACCTAATTGGCTTCTTGTTGCATACCACATTCTATTTAATCAAATTGTATAGCTGTTGGATTTCCAAATGTATAAATAAATAAATAAAAAAATTAAAACTATAAATACACCGATTACTTGAGCAGTTGAGTCAGCGATTAACACGAACAGATTAAAATAAATCAACATCGCGTCGCATCGCAAGCTGTATGATACGTACGTAAATACAAATTAGATTATTTATTACCTACAGATTTTATGTATTTCGTTTTGTGATCTATGCAGCCACGGAGTATTTATTCATTATTTACGTTGTATTTTGTTACTTTCATTGTCGGATTAACTCTCGATTTCAAATAAGATTAGAAATATTGGCACCAATTGTTTACTAAATCATTCAAACAGAAGTCACTTCGACTGTACTAATAAATCACATCGATTGATAGTCAATATTTATATGTGCACAGATAAACATCTGCAGGTAGACATCAGTCATATACATAGGTACTTGTCATGTATTAGATATAACTTTATCTTTGTCGTCACAAAGTTGATTATATTGCTCCACACGTTTTCGCCAATTAACAACATTTCACGCAACTAATGAATGGATCTCAATGTATGACATAATATAAGTAAACAACACACACACACACACACACACTATTTGATGGAACAAAAAACAATTAACACATTGAACGCCATGGTGGTCACCGGTGACCGACATTAGCGGAAGATTTGCCTTCAACAGTTTTTTATTGGCAGTCAAAGCCTTAAGAACATTAAGTAAATTTTATTCAATACTAGCTTCTGCCAGCGGCTTCGCCCGCGATCCAGGGGTAAAATGTCTATGTATTACTTCAGACCATAATCGACCTCTGTTCCGAATTTCATTCCGGTCCCTTCAGTCGTTTTAATATGACTAAGTAACAAACATGCATACACCGTTACACAAAAATAATCCTTATTGCATGATTCAGTATTCACGCGCGACGGGCGCGATGGCTTATTAGCGTATTTCATGTATAGGTTTGGTGTTTCTATACCGATTTCTATGATTATTTTTTCACTAGCTTGTGCCCACGACTTCGTACGCGTAATCCCGTTTTCTCCCGTTCCTATTATATTTTCAGGATTTGTTCTGTATTAAGAACCCTTTACTAATAATAACAAATACAACAAAAAAATAATGATTTCGGTTCAGTCATTCACGGAAGATGCCGTGACCAAGGGAAAAAGTTATTCATTTTTATATATTACTAGCTGTTACCCGCGGCTTCGCTCGCGTCACAAAAAAATAAAAAGTAGCCTATGTGACATATACTAATACACACAGCGCCATCTATACCAATACTTTTGTTTTTCCTCGGGAATATCAATTTTTTCAGGGTTAAAAAGTACCCTATTATTTAATCCGGACTTCTAACTTTACGTCTGCAAAAATTCTAAGCAATCGGTTGAGTAGTTACGGCGTGAAGGTGGAACAAACAAACAAACTCACTTTCAGATTTATAATATTAAGTAAGGATTTTACTGTGTAGACAAACGGGGGATGGGAGGACTGATGTACCACTCCTGCTACAGGGTCCATTCTACTTTCTCTAAAGTTTAGAACATCGATAACCAAGATACATAGCTAGTTACCTTCTTTACTTTATAAAAATTGACTAGATGTATTGTAATAAAAAAATTGTATGACAAGGGCACGGACCAAGAGTCTGTGGAGAATTAATTTGTAAAAAAAAATCAAGATACAGCGTGAACCAGTTAATAAATAGTCATCGCAACATCGCCTACAGTCAAAGAATATTAAAAGTAAGTAGGTACAATGGCTCCTTCATACAAATCATGGAGTTCACAAGCATTGATAAGCATGTTCTAAAAATAAATTGTTTAGTCACCACACCCGTTGGTTACAAAAAATAATACAGTACTATAGTAAAATCATGAACTGAAGTGGTGTTTATTTAACGTCCGAAGTTAAGCAACATCGGGCGCGGTTAGTACTTGGATGGGTGACCGCCTGGGAATACCGCGTGACGTTAGCCTTTTGCTGATTTTACTCAAGACTTTAAGGTATTTTTAAATATTTGTAATTTAATTAATAATATTTTGCAAAATAATATAAAATATAAAATCTAACTGTCCCCTATCTCCCCTTTGAGGAACAAAAGTCTTTATTTTTTAAGTAAAATCATAAACGGTTCATGCAAATAGATAGTTTAAATAGCAAAATATGTATAGGATCCGCGTGCGCATCAATAACATACAATTCTAAAAATCCATCATTGGTTGAACAAATACGACAATACCACAGTGAAAATATTGTACAGAACAATAATTTCAGCTTCTCATTCGCCAACGTCCATACCATGTTGAAAGCACCGGTTCTCGTCCGATCACCGAAGTTAAGCAACATCGGGCGCGGTTAGTACTTGGATGGGTGACCGCCTGGGAATACCGCGTGACGTTAGCCTTTTGCTGATTTTACTCAGGACTATTGAATTTTTTAAATTACTCAAAATATTGGAAATAATAATATTCTACAGTTGTGTTTTTAAGCAACCAACCAAATGTAGTAAAACGTTTTGCTAAAATGTATAAATAGCCTCGTTACTGTAATTAAGATTTTTATGAATGAAAAAATGTATAAAATCCAATTAATTATTTGCATTTTTTCTGTTTGTATCCCCAGCGTACTTTCAAAGTTAATTCCGATAGATGGCTCCCAGCTGTTAGATGATATTTAGTTGATCATCATGACTCTTCAGAACTTTCTGAGGGGGATGAACAGGAATAGACAGTTATCATACCGTTACACTGAGATTATAGTGTCGTGAATTAATGGGGAAAAGTCATGTGCAAAATGATGTATTGGAATTATTATACACTAGCTTTTACCCGCGGCTTCGCTCGCGTCACAAAAGAATAAAAAGTAGCCTATGTGACATATACCAATACACACAGCGCCATCTATACCAATACTTTTGTTTTTCCGGGTTAAAAAGTACCCTATTATTTAATCCGGACTTCTAACTTTACGTCTGCAAAAATTCAAAGCAATCGGTTGAGTAGTTACGGCGTGAAGGTGGAACAAACAAACAAACTCACTTTCAGATTTATAATAAGTATTAGTAAGGATTGAATAGGTTATAATGTTATTTTTTTTAAATTATGGATGAGTGACAATATTATAAACATAAAAGTAAACAAATAAATGAAAACTCCGAACTGTTAAGCTATCAGGAGTTACACGTGTTATTGTGAGTCAACCATAAAAGATAGACGTATGCTGTTCCGGAATATTTTTTAGATAATATGTAGAACATTTCCGTCATACACGATTTCTTTGTAGCTTTAACCATCAAGGCTGCACACGCGACGGTAGCTTAAAAAATGGAGTAACTTCTCTCGTTTTCCCAACATTACCCTTCACTGCTCTGCTCCTATTGATTGTAGCGCGTTGGAAATTATACTATAACCTCTCCAGAAATATGAAGAATAATTGTACCAAGTTTCGTTAAAATCCGTCGAGTAGTTTTTGTTTCTATAAGGAACATACCGACAGAGAGACAGACAGACCAAAATTTTACTGATTGCTATTTTGGCATTAGTATCGATCACTAATCACCCTCTGATAGTTATTTTGGAAATATATTTCATGTACAGAATTGACCTCTCTCCAGATTTATTTTAAGTATAGATATGAGTATCCAGTGGCCATGTCCTTAGATGTGTAATTAACGTGTAAATTAGGGGTAACATATAGTTTTGTTGTAGATGCAAAATGCGAATTCACCAACCCAGGTGGTTCAATAAAGGACCGCATTGCACATACGATGATCCAAGAAAAAGAATACGAAGGGGCCATCAAACCTGGCGTGACCAGATTCGTTGAACCCACTTCTGGGAATACTGGCATTGGAGTTTCTCTCGCAGCTGCAGTTAAAGGTTAGCTACCTACTTAAGAAATTAGTTATACCTAATACAGCACTGGACCGGTCCAGCTAACCCAGTTGAGGTGTGTATATTAGATATTACTGTCGTAAATCTACAGTTAAAACTTCAATTTCTGTTAGATGTTAGCAACCAATTTCGAAGACACTTGATGATGGCGTGTGTATAAAAAATAATAATAATCTTAATGTATTATCAGGATACAAATGTACCATTGTTACCCCCGACAAAAACTCCGATGAGAAGATGAGCACGATGAACTTGCTCGGGGCTGAGATCATCCAAACTCCATCCAATATCCACTACCAGGATCCCGGTAGCTTCGTATCGGTCACCAGGCAGATACTGGAAGAAGACCCCAATGCTATTTCTTTGGATCAGGTAAATTACCTACATTTAGATTAAACAATAAGTCCCCATCGCCCCGTTAGTCAGTCCCGAGGCCTGCGTTATGCTCAAGCGCGATTTCTCTCTCTCTTTTTTTAGAGAGGAACACAGGGCAGATGTACACTATTCCTTGAAGGCAGACCGCCACTGTGGCGAGTTCATACTTCATAACAGTCTTGAGCTATCTTCATGAGGATTTTCCACTTTTGGTTAAAATAATAGAAAGAGAACAACAAGTGGCTAATCAAAAATATTTACACAGTTAAAATATAAAACCTTATATTTGAATTGAAACTTTCTATGTTCTTATCAAAATGCCTTTTTCTTATTCTAGTGAGGGTTTCAGAGGCTCTTAGTTTAAAGTCTGAAACAGGCTACGCGTCTAGGTATTTGATTGGAAATATTAAACAGAAAGAAGGTGACATTGGAATAAACTGTATTTATATTTTGTCCTCAGTATTCAAACCCATACAATCCTATGACACACCACGAGCACACTGCATTAGAAATACTCGATGCTCTCGAATCTGTGGACATGTTTGTGATGGGCACCGGTACTGGAGGAACGGTCACAGGCTGTGCCAAGAAACTCAAGGACAAGTGTCCTAACTGCATCGTTGTCACTGTCGACCCGCAAGGCTCTATCATATTCGACGAAGGCCCGCAATTTTCTTATTTCGTGAGTACCTATTTGCTTTAATTCTATGTAGGTATAGGTGTCATCTATAATATTAAATAAGTGTCAGTAAGTCTATAATATTTCTCCTTCTATTATTTACAGGTAGAAGGAATCGGCGGAGACTTTGTCCCAGATGTTTTGGATAAAAATGTTATTAACAGAGTTATCAAACCAGATGATATTCACTCATTTAATATGTCCAGGGAACTTATTCGAAAGGAAGGATTACTTTGCGGTAAGAAATGTCAAATAACGTAGGGACTTTCAGAAATTAAATAGATGTACAAACACGGTGTGTCTACCAACAATTTTCACTTTTCATTTTTTTAATGAATTAGTTAATTATTCAATTCTACGCAATCTTTCGATGATAAAATATAGAAATATTATGACTTGTATACCTTCAGGGGGTAGTAGTGGAGCTATAACATATGCAGCCATTCAGGCAGCTAAGGATTTGAATCTCGGACCTGACAAGATAGTGGTGGTCATCCTTCCTGATGGCATTCGCAACTACATGACCAAATTCGTCAACGATCAATGGATGGAGGCACATCTCTTTAAGCCAGTTCCAAAAAGGGACTTCCCGTAAGTTAAAAAGAAACTGCTAGTATAAAAAAAAAATCCACATCACTGACTAAGCAAATTACCGAGTAACTTCTTTTAAAGAACGTTTTTATTTTTTCTGTGCATCTACATTATTTACTACTTTTGTAAATAGTTACTTGACTATAATATCATCCAATGTTCCAGATGGTGGACAAGGTGTATTTCGAATCTAAATATCATCCGCACTGTGCCTATGATTCCTGAGAACAGCACGTGCCTGGAGGCCATCGCTGCTATGGACACTAAACATAACGTAGCATTCATCGTCAACGACGATGGGTACGTGAAAAGCTTGTTTTGGTAGTCTAATGGTTGAAATAAGCTAGCTACTAGGGATATAAATACCATCAGGCAAACTAGTCACTTTTCTAATTAACCTCTCGCGCGCTTCTCGTACACACGGGTAAATATTTTAATAGAAAAGCGAATTAACTATTCTGTTCATTCAAATAAAGAACGGGTTGCAAACTTGAAAATATACGTCACAGAAAAAATATCCAATCGGTGCGCATTTCTCGTACACTTGTGTGTACAATTACACGATGGGCACTCAACTCTCAAGAAAGGTTAAGTGTAGTTAAAGTTATCAAAGGCACCTAGGACCTTTTTTTTTTTTTTTTTTTTTTAAGGGGGGAAAATCATCGAATGACTGCTCCCGCCTGGGTGAGGCGGAAGGGAGTGTCAGACTCTTACTGACTAAAAACCACCCCGTTCCTTCTCCTGCACGTCGAGCCGGAGCCCCGGTTACCCGTTAGGTTCTCCGCGACTCCGAATCGGCATCGGCCCTATTGGGCCCCATCTGTGGTGGTCTGATGGCTCTTTGAGGCGCGCGCGGAACGCGACGCGCCGTACGCTCGGGTCTGTTTCTGGTCGGACGGGGAGCCACCCATGCTCGCCGTCCGCAGGCCCGCGCTTACGGTGGCCGGAGATCGTCCCGCGATCCCCGACGCCCGGTGTGTCCTTCGCGATGGCTGGGTTGCGAGGAGGCAGCGCTTCGCTGCCTCACGCGACCCGCCTCCTCCTTAGCCAGCATGACTGCTTCGCAAAAGGAGGAGACGGCATCCCAGTCCCCCTCGCTCCGCATCATGGCCTGAACTAGGCCCGGACGCGAGAGGTCTCCATCGCCGATCACTTCCCTGAGGGCACGGCGGTGCTCAGCCCACGCAGGGCATTCCGCAACAGTGTGTTCCACCGTGTCCTCAGGGTGGTCCTCGCAGTGATGACACCCGGGCGTTTCCTCCCGCCCCATCAGACACAGGTACCTCCCGAAACTTCCATGTCCGGTGAGGACCTGCGTCAGGCGGTAGGTGAGGACGCCGTAGCGTCTCTCAAGCCACTCCTCAAAGAGGGGACTTACCGCTGCAATGGCAGCGAGCCCAGGCACCTAGGACCTGGCTAGAGCGCCAGACAAAGGAGCGCCAGACGCCACAAGACGCGCTTTCCCATAAAGTGACGGCGGTACCAAAAAAATTAGGGGCGCCTATGAGGTACTTTCCAAGGGCGTCCGTGTCTGCACACTAGGATTCTCTGTGTTTTTGTAAATTTATTAGCCACTTATGGTAAACTTGTTACTTAAATAAAATATTAGGCATTATTCTACACTACACAATTTTGCAAAGCCCGCACATACTCCCACTGGGAATTAAATAAATGATTTCTTAATTTCAGATTGCTCAAGGGTGTTGTTTCAAAGGACAGTTTAAGAGCTGCAGCCACAAATCCTAAATGTAACATTCCACTCGATATCCATGACAAGGCAATCAAACATGTTCTGAAGAAACATCACAAGATTATAGAAAATAAGGAAAACCCGACTGTAGGGTTAGCAGCGAGAATACTAGACATAGCACCATTTGTTGCAGTCGTAGAAGAATACAAGAATGGCAACAATAACAGTCCAGGTAAATTGTGTACCTACCGACTTATTTACTTCTTTACTTATAGTCATCATCATGTCAGCCATAAGACGCCCACTGTTAATCTTCCGCGACGGCGAACCTCAAGTTCCTTTAATCAAATTTATGGTTACATAGATGTTCTACGCTGCGATTTGCTTATGTAATAGAATTATTAATTTTTAATGGATGTTGTTTTCTTTCAGGTTTAATACCAAAAGGAATAATCACCTCCGAGGTAGTGCTGGACTTCATCTTGAAACATCAGACCAATATTTGAAGACCTAATTACTTATTATCCTTCTTTAATTTTACTATATCTACTCATTATTGTTATAATTATTTTGTTTGTTTGTTTTCAAAAATGGGACGAAAGTATTCCAGTCCTCTGGAAGGCCAACTACAAGGGGCACTTTTTGCGAGATAACCAAATTAAGTACTAAAAATAAAAAATATGGCACATTATAACAAACAAACATTTACTTAAGTACTAAATAACTGGTTCTAGATAAATTAGTTACTTAATAATATACAACTCTCGAAATGATACCAATCTAGACTAGAGCAATTTATTATTGCACTTATCATTATGTATACATATACTTAGGTTTATAACTATTACATTGTGATTAATTATTTACTAACATTATTAAACAAATATTTATTGCACAAATACCTATTCTCTTTTATTTAAATTCTGAATCACATATTACAGCCCTTTAGAGGTATGAACGCCGATGCTAAGTGGCTCCTCCTAACAGTACCTATCACCTACAATCAATCTAGCGAGATGTATCATATTTTTTCACACTACAATAAAAAGTAAGCGCTAAGTAAACAGAGTTAGAGCTCGTTCCCACTTGTCGGTTGTCGGATACGAATATTAATCGGAGATCGGCGCTCTTGTTCACACTTTGGTTAATAATCAGCTGTCGGCCGTATCCGAAGCTACTGCCAATTTTAAGCGCTCTTCGCGGGGTGATTGTGCACGATGGACGTCGACGAAGCTCTTGTTGTTATGTATTATTATTTAAGGAGAAAACAACGACAGAGGACAAAGGAAAGAAAATATTAGTTGCACTCAATCCTGAGAGAACGATTTAGTTTGGAAACATTCTAGAACTTAATAACAGATTTAACAGTACAATTTATTCTTATTTAGTATTATATTTAATAATATACTTTTTATTGCTTTTTGCAGTTTGTATTAAATTAATATCTTTACTAAACAATTGCATTGAAATACTAAACAATTTCATCTTTACTAGAAATTGTCTAAGTGGCGCTGGCGAGTGGCGAAATCTATTCAACATGAGTCGATAAATATCGATATCGAATTTTGCAAAAATAAAGTATTTTCGTGTACTTTATTATTCTTATTAAGTATAAAGTACAATCACCTTAAATAACGTACTTATACTTTATTATAAAGGACGGGTGGCAACCCTAGCCCCGACACCCGAAAAATGTGACCCACGTTTTTTTTCAGGCGTAGAGGCCTAGCAAAACACCCGACATTTACGGGCAGCGCCGACATAAAATCGGTTTCCGATAAGTGTGAATAGCTTCATATAAAAACTTCTGCCACTAGAACCTACGATTAATATTCCTTTCCGACATCCAACAAGTGGGAACGAGCTCATAGCCAAGCTATTTGGTATGCAGGTAAAAAAATAAAGATTTATTCAGTACTCTCTCTCTCTCTAGTTGTTCCCACATGTCTGAGGATCGTGGTCAGCATCTGGATTGCATCTGGAGCGGATAATCTACTTCCAGCGGTCTCTGTAAAGCGCTTCTCTTACGGCTGTGCAAAATTTAGAGGACAGGTTTCGATGGAAAACGCCCACGCGATCTCTTGCCTTCGGCGTTCCCAAGTCCAATCAGCTTCTCCAGGTTCTCGCCACCTCTGCGGACTGTGTGGGCAAAGTACGAAAGGATTAGCATTCGCCTCCAACACCACATTTCGAAAGTATTTATCCTCTGTCTCTCGTCGCGGAGAACCTAACGGGTTACCGGGGCTCCGGCTCGACGTGCAGGAGCAGGAACGGGGTGGTTTTTAGTCAGTAAGAGTCTGACACTCCCTCCCGCCTCACCCAGGCGGTCATTAAATGATTTTCCCCCTTAAAAAAATCCTATGTCTCTCTCTCGCGCCAGTATAGTCCACGTCTCCTCTCCATAGGTGAAGATAGGAAATATCAGAGCTTGTATTTCGGGATCACAACTACCGTCATTGCAAATTTGGGAGCCCAGGCCTGCCCATATCAATACCAGGAACGCCGCATGTGACAGCTCGATTTATTACTTACCCAATCTAAGTATATGATTTTTATTAAAGTACTAGCTGAGCCGCCAAACTTCGTACTGTCTCTATTTTTTTTTTCACCTTGTAAACCTTCCTTGGGCTTCTACAAATAATTCAAGACCAAAATTAGTCAAATCGTTATCTACTCAAGTTTTAGCGAGACTAACGAACGGAAATTTATTTTTATTTAAATTCATGATTTTGATTGATGATTTGATTATGTATAGTTATCTTTTGTAATCATTGACCGGCCCGGATTTATACTAACTCAATTGTTTTTGCACTAGAATAGGAATTTGCACACTGTCCTAAAAAATACGGTGCACACTCCACTATTGTATTTTTTTCTTCTTCTGCTGGCATCATACGTACCAGGCTAGAAACCACTAGCGCCATCTGGATCGCTGTATTTTCCTGTATTTAAATCTATGGTATTTAAGGGTCAGACAGTTGTAAAAGTTAAGTTTATTTCACTGTGTTATTGACGTTTGACGTTGAGTTTATTATTGCGCGAGTCCGTGCGTGAAATAACGTGTAAACGTGAAACTGGAAATTAGTGTGAGTGAGAAGTTTATCTTGACCGCACGTCCCACTCGAGCAAACGAGAATCAAGAAGAGTGAACGCGTGTGTCCGGCAAGTGCACTGTCTGTGTAAACTGATATAAAAATCTGCTCATACGCAGCGTGGTAGCCGATAAAGTGACTTGATCTTGGTTTGTAACTTTTATACAATTCCTACAATCACATAAAACTCTAAAATCGTTGATTTATTTTTACAATTAGTTATTTCTTATCAGTCAGTTTTGTGTAAATAACCCAGAAGTTAATAAAACAATTATTTCATTGCCTTACAAGGACTTGCATTTGTTAACCGGATTTATGTTCAATAGGTACTTAAACAAAATAAATATAAAATGTCTAACCATGTGGAGGAAAACAGCACAGAAAATGTGGTCAGGAAGTTTTTTAACCTCAAGGAAATGCCGCATATCGTGAAACCCCTGTAAGTATTTATCAAAACAACTTTCTAACTATTCTGTAAATTAGCACAGTCAACCAAGCTATCTAATATATAGGTGAAAAAATTTAAATTGATTATTGAATCAATTAAAATTTTTGGATTGAATTCTGCATTGGCAGAGATGTTATTTTTACACTACATCATATACTATCTTCTTAGTATAGCCATCTTTTATGGTTATGTTAGTGATATTGAATCAATCAAAAATATTATCTAACCTTACCATATAACTTGATTGTATATTTAATGCAAATTGTGAACACATTGAATGTTTTGATAACCTGTTATATCTTTTTCAGTGACAGAAACCAGAAAATCCATCCTCACATTTTAAACGCTATTGGTAATACTCCTTTAGTGAAACTCAGTAAAATACCTAAAGATGAAGGCATAAAATGTGATATGTGTAAGTAGTTTTACATATTTTAAATAAGTTTAAAAAACTATTTATAATGTTATCCTAATGTCTGTTATCTGTCTGCAAAGCAAATATTTACATGTGAAACCAGTCTGATAAAACCACTCTCACTATAGAATGTACTTAGTTAAATAAATACTTCTAAAGAAAAACCTTTTTAAATCATTGTCTGTTGTACAACCAAGGACGTTGGAAATAGGCAGACTCAATGTAAGTGACAAATGAATGAAGCACCAAGATGTCAATAGGTTGCTTAGTGTGCGTGTGTAATGGGTTCCTACTATTGACAGATGTCCTTTGTGTCAATGTGTGTATGTTCTTCATGTAAATCTGTAATTACTGGGTGCCACAGTTGTTGTTTCAAGAGACTGTATCCGCCTATTTTCCAACATCTGAAGTACAACAGACAAAACTATGGCATTTTTTTGAGGTCCCTTATTTATGAAGCAATGGAACTTTTTATCAATAAATTTTTATTTTTCAGATGCAAAATGTGAGTTCTTGAACCCTGGTGGTTCAGTGAAGGACCGCATAGCTTACCGCATGGTGCTTGATGCTGAAGAGAAGGGCATACTGAAGCCTGGCAAGTCCGTCATTGTGGAGCCTACATCTGGTAACACTGGCATTGGACTAGCCCTGGCTTCTGCTGTTAGAGGTAAAGATAACTTGGATATATCATACATTATCTATGTATCCTATTATATTGTAAACTTAAAATCTTATAAGAAGAAAATTAGATAATAGTTAATTTTTACATAAATAATTATGAAATCTTTACTCTCAGGTTACAGATGTATAATAGTATTACCAGAGAAAATGTCTGATGAGAAGGTGAACACCTTAATAGCACTAGGAGCTGAGATTATCAGAACACCCACTGAAGCTGCCTGGAATGATCCCACCAGCAACCTGATGGTAGCCCACAGGCTGTCAAAGGAGATCCCTGATGCTGTTCTATTAGATCAGGTAAGTGTAAAAAAATACACTTAATTTTCTATCAATGAGTGCCTAAAGAGGATTTACTTTTTTTTCAATTTTCTTGTCATAAATACTAAAAATGGTTGCTACATTATAGTGGCATTATGTGCCGTAATGTAAACCTCTGCTTACCCCTTCGGGGATAAAACTCACTAAGAATAGAATACTTAAACCCCCATTCAGCAATTTCTTACGAAGTACTTATTCTAATTTAGATGATATTTGCTTTATAAAATAATTGGGTACAATGTTTCAATAAATTATTACAATTTTCCTTCTAAGATTGATCTGATGTCTGTACTATAATGTTCCCCCACAGTGCTTAATTGCATTTCTAATTGTGTTTTCCTTCAATACCAGTATTTTCCTGTTCAAGTGTGAATGTAAATAGTAAATATTTATTAATTGGAGCTCTTTATCAAAATAAATTGTTACATTGAATAATAAAGACCCAATAAGTACCTACTTAATAGGGTATTTATTAATTTATCTATTTACTGAAAAACTAAAAACATGATAGATTGAGCCGCATACCCAGTCACTACACCCCCATTCATTCAGGCCCCAAGCTGAAGTTTACTAATAACCTTCCCATTTCAACTCCACCTCCATACCGCTTAATGGTGACCTAACCCGAAACCCTGGTGGTCTACCAGAAATAAAACCTTATGTATAATCAACATATGATACATATTACATATAATGTGGTTATTTCAGTACAACAACCCTTGCAACCCGCTGGCTCACTACGACGGCACGGCTGAAGAGATCCTGTGGTCTTTGGACGATGACGTGGACATGGTGGTAATGGGTGCAGGCACCAGTGGCACTGTCTCTGGCGTTGGCCATAAGATCAAGGAACGCTGCCCCAAGTGCATTGTGGTCGGTGTCGACCCCTACGGATCCATACTTGCCCAACCTGAGGACTTGAACAAAACAGACGTGCAGATTTATGAGGTAACTATTTATGTAGTCTATTATGCCTAGTTTAGTAGTCTCCATTTCTAAGTGACATCTCCTAATGGGTGGCTTTTTATACGAGCGATTCGCATTAACGAAAAAATATCGCTTTTTATTGATTCGATTTGAAAATCATTACCAAAGTAATATCTTAGAATTTCATTACGATTTAAGCTAATGTGACAATTTGTATTGCCTTAATTATAATTAATAGCTGCTTTCAACAAGATGAGAATAGCCAGTGAAGGACTACCTACCGAATAGAAAAGCGTTTTTATTTAATATCGAGTTTCTTTCTCTTCAATTTATATTATTGTTTTCTCAACTCCATTCATATTACGAGACCATCACGTCTGTGAGTATTGCACCAAGCGGAAAATGAACAATTATATTAATATTATATTACGGCGCATGAACGAACATTAGGTATGCGCAGCAATGCTGTATCGTTATCAAATGCTGATAGGCACTGAATGTGCTAATGTGTAGTTCGATTCACAAAACGTGTATAGCCTCTTATTTATAGCACGCTTAATAGGAGTAATTATAATACTACCAAATTTTCTCTGTCTTATTATGAGTTATTTTTTAATCTGTACAATTAGCAACAAGGATGCCAATCCTTCTAATTATCCGAAATATGCTAATCGGTCCCATAATGTATATACTCGTTTGCCTAAGTCTATTTCACTGTGTGAAAAGGGCGCGTCAAAATCACTTATTAATTATACAAGTAAAAATAACTTTAAGAGCTGTGTGCCACTTTTTTAACAATAAATAATGCTTGACTTATAAATACAACATTTTGGTTCTTTTGTATCTGTTGCGTTCCTTTGTTATGCTTAGCATAGATAGGACATGTTTAATGCTAATGGGCCCTATCGTGGCACCATCATACGCTACGCATACCATGGTCGTGTTAAAACGAATCTCGCAGCGATAATCAATTCAACACGGCTCAAGTGGAAATAGCATGCCATGACCTGTGTGACGACGTTCCATACAGATTGATCAAAACGCTACGATAAGCCACAGTTGTTTTGGTTATACCCTATGACGTTTCGACAAATACATTAACGTATGAAAATATTTTTCATTCCCCAAGTTTAATACTTTCTTACATCATCCATCCTTTGAACATAAACTCAGCATTCGTTACAAACACAGAGTTATCAGTATTTAATGATAATTTATTAAGATTTACATGTTTATAAACTTAGTTCTTACATAAGCGGGTTCATTGACGAATTCAATATAATAATAATTCTTATTATTTTATTATAAACTTCGACATTAATAAGATTTAAATGCTTATTTTTTTTTTTCGTTTCTATGACGCAAATCGGAATAAAATGGCAGTCTTTTTTTGCTAAGAACCTACATTTAAATAATCTTAAATATGTTTTTTAACCTTTGTGTTGTTTTTTAAGGTGGAAGGCATCGGTTACGACTTCCTTCCGGCCTCACTCGATAGAGGTGTGATTGACAAATGGATCAAATCAGAAGACCACGCCTCCTTGGAAATGGCCCGAAGACTTATCAAAGATGAGGGATTACTTTGCGGTAAGTTGCCCTACGTTTGAAAATTATTGAGCAACTAATCACTATATAATTCATAGGAAAAAAATTCGTACAATCTTCTAATTTTCTGAAGGGAAAAACAAATCTATAGAGGTAGCATGACAATCGAGATCGAGAGTGAACCAGTTTATACTAGGTGGGCGTGGTCAAGAGTTCGCCCGTCTTACAAAAACAAAAATCTTTTAAAAACTTGCTATTATATTTATCGGCATATTATCCAACATGAAATGATAGAGCTGTGGAACACAGCTCCATATATGATATACTCCAAATCGAGAATTTCAATAATGTAAACCTACTTGATTTACACAACAAACTCTTTTATGTCTATGACTGCCTCGCCGTGGCACAGAGTGGTCGCAAGTGCGACTGCTAGGTAATTCGGGTTGGATTCCCGGGTCGGGCAAAGTACTACTGGGTTTTTTATAAAAATTCTAAGAAGTAGCACGGAGCCTGGAATTGTGCCCGGTATAGTGCAATAGGCTCACCCCCTATTACATCGGACTCTTAATTTAAATAGTGAAAAGTGGGTGTTAAATTGTATAATGGCATTAAGTGCCATACTGTGCACCTCTGCCTACCCTTTCGGGTAATAGGCATGATAGTTTTCTTTATGTTATAAACCTACTTAATTTACAAATAAACTCTTTATGTCGATCTTTGAACACGAATGCTTGATAAAATTCCAGGTGGAAGCAGTGGTTCGGCGATGTGGGGTGCTATCCAGGCAGCTAGGTCGTTGAAAGAAGGCCAGAAGTGTGTAGTGCTTCTTCCCGACAACATTCGCAACTACATGACCAAGTTCATATCTGACCAGTGGATGGAGGCCAGGAACTTCCAGCCTTTAGTCGTGAAAGAACACCTTCCGTGAGTATTTCTCCATATACGTGGCTCTGCATTAATTACTGAATTTAGAATTTAGTTTCGTAAGTTACACGCGCTTTGTAGCTTGCCAAAAATATTCGTTACGCAACTCCAGTAAACGAGTTGTAATAATTATGTATTGAACTTTTCGACCAAACTGAAACCAGACCAAACGATAACTGAGCCTAGTTGTAGTCATCTAGTTTTTGATCATTTCATAACTTTTTCACTTTTTTTCCGTTGAAAAATTTTGTTGACAATAGCAATTTATCAGAGTAATGACAAAATGAAGTATTTGTATAGATTAGATACCTAAACTGATAATATTACAAGATTACATACATTACATTAATATTAGGAACTTAAACAAAAAATTGTAAACCGCTTTTCGAACATGAGCTAGGTATGTATATGAGAGAAAAAAAATAAGCTTGCTAATTACCAAGTGACAACAAAATACCTTATCAAAGGCTAACAATAAAAATACTAATGTTGACCTTCCTCATAGATAAGTAATAATCAATTTCATGAAAATTACGCCATTATAAACGTAATCTCTGCTTAATGTCAACATGTAATTGCAAAATTATGGTCACAGTGTCAAGATGTCATCGTCTTAATAAGAGCACTTTGGCACATGTTCGCGATAACAAGGATAACGATTTCAATAACAATAAGCAACAAAAATAATGTGTTCGCACGTTTACATAGATACCTAGTAACCTTGACTATACGTATGTACCTACTCGGATAGTCAGGATAAATAAGTACGGAAGTCGCGTAACTGCAACAGGGATAGCTTTTCGAACGATTTAAGAAAATGTATCATCAACAACTCGTGACAGTCCAGTCCACTATTGTAGTACAAGTAAATGAAATGGTCATAATCACACGATTTGGAGATCGTAGTCTAAAAGGTTCGGGTTTGCCAAAGAGCGCTACTTGGCATTTCTTGGCCTCTATCGAACGGTACATAATCCCGTTTATTAGTGTTAAAGTGGGGGTACTTTGCCGTCATCGCTAATAACGTTAACGATTTAATAAAATAATTAGTGCAATGAATTTTTCTGCACTCAGTTTTCTGCTATCTTGAAGGCCTTCGCACACTATTTTTAACGCGCTGACAACAGTCATGTCTTGTGCAAAGGTCATAAGGTTCAAATTTTGTTGTAAAATTCTTATGAAATCAGTATTGTTATTGTACGCCTATTGGTGGTTTTTCTACTATTCTGTGATTGTAACAATACTTACAATGTTTTTTTTTCTATAAAAATATAATTTGTTATCTAATATCACGCGATTTCTTTACGCGGAACAAGCTACAGTGATACCAACTGTCTTGATTTTTATTGCGCATATTTATGCAATATTGATTTCAACCATGAATTCATTGTCATGATGTCAACGTCTTGCCATATTTGCGCCTTGTGATTGACATGCTTCTCATTATCAATTCAATAACAATAACAGATGTTATTGTTTATGCATCTCTGCGACTACTAGTCTAGTTAGATCCAGTCATTATCATAACACTACAAATAATATGCATTGCAACGTGCAAACATTTATATGTATGCTTGTTTATTTAGGTATATTGCTGAATTACAATTACTGTCAAATAGCCGCAAGCGCATCTACCGAGTATGGAGTTTCAAGTTCAATTATCTCAGATATTCTCTTTGGCATTACCCATTTTCGAAATTCAGTCATATTAGCGCAGTACCTGTGACATTAACCTCATTACATGAGCCTTATAACTGGTGTGTTATAACTGTTATAAGTTATCGATAAATGTTAAGAATTTGTCTAGTATCTTACCTATTTTTACAGCAATTCAGAAACATACACACATGTGGTTGGTGGCCAAACGCCATCCTATTGCAACAAAAAAAAATCGAATTTTCATTTGTGTCTAGATGGTGGAGCAAGCCAGTGACGGAGAATATGGTGCAGAGCATCAAGAGCGTGTCGCATGACAGCTCGCCCTCGCACGCGCTCGCCACTCTCAAGGAGAGCGGTGCGCCAGTGTTGAGTGTTGTCAATGATAAAGGGTAAGAATTTAAGAAAGCAATTCACACAAGAAACAGGCCCTATGTCAGGAGACATGATTATAATTTAGTACATCCTATTTGAACGGTTAACTTACACCAAGTTCGAGGCTTTAAGTATAATCCTCAGATGTTCTAATCCAAAGTAAGAGGAGATAATTTCGATATTCTGTTACATTCTAATCAAACTATTTCGTAGATTTTCGACAAAGTGTAGAAAAATAATATTTGACAATGTCTGTCAAAAAAAATACCAAGCACAATGTTTTTACATTGAGATTTGACATCTTTAAAATCATTCAAAAAATAAACATGTTGAAATTTTCTAGTTATTCTTTGCTATTAGATGAATTTATCTAATGTTATTCCTTTGTCTGTGCGTGGCACTCTATACACTAATAGTAGTATATTTCATTGACCAACTGATAAGTGAGGACCCAATTTATACACAAAAATAAAGAAAACCCATCCCAATTACAAGAACCATAATAACATGGTTGTTTAGCAAAAATATTCTCATCATATTTATATACTTCTACAAGTGACTTGTGTGTAAATTCAATAAGAAATACCTAGTATTATTTCATAATGTCTGAAAACACCAAAGTTGGTTCCAAATAAAGGTAGAAGTTTGTCATACAACTAAGTTTAAATTGTGTGGGCTTCGAACCACTGTAAGCCTGGTAAGGTAAAAAAAGTTATTGCGGCAATTTCTAAATTACCTAAGCAGGAACCCCATCTTGCAAGTTTTTCAGAACAGATGCTGACTATTCCATGTTTATACTGATGAATTTATTATTAATCCTTCTAGGTCTGTGATCGGCGTGTTCACTGCAGACAATGCACGTAAAAGACTGGTTAATCTGTCGGGCTCGTTAGCGGAAAGTCTCGAAAAATTTACAGTGAAAAAGTTCTACAAGGTGGATCTCACTCTCAAGCCCACACTAGGATTAGTGTCACGGATGCTCGACATTGCTCCTCACGTAGTTGTGGTTAAAACTGGTATGTATACTTGTGTGTCATGTAGTTTTATCTAATCCTAAAGCGTGGCAATGGTTATCCACCTTTGAATGACGAGGCAAAATCAAAGTAGCCCAACCCAATCATGAAATGGCTACATTTATTTTTACATGTTACTCATAAGCAGATAGCAAACTGCGTATTATTTCTTTTATTGTGCGTTTTATTTCATAATAAAAATTGTTGTGTAATATATTTTTTAATTTGTCTGTCATAGACGCATCTACACACATCGAGACCCCGGTTGGAGTGTTCACCTCAGAGAATCTGCTGACGAGTATCTCTACAGAATCGAAAATAATGAATGGAAGCTAAAACTTAAGACTTGTGTCAAGTTTTATTTTTACAAATAGTTATTGGACTAAGAATCACTTACAAGTAATCAGTGAATGGTGTTGATGTGTAAATTATTGTAAATACTTTTGGCATGGAGCTTGGATGAACAGCATTTAAATCAACATCCAAATATAACATGGGCACAAAACAACTGAATGTAAAAGACAATTTTCATGAGCTACTTACTCTAGTTAGACAGTATTAAGTTTAGTAATATTCAAGTAGTAAAAACTGGAATCATTTATATTCAATTCTGAATAAATAATTATACAAACAAACACTTTTGCTACTATCAATGCATTTGATAAATTATTAAGACAAATACATATGAGGTGAAAGAAACATTATTATAAGAAGTAATATTTTCTTATTGTGGTAATAAATATGTTTATTGAATGATTATTTGTTTTATTTTCATAAATTACATTCTGGACTCTAATACAGAAATGGTTGCTTTACGCTTCATTTGTAGTCAAGCGTAAAGCATGATGTGATCATTATGAAGAACAATTAATAAAAATTTAGTATGTAATTTATTCATTTTCTTTATGGGGATGGAGATGACTGCTTAGCATTTGCTGCTAGAATAGCTCCAGGTGCAGGATAAGGTCTCATTTGGTACAAAGAGCCAGTCGCAGTTGAATCCACTCCAGTCTTAGCATGCGTGTCAAGTCCAGAAGTCCAGCTGCCCCTAGCTATATCAGAATAAGCAGCAGGGTCCATTGGGTCTAAATCATTATCCTTAACCCTTTGTCTCTTATTTCTGTGATGCACCAAATCTTTGTCCTTCTCCCTCCGTTCATGTTTCTTCTCTTTGTGCACCTGTTGTGGTACTTCTTGATCAGAAGCTTCGCTGCTATCGTCACTTTCATCACCTTCTTTCAACAATCGCTCTTCTCTCAAGTGTGCAGCACTCTCGGTAGGTACAGCACGTGGATGAGCAGGGGGTAACCAGCAAACTAAATTATTGTGAACATTCCAAAAATAATGCTGCCCAAACCCTTCGTCGTAGACTTCTTCCCATCCAGGAGGCAAAGGCCACATTTCTAATGCCTTTTTCTTGTACTCCAAGTAATTCTCGCGAGGAACTGTTTTTCCAGCTTTCCATCTTTTTACGCAGTACTTGGAACACTCGTGGTATATATTACTTTTATTTGGACAACCTTTATGGCCTTTTATAGGATCAACGTTGACGCCTTCAATACCTTCCCAAAAATGTTCCTTAGCGCGATCGTCAAGTTTACTATCATAATCTTCCGCTATGATCTCTTCATTGGTTTGAGTCTGAGGAACTTCAGCGTTCTGTACTGGTTCAGGGGTTGCTTTCAATATACCTCGCTTAGCCAGTCGCGCAGCTAATGCCGGTGGGAGAGGCATCGTTACCAATTATTGAATAAAAATACGGCGAAGAAAGCTTCAAATGTTATGCAAGGAATCAGTCAGTAGTAAGGCTCCAATTTAACGTTTTTATCAACACTTATAAACGAAACGAATAAGCATAATCAATAATCACCAAACACACCGTTTATACGATACGACTTCAGATTAATATCACCATTCACCACATTGATTAAAAAATAAATATTTTTGTCCAACGAACGAATTAGACTTGTGTGAATGACATTAACATCCAGAGACGCTTGACAAGTTGACAATGACAACATTTGTCAATGTTTGGGGTATGGCATAAACAATAAGAGTAGAGATCATACCAAGTGGACCATAAATATTGTCTATGAATTTTACGCTACGAACAGGGAACGGGCCCCTATAGGAAATCTCGAACATAATATTTTAACGAATTCTAAACAATAACAATATTTCAAAATTTATAGATCCTAGCTAAAACTTAATAAAAGCTTCTTCTTAGTCACCTAGATGTATAATTTTATTTATGTGGCTAGCGTGGGAATGATCTTCGCCGGAAATAAGCTATGATTTATAAAATTTTCAGCTCTTGTCCTAGTCTGCATGAAAATCCAGTAAGTAATGTCTCAAAATCTACTGGCACACCCTTCCTTATAATTTTATAAAAACGAATAATCATTGGATAGGGTAAAGCCGAGACCCTTTTCTTGGTAATCGCATTTGCAGATTGCAGACAGTCAATTTATAATATTAATCTGTATTAGGTAAATCCGATTGTTCCTATAGAAAAAAATCCTGAAGTCTTTCTCTGCACTACACTACACTGCATTGTTCTGTCCCTATACTATATTAAATATATGTGTGCCAAACATACTCTTATGAGTTTATATCTACTTGTTGGCTAAAACAGAGAGAGATTTAGGTATATGATTCAGCGAAAGAGGTATGTAGGAATGCCTACCCCCCATGGGAGACAGGCGTGAAGTTATGTATGTATGATTTAGCATAAAACAATATTAAAATTGAACATGTTTTATTTAATATTATAAACAATTTGATTAATATAATTAGGTATGTACACTTAATATCTTATGTTATGAATGATTCCAAAGTAAGAAATACACCAGGACATTCTTGAATTCTGAAAAGAAAATCAATCAATTTAACTAACCATCTACATTAAATAATATGCAAACAATTCTGGACCTCCATTATTCCTATTAAAATATGAAGTGCTTATAAGAAACATCTTTAACTATTATTTTTGAAATTACCATTTGGTGGTTCAGTAGTTTACGTTGTATCCCATTTTTATCTAATTTTTACCAAAAGTTTGGTTGTAGTTTGTTGTTATAACTAAGTACTTCCTTTGTTAATCCTTATGAAAAATTAAGTATTATGATAAATTAAATTCTGTTCTTTATACGTCGACGTATTATTACAAATATCGAATTAACACAAATACCAAGTGATGCTTGCCATTGGAATATAAAAGTAACCTAGGCCGCTAAAATTTAAATTAAAATCATGCAGAAAAAATTTAACTTCTAATTATTTCGGTTTAGGCTAAATTTCATTACAAAAGCATTACGTTAGAATGTATTCAAATTCGTTGATTCATAATAAACAATTATTATTATTTTACTTATAATCATTATCGTAGCAAAACTATAAAATAAATACAAAACACAAAAAGTACTACCAAACGTGTTGTAAACAATACAATCAAAGGCAACTCGTGCCCATTTTATTTTAGCACCACAGCACACTATTACTGTGAGCTAAATTCAAATCAAGCGCTAAACTATGTAAATCTGCATCAGTTTAAGAACATGCAGTTCTAAAAATTTTGTTATCCTGTATTCTGGCTACAAAAATATAACTATGACCAACATCTTTGTAGTAACCGCGTCGTAGTCCATCCTTTTTATCTCTGTTTATTATTTCGGAAATAAAAGCAGAAAAAACATGCTAATGCAGAATAAGGCCACTCTAGTGTTCTGAGGATTTTACTCTGCCCTAAAACTACCCTTTCTTCTCACGATATACTTATTTTATGGGTATCTTCGAATCTAAATACCAAGTTTACTTACTAGTAGTGCCTACTACTTATCGAATGCGTATTGGGAAATGCCTAACTACATACTGGCTACAGATCTCTATCTACATAACAAGGCAAGCGGCATCGATTTACTCAATAGCAGTTCATGCGATGGCCCTGATAGAACGGAAACAATTATCACCTGATAATAGATGTCTTCACTCACCACTGGCGACTGTTGTGTCACTGCGGGACACCTTAGTAGGATTAGTAGGAAGCACAGCGTCGTGGAACTCTCCAGAGTGAATTAGTTTATGTTCCGAGGGATTGTTATCTTCACTAGATTCAAATGGAGTGACAACATCCAATTCATCAGAATTAACAGTATCCAAAGATTTATTTTGCTGCACGCATGTTTCCACATCATCAGTGGAGATATTTTCTGGGGCTACGTGTTCGACTACATTACTTTTATTGTTGTTCTGTGCCATGTCATCGTTCAAAATATCTTTAATGGTTTTGTTATTTTCTACCAGATTTTCTACATGTTCTACAGTTTCAGAATCATTAAGCTCTTTCACGGAATCCACATCCTCGCTTAATTTTCCACTATTGTTACTTGGTGGAGAAATGGATTGAATAGCATCTTCTCTCTTCAATTGCTTACGTCTTTCACTTTTATCATAACCCAAAGGATGTAAATTAATGGACGATGGTGGACTGCCGTCTAAAGATAAATCCATTGAAGTGATTAAACTCTCATCACGGCTTAAATAATTCCCACCTTCGGGAACAATATGTATGTTTAAGACAGTTTTATTCTTATTTTGTTCATTGTCCATTTCTAGAGATGTAAGTGAAGGTTCATTGGAATAACTAGTGTGTTGGGAATTAGTAGAAATAGTTTTATTTGAGTTAAGTTTATTTCTAACCAAAAAGCCTCTAACGTGGGCTTGAATAATAGTTGCGGCACTCGATAACGTAGAGGAATCATCGGATAAAGAAAGCGACTTTTCCTCGTTGACAGTTTGGAGAACTGTATCCATTCTTGTGATGTGTGGTCTTCTTTCGTTTAGAGGACCTGGAATGGTAAAATCACATTCCTCCTGGAACATAACATTTATATGATAACAAAAAATAAACATGCAACCGTAGTTTCCCGTAAACAATACTATGTGTGTAAATTATACGATGTAAAATCTAAAAATTTACGTACCTTATTTTTCTCATCATCATTCGAGTACATTGTTTCATCGTGGACGGTTTCATCCATTGTAGACGTTCTGCTCTTAAAAAGGAATGATCGAAAAACTTTTTGTATAGTTACTGCAGCAGTTTCTAAATCCATATTATCTTGGTTGTTACTAGAAGGAGTCGCTTCACTTAATTTTAATGTCCCAAGATCGTTGTTGCGAATGTCATTATTTTCTATATGTTCAGTATTCTTATCATTATCCTCAATAGCATTGTCAATTAGATTTTCACGGTGATTCTCCTGAAGCTTTTCATTTTCAGAATCTTGTCCTGATTCAACTTTATTCGATTGGGGTGAATCAGTATGTATATTCGAATTAAGGGCACTTATTTCATTAAAACCGTTAACTTCCTCTAGGTCGCCATTACCGGATTCTTGTACAACAAGTGTCATGATTTCATTATCAGTATTTGAATCCAATAATGATTCCATAACATCAGAACTTACTTGTGAATCCTGAAGCTCTACTGTAGGGGATTCTTTAAAAGAAATTTCGAACTGGTTAGTTTCCTGAGAATCTGAATCCGTTTCCTTTTTATTATCATCAGTTTCCAATTTCTTTTCACCGTTTCCTATAGTATTTATCTGGGACTCATGATCAAGAACAACATTACCATCTTTAATGTTTTCAATTACATTGGAATGCTGTGTTTTTGTAACAATTTCATCAGGTTGGGTTCCAACATTGTTATTATCAATTCTAACTGGTTCCACAAATGATTTCAGTTTATCTGCATCATTTTCTTCGCTTTTACTATCTGTTACCGGTTCCGTTTTTATAGCAGTAGCGTTTTCGACATAAATTTTATCATTTTCTAAAATTACGTCTTTAATGGGACTTGACTTGTCAGTTTGTTGCAAATCTACAGCTATGAATTCTTCATTTTCTTCAAAGGGCTGTTGATTATCTGGCTTTACTTGTACCTCTATGACGGGTTCATTCATAATATTTAAAGTTTCTGACGCATCACTGGAAATAATCTTGGTCTCCGGTACTATTATGGGATTTTCAGTTGGGTTATCACTGGTTGGAATGTTAGCCTCTGGGGTGAAAATATCGCCTTTTATTTCGTCCGTTTTAGAGATAGAGTCAGCTTTCATATCAAGTTTTAAATCAGTATTATCGTTTTTAGCTTCCTCAGAAATTTGATAATCTTCAGGTGGTGTGTCATTTTTATCTACGACTATCGCAGACGATTGGGCTGCTGGTGACGATGGAGCTGCAGCTGAAGATAAAGCAACTGCTGACGATATAACTACAGCTGATGACAGAGCTGCAGCTGAGGATAGACCAACTGCTGACGACAGAGCTACTACTGACGATACAGCTGCTAATGACGGTACAACTGGTGCTGACGATACAGCTGTTGTTGCTGACGATACAGGTTCTGCTGACGATACAGATTCTGCTGACGATATGGGTTCTGCTGACAATACAGCTTCTGCGGACGATACGGGCTCTGCTGACGAGTTAACTAACTCCTGTTCTTTATGAATAAGTGGTGTAATATCAATAGAAGCTGTTTCTTGAACAGGAATTGGAGTATCGTTATTATTTGATGCTTTTATTTCAGATTCTTGATTACGCTGTTGCTTGAGCATCTCATTATCATATTGTTGCCTTCGTTGCTCTGCTCGCTGCCTTACCTTTTCTTGGGCGTTAGCAATTTTCTCTTCTAATGTTAGTTTTTTCTTTCGAACTGCAATGGTGTACGTACATAAGTGCATGATCAATGATTATTTAAGTTTTGATATTGAAACAGTTGTACCTACCTACACAAATTTTAATCCCCGAAAGATTATGATTTATTATTTTCCCCACCCAGGAGTCGAACCCTACACCTCATGTGACTATTAGCTAAAGTCGGAGTTGAAAAAAAATTAAACGAAATCTCACCGATGCATAGATTTTTCTATTCCATGGATGCATGCTCGTTTCTTGTTTTGCTAATTCTATTTTTTTTTGTTACCTATCTGAAGCACTGCATCTAAATAAAGCTGTTCTTATAGTTGTAATTTATCGAGAATCAACCAAAAAAAAATACTTACGAGGGCCATCTCTTATTTCGAGAAGTTGTTTGAAATGATTAGCGCAGTATCCGTAAATATCCGTAGGATTATTTTTCAGTACATCCCTTGATAAATCTTGTATTAAATTCACCAGCCCAGGAGGCATTTTAGGAGGCGTCGGCCGATAATATGTTCGAGTACCAGAAACACGCATGATTATAATTTAACTTATTTTAGTACGAATTTAAACCATTTGTGGGAGAAATAACAATAGTTATTGTAGAGTTCGTAATAAAATTAACACTGATTGCTCCTGCGGGGTGTGGGTTACACTGCCCAAAGTACTGTCGACAATGGTATTGAACAGTGTTCGTGTATCAGAATTTCCCTACACTCTGCAGTGTTTGGCCTATGGTAGCCATAGCGATGTTACTTGAACTTGATGTTACCATACTGTATCGATCCCACGGTTCAACGTACCGTCGTATTTACATTTAATTATTGTTAAAGCCACGACCTTTAGTTTACCATTCCTACTACAGCTGTACATCGCGTGCGCGCTACTTTGCTACTTCTACATATGGGCGACATTTGAACTTAGCGGGGGGCAGTTTCTCTTCATAATAATATCAAGCTTTTGAAGTGCCGAATAGGGCTGACAGACAGAAGAGGACATATTTAATGAAAACACCAACTTTTGCCATAATATTATGTCGAGCACTGGTCCACGTGCAGTGTCTCAGAATTACCGAAAAATTCATTATAACTGGCCGTGGCGGGAAATGAACCCAAACCGCGTATTTGCTCTTGCTAGTCCGACTTGGCCGTCGCATTTGCAAAAAAAATATCATTAAAACAAATGACAGGATATTCTTCACCTACCTCTGTCTACTGTATGCAGTAGGCACCACGGAATTGTTTTTCTTTAATCGAAATTTCTAACGACTGAAATAGATTATAATAAAGTACCTATAGATTAGATTCGAATCGAGTCCCGAGCGATAGATAAACAGTAATATGGGATTTAAAATAGCTTGCTTGCTTCTTATCAAAATGTTTCAAATATTTCTATCAAGTATATGTAATCAAAATATTTAAAACTTTTCTGTTATCAACTGAATAGGTAATTAAGGTAAGTACTTGTTTGTTATTAGTTTATAAAAATCGGGAATTCCATTATCATGAGACGAAGATACCTACAAGTGAATCTGATGAAAGTAAACCATTTTCAGTTCCGATACTTACACGTCGAAATCCACCATTCCAAGACCAGCACGCAATTTTCGAGAGAGTTCAGAGAGATGTTATCTCTCATCCAATGTTTCAATTCTGTGTGTTGAGCACGTGTGATGTGACGTGTGGCTGTAATTTGACCACATTAGTAAGTATTCACATTAGTAATTCACCAAACTGTTGTAACCGATGTAAAGAGAGTCCCGAACTTTGAAAACCCGTAGTGTAGTTTAAGTGTGGGAGGGCCATGCTTTGGCGTGAATGGACCGGCTTAACCGGAGTGATACCACGGCCTCAGACAAGACCGACGTAAAACAACGTTTGCGTTGTGTTTCGTCGTATGAGTGAAGTTACCGTAGGCCCAATCCCCCCGCGCCCAGCCCCGCCTTTCCCTGAACAATCCTCTAATTCCTAATTCCAAAAACGCACTTGTGTCCACTTAAGTGCGCACACCTCTGGTGTTCCAAGTGTCCATGGGCGACGCCGATTGCTTACCAGGTGATCCGTCTCAGCAGGTGATCAGTCAGCAGATCAGATAAAAAAAAGTTAATATTTCGTAGGATCAAAATTAATTAACGAAAAACAAAGATTAATTGGATGGCGTTCTGTATTCATCTGGCCTGGTTATAAGCGATGGTGTTGCTGATGATAATGAAATATCACTAGGTGAAGAAAGCTTTCCTTTTTGTTGCTGACCATAAAAATAGGATTATATCGTGGGCCACATAACTATCCATCACGATTTCTAAAGGACCACTGGTGAACCAGAATAATTGCCCACCACAGGTCAAGGCAGTATTTGTATTTTTATGGTTATTTTCAGTGTTGTTCAAAACATACTGTCGTCTTGGACCAGTTTGAAAAATTATTTGAGGAACACTGTAAACAATACAAGATAATGCATCGTACACATCTGTTTTTCGTCAACGTCTTTTCTTTTTCTAAGTCCTATTTATAAGGATATTTTTCTTTTCTATAATAATATTTGCAACATGTAATTAGTAGATTCTCTCCAAAATTGCTAGTCCTTCTAGTATCATAAATCATGTATAATTATTATTTTCTTGTTTCTGCGCCAACCAATTGAAAACAACGAAGCCCCCAGCAATTTGGGATCCTCAAACCCTGCCGCCATAACCGGGTGTGTTTTGTGAGAATAGAAAACTGATATAAATAAACTGAAGCCAAAGGATGGACATGAGATCTGGCAACCAATGACTCTGGAAAAGGTACTTTCATCTACTTCTGATTCAGGACAAACTAAATTGAAATAAAAAGTAAAAACGCAGTGTTTTACGGTTTTTAACAATTCATAATTTTATTTTACATATAAAATGTTTGTGGTTAAATTATCCAACAGTGGGTAGGCGCATAGTAACATATGTAAGTAGGCGCGGCGGAGTATATAATGGATCTCAACACTGTTGGACAATGTTGAAAAAGGACCTAAGTTACATATAAAAGTGCCCATCATTCTTTCTCTATACTACATTGTATAGCTCTCATGTACTCGGGTTTTATAAGGTTTGTCTAAACAATAACAACGCGGCTCTATAGGTTCATTAAATTGTATAACAATATAGTAAATTTATATCTATATTAATAATATAGTTTTTAGTACTTTAGTAACTCGGGAAGTCTTTTAAGAACAACTAATGAAAATATATTGCACATTATGTAATTGGACTCGTTTTGAAATGAAAAGCCGAGTAATGTGAAAATTTCTCGTGTATTTCCAATGAAATTTGCGCAACTGAGTAATCACTAGGGGAACGTATCTCTGGAGGACAGTAGGTGAGACGACAGGCGAGCGAGACCGGCGCTTACTACTAGCCACCGCGGGGCGCCTACACTTACATTATGTTTACTTAAAGAATTCAATTCATGTGAGTCAACTTTTTTATTTCCATACTGTGTTCTATAATAGTAATTTATATAAGATCATATATAATTTTTGCAATGTTAATACATTTTACATAACAAACATCTCCATAGTGTACATACATACACACGCAGTAGCGAAATGTCGCGCGCGTATCGGTATATACAGAGGCGGGGCGCGAGCGCCGCGCACTGGCCTGGCCGCGCCACCGGCACTCTACAAGTGATGATAGAAAAAATTAATTGCTACAATAATATCATACAAATTAATGACTATTCCCTTACAAATTATTATATCTACTTTTAGCATTGTTCTACTCCAATATAATCCAAATTAACTTTTTAGTTTTACCGAGCTGTATGCATGATACATGAATAGTTTTCAGTTCGCTCTGACCGATTTTGCCCAATTAGTGTTCCTCTCCCGCAGCTATGTATAGAAATCACACTGCTATAAATTTATAATAAATAAATGCCTATTTACACTATGTAACTATACAAAATGATAGTACGACGAAATTACATTACTGAATCGAGCATCTAATTGAAATGAAAATTTCGTACAACGATCTACGGGCGCGGGCCGAAACGGCGAGGCCAGGCGCGGGCCGCGCCGCGACGTCCCGCGTACACTAAACAAATTACATTTTTAATTTTTTCTTATTCATTTTTGTACAATCATATTCAGCCAAAAGCTGGGTGCCCGATTAATACATTTATCGGTGATCCGAAATGCGTTACAATCGATCATGCATCAATAATACATACAACTTTAACTTATTTAAACAATTTAACAATATTAAAAAATCCTAAAGTAAACTAGAGACCTATGTAAACGTATATAAAATAGTAATAATCATTATGACAGTGCATCGGGATGCGGACATATTAACATTTAGCACTATTAGTAATTTGTAGTCACACCGAACATGAGTCGAGCCGCTAAGCGGGACGCGAGCGGTCCATCGGCGCTCGCGAGCGAACCGAATCCACAGACATCGGCACGATAGCGTATCCGGACGACCGACCGTTAGAGGTATTAAAAATTAATAACGTCATTAACAAAAATGTAATCGAATAGAAAATATCAATACATAGCTGAAAACAAATTCAATCGCATTATTCTAGGTCGTGGATGGAGGGTGTGTGAGGACATCACTTGGCGAGTGCGGGCGCCGCCCCCGCCACCGCCCCCGCCGTCGCCCGCTTGTGGCTGATCTCCAGCTCGCCCAGCCGCTTCCACAGCTCGTCGCGCTCCTTCTCGCGTTTTTTCTCTCTGCAACAACGACAACGCTCCGTTATATCATAGACCACATACGTATCGCAACAATCACTATTGGATGAGTTCATCACTCACTTCTGCCGTTCCGCCTTATAGCTAGCAGTGAGCTCATCGAAGAGCTTGGAATTCATCTCCATGAATGTCTTGAGCACATTGTAGACGAGCGCCACTATGGTCTGGTTCCAGTGCTCCTTGCTGATCCGGTACAGCGCGGGGAACATTATAGGCATTATCACGTGGTTGTTTTCTTCCATCAGTGACATAATATATTCGTTGTTCCAAAAATATAGTGCTCTTTCAGCCACCTGGAAGCAACAAATTATCATTTTAGTAAATCATTTCAAAATACATTGTGACAAGATGCAACTTTGTATACTCTCTTTATCTCGATATTCCTTGCAAATAAGTATTAGTAAACTACAATAGAAAGATTTGTATGTAGCACAAAAGATGCACAAATACATCATTCGCCTTACAATAGACCAATATGGTGATTGTATTGCTCTATTGTAAGGCAAATAAAGTTTTAAAGTCAATGGCACATCACAACTTTGACGCTCTTTGTGCTAAAGAATATCTGCAGAAGAATAAAGAAAGTTTAAGACTTTAAAAAAGTAGTCAGTAGTTGATACATGTGGCTCTCGCGTGAGGCTAATTTTCAAAGAATAACACTGCAATATGCGAGATAAGCACCTCTCAATTCTATGATACACAATAATATTTGTTCACAAAAAAGAAAAATCATGTAAATAAAGACACTCACCTGAAAATGTGGACTGGAAACACATTTAGCTATTTGTCTGAACAACGGTTCTTGTATTTTGACGAATTGAGCGGGCTCAATTACATCCAAAATCTCCTCAATCTCACCCAAGAACATCACCTGGAAGATGTTGAAGTCATAAGCTATGCACAATAAAATCATTGAAAGCAATTTTGTAGACATATTTAGATCTTTAAAATACCTCTTTTTGCGAACATGTTTTGGGCCAGAACTTGAGAAGTCCGCGTACAACGTGTTCCGTAAGTGTAGCGTCCTTCTCAAGGAACTGTACCACGCAGTAGGCCAGCTGTGCGTGGTACAGAGACAGACACTTCACCTTGTGCAGGGGCAACAGCACCTTCACCAGGAACTGTTTGTGCTCACTCTTCAACGGGAGTGCAAATCCATTGATTATACTGTAACATTAACAAAACACATTGTATTGATAGTTGCAAAAATACTATGATACTAAAAAAAAACCTGCCATACGTGTTACTAACAGATAATATAGTAAGACACTAACCTTCCCAAAATTTCCAAAAGCTCACCCACACCGTTAAAATGTTCCGTTTCATAAACAAATCGTAGGAATATATTGTTAATCTGCTTTCGTATAAAGGCTCGCAATCCCAAAAACTTGCCGTAGATGCGATGCAGCACCGTTTTTAAGAAATCGCGTTCACGCGGGTCTTCGGAATCGAACAAATCTAAAAGCTGGAAAATAATGAATATGCTTATTATTATACATATCCTAAAGGAACAACATTATCATTTAACTATAAGACTGGTAGCTAATCTTTGAACTAATTAAAAAGAAATATTACGTTACAGTTGTAACTGCATTACAGGTTGAGATTACACACAACCTGTTGCACGCAACGTCTAAAGGACATGAATATGTAAACAAAGCGAGATAGTTTTTAACAATAAATCAAATAGTAAAGAAACATAACCAAAGTTTCAAGAAGAATATACCAGGGCCTAGTGTCCTGTTGTTGAATGTTGTACTGTTAGTATTACACTTAAGGCCGATTATTCAATCATCAGTAAATTTAAATTCTTAATTGTAGAATAAAATTGACATTAGAGTTTTTATTTTTAGTATAGATTGTCAAAAATTTAAACACATTCCTCAGTTAAAATTTATCTGAGTATTGAAAAATCGGCCCTTACGATACAATAATTACAATTATTATATAAACTGATAATAGGTAATACAAATATAATTCGTAGTAGCGTGTTTATCATTTCTTAGGTATGTGAAAAGTTGTGTAAAAATAAGATTTTCAGGTAGTATAACAAACAACAAAAATGTGTTTATAATGTGATATTGAGAACAATACCAATAAGCATATAAATATATGATGAGTACACCTATCAGTTATCACAAGTTTATCTCGATTATACATATTATATCTAGTCCTCTATACTTTTTGCATACATGGATCGGCACTTTGTGATTATTTTATACCCACAAAGATATTATTTGTTTCAAATATTTATGAATAAATCTAATGAAATCTAGTTTCTCAGCAAGTGAATCAAACCAATTCATCAGCTAATAACAAGAATAATTGAAGGTTCTAACATATAAATTAATTATTCTCACAGCTACTTTGAAAAAACTGTCTTTTAGATGCTGTTTCCGAAAGAAATTGGGGTTGGCATCAAGTTTATCTATACAACTTCGTCTGATGTCAATATTTTATGTAGTGATGATGTCACCAACGTGCCCAATGGCACACACCCCGTAAAAGATGATACGATACGCTGAATAACACGACGACCAGGAGTGTTTGTTTTTTAAGATTCTATATATAAGAAGATTGTAACTTTCGTAAGACATTTCATTATTATGGTTTTCGGCTTACTCACGTACTTTTTTGATGAGGAACTCGACTAGTTTCAAGCCATACTTTGACCTCTCATTGAATTTTTTGCTAGTACTTTTTCAAACACAGCTCAAGACGACTTACATGATAAATATGCTAATTATTAATTCAACTTAGGTGATGAAAAAAGAATGAAAATCAACAAAAATATGTTAAAGTTCGGCTTCGACATCATGAATCGAGCATACATAGGTGGATTCTCATAAATATAACATACATAGAATAATGATAAAACTTAAAAATATATTTACCTGCAGTACAAATTTCTGGTCAATGACCTTCTTGCCGATAGTGGGCTGAAAATCAGCTGACTCAAGGAAGCGCAGGAAAAATTCGTAGACTAGTTGAAGATGCGGCCACGAAGCCTCCAAAGTCGGGTCATCTTCTTCGGGATCAAAGTCAGGATTTTCACTTGGCGGTAGGGTGCGGAATAAATTTGCTGATATCTGTGACAGAATAAATAAGGTTTATTAATAGATTTTGGAACAAAACATTCCGTATTTTGCTTGTATGTCTATAATACTATCGTCCATCCTTAGAGAATACGCTGAGAACTGTTACATTCCTCACTTATCACATTAATTTTACTGTTTGATACACTAGGTTACTCCAAGCAAATTTCTCGGCTTTTCTACATAATCTACGTCAATATTGACGCATCTATAAAAACATATACATGCTAAGATATAGCCGTGTGTGCTCCGAATAATGATGTGATTGGTTTACGACGAGTTGTGACCCTCGTTGTTGTTGTTTCAATGGTTTTCAGTGACAAAAGACTTATGACCTATTTCTTTATATTGTATTCTTTTTTACAGCTCACAAAACCAATTTTTTTTTACTGAATATTCTATCCCTTTCCATTCCAATTCACCTTCACTTTCGTTACAAACTCTACCAACCTCCTTAGGTCCTTACCTGTTTCACAATCTTTGACAAGTTTGTGTTAGCACATATGTATTTTGACGAATTCCGAATGATATACATCAGATTATCTCTCAGTTACACTAATCAGACATGCTGTAAGACAGAACACTGACAACGCTTTCATGTATTTTCTACTATTAAAAAGTTAAAGCCCTTTATCACACTAATTACAATAACCAAGCGATTATTCCCCAATAAATTTACACAAAAAAACTACCTAATTCACACAAGGACCTAACCATATTTTAGTTAGATTGTATAGTATTACAACAATGATCAAATAAGATTATTTCAACACAAGCATGGCATTGTTCTGGATGTAATACGTAAAACTATTCGCAATTTTACTGTCGATCAATCATGAGTTAGGCGACTCAATTTTATTCTCCATCAATCATAAGTGTAAGAGTTTGGCGGCTCATTGCTATACATAATTTACTAATAACTCTTAAACATCGTGGTCTTTGTTGTATGGTTAAGCCTATTATTATTTTTTCGATCTTTTGCAGTTCATGCCGATATTTTAATAACTATAAGTGCCCCTAAACACTAAACGCTCTATACCACCAACTCTAAACACCTAGTTTAGCAATTTACACAATTTACACAAATACCTTTTCGTCATTTCAAGTAATTTACTCATTTTATTATAAAGGTTCGGGACCCATAATTTGTAAATAGTTGTTATTCGTTGAAGTCAAGCTTATTCCCAGGCGAGTAGTATATGAACTGACTGCAAATCAAATGACTATTGCGACCTACTATTGCGAATTTAGAAATTCAAAAGTCCTACCCAACCAAACACGGCTTCGAACCAAACTATATCATCGCGACAGTTCTATGTATGCACCTATATCCGAATTTATTATACCTAACTCGAATCCACGTAACACCCAATTTTAGTACAGCGCCATCTATCGATCACTATTTTTTTTTTTTTTAAGGGGGGAAAATCATCGAATGACTGCTCCCGCCTGGGTGAGGCGGAAGGGAGTGTCAGACTCTTACTGACTAAAAACCACCCCGTTCCTTCTCCTGCACGTCGAGCCGGAGCCCCGGTTACCCGTTAGGTTCTCCGCGACATCTATCGATCACTATGCAGAGTAAATATGAATGAGATTTTATACATCTATGTTTGTATAGTAATATGAAGATGTTACAGATGATTCGAAGACATTATCTCACAAGATTGATGTCTAAAGAAATCCTCTACAAGTAATAGTTACAAAAATATAAGTTTTATTTGAATCCCGTTTAATTGTAACCAAAATTTGACTTTTATTATTGACCATATTTGTGCCAATTTAAAACTTCTATAGATTTACTAACAGATAATATACTAATAACATTTAATTTCACAATACAAACTAAGTCCTAACAGTAATTTTGTCCAATAACTAAAGCATCCAGCAGTGGTCCAATAAAAGAAACTATAAAAGTCTGCTCTAGTATCTATGATAAGTTTAGCAGTTACATGTATAAGCCTGCAGTCATTTTTGTTTGTAATCAATCTTTCATCTATCTATTCAAAGGTTAAGGTCGACAATCAATACAGAAACAGTAACTTCATAATTACTTATAAGACATGATTATTACGAAAACATAAATGAAACTAAATAATAATTTGAGAAAGTTGTTCCTAAACTTTTTACTTTACTTCCTTTCAAGTGCATTGGAGAAGATGTTCTATCAAGCCAAATGATTGGCTAAATCATATCAATCAATGATTCAGCCAATCATTCAGGACAATATCTAAATCACTGGAGAAACTCTGTTTTTACTTATGGATCTTTCTCTTAAGCATAATAAATGGTTTGTTGCTGTTATTAAGGCTCAGGGGACATTTATTACTTTTTAGAATTAAGCCCAACCTTTTTAATTGATTATTAGATATGTCAACATGTAGGAAATATTGTTCTGCTAAAATTTTGTGTCTTGAGGGAGCGATAAATATGTACCACCAAATGAAGGCAAGATTCAGAAGGGAAATGGATGGACTAGAAGTTATTCCTACATACATACAACACGATTATTGCCACTCACATATACTTTTTCAGGTAACTATTTATGAGAAGGAAGATGGCTCATCTAAATAGATATAATATAAACGTACCAATACAACATCCATGCTAGTGCTATGCTATGATTAAAGAAGATGTGAAAAAGCAGATCCATACCATTTTTATAATCTCTGGGTAAACAGGTTCAGTTAGCACTCCACGTCCTGCAGTGATGTATTCTACAAGCTCATTGAGGGTGGCACGTTTTATCTCTTTTCCCTTCAGATCAGCAACAGGATCCATAAAATCAAATGCTACACAGCATTGTCGCAGCTTGCGGATAAATAACTCTTCTTGCTCACTGCTTGGAACATCTGAAAACGATTTTATCACAATGAGCATTTATTATGTATGTTTCAATTAGTACAGTAAGGATAATGTCCATAATTTTCCCACAGCAATGATTAAAGTAGATGGGTAATAACAATACATAAACTGAAATAGATTTTGAAGAATGTGTCTAATATTATTACAAAAATTATTGTGATTGCCAACTTAAAAGTACAATAAAGCCTCTGTTCCTACTATACTGATACTTTGTATGCCTGTGTAATTAAGCTATTAATGGTAATTAATTCTACACTATTCATAGTACAAAATATAGCACATCAAAGATATTCTGAAAACATGCTAATTATTCAGTTCATTTGTTAATGAGTATTCATATTTCTTATCTAGCTTTTTATTTCTTATTGGATTGGATATCAATAGCAATGATTGAAGTAATGATCTTATCTCAATTGTAACTAAGGAGGTGGGCAATTACTCTCCATTTTAAAACAGTTTGTTAGTTTGGGTTCCAACTTAGTTGAGTGTCTAGCCAACCTTTTAGTTCAATCACTTAGTTATCCCAAAAATACAATAAATCAAGTCACAAGATGCCCAAGAATTTTGTTGTTACGGTAAATAACTAGTTAAATACAACCTAAAATGACTTAGTTTGCAATGTTAGTACTTCTTATAAGGTTCAGACAACTTTATTTTGAGGATCAAGTCTTATTCAAGTAAATGCATTAGTAAACAGAGGAGATCTACAAACAAAACTAAAGTAAGATTTAATATTCAGATATATGTAATTTAGAAGTGATAACAATAAATATAAATTGCTGACCCTGAATGGTGTTACTCATATGAAGCACATCAAACTGAATGTTTTAGAAGCTAGTATGAAATGAATAACACTCCAACCTTAATCTTCAAATATTTTAGGTGTTTGTTTCTATTTTTATAGACTGTATCCCAGTCAACATCTTTTTTATGTAAACAAGGTTTTATTCCTAACCTATTTGCATAATTTAAACAAAATTCAAGGCAAAAGTTCAATGGACTAACAAAATTAAAATAAAATAAAATATTGAATCAAAAGGCTGCATTAACAACATAAATATTACAATTATACTGCAAATAGCGCGAGTGATTCATTTTCGGGACAAAATAAATGGTACGCACCTTTGAGCAAAGGCAGTGCCTGCAGCTCTACATCTTGCGTGTTCCGATACCGAGAAGAACCCTGAGACTTCTTCGTCTTTTTCTTCATCGACCGCTTGGCGAAAGGGTCAATTCTGTCCACAAATGTTCCCGAAGACATTTTGGTAATATAAAAGTGTCCCAAATGACGATAGGTAGACGGCAATCAATGCGAAAATTGTTTTGTTTCAAGTAGAGTCATGATCTGGCCCAGTCCACGAGTCGAACGCGCACTTTCCGTAGGATGCACAATATTAGAGCCTAAACAAACAATTCTTCGTCACACATGACGGTAATGGAGTGGTCACACTCAGGCCATTCTTTAAACACTTCAAGATTCCACAACAGTTACGTAATTTAAAACCGTCTCTATCACTAAAATGACACAAATACAGAAAAGAATAATTCGATTCACAAATTTAGATTTATTTTCTGAGGCGTGTCACGAATAGCAGAAGGCAGAAGTCGCATATACATACAAGCCTCGTGTAATATCAGCCGGTCAGTCAATGACAATTTATTTTCTACAATAATCGTAAGAGATTTTTTAAGATTTGCTCGTAATAACGCGTAAAACAGCGACTCAAAACGGTTATCGTCTTTCCTGGACGTAATCGGAAACTATAGCGGTGATGACACGGAGCAAAACTTAACACCAAAAATCTATCACCGTATTCTCGCCATCGCTCACCATCAGTTTCGATTCTAAAACTGGGCGCATTTTAACGCTATACACAAGATTATTTTAAGATGTTGCACTTTCACAAGACTAATCCAACGTATATGCGACTTTTTTCACAACGAGAAGCGATCAATTTACAAAATTTGTAACTAAAAGATTAACATCACTGGTTTGCTGCGAAAACGCTACACTCATACAAAAGTACCTTCTTCTGAAAATAGATGGAGATAGAAAATGTTCAGTTAATCAGTCTGCATACTTTTTATTGAATTTTAGATTTTTTTCAAAATGAAATGTTTATTTAATAAATAAAATGATACTATAATGTACAAAAAGGTGAATTTCAAAGAAATTTTATAATTGTTCCTTTTTACTATAAAAAGATTCTAAAATGTTTATACGTGTTCCGGTTGTAAAACGGAGCTATGTACAGATTATTAAAAATGAAGTATAGACTATAGACTACTGTACACGGATTCTTAGTAAAATTATTTACTCCGTTACCGTAATATTTTTGTTATAATGATGCCTGAGTTTTACTATTAAGTTAGTGAATATTTTTAATTATTAAATCTCGTATACAACTTTTATGGTTGCATTATTAGAACTTCCAATAACGTTTTAAAAAATGATAAACTTGTTTAAATTATTTTAATAAACCAACGTTGAGTAAAACATAATAATATGATCATTGAATATTGATGTGACCTTAGATTAAGAAAAGTTTTGATAAAAATGTAAACATGATAATATTTTGTAGAATGAGCCTTAGCGTATACATAAAAATAGTGGGATACAAAACATAACAAATGGTTTGTGACAAAATAATTCAATCCCGTTTGTGTTTTGTGATAATTGATTATTTATTTTTATATACATGGACATATATTCAAATCCACCCACATATTTAAACGACTTGCGTACGTGATACGTATACTTCATCAATACTTGATTTTCTTCGGCTCTATACTGAACGACATTCTCTTTTAAATTCTATGTTCTCTATGGTATATTATTCAGCTTTGGAGGAAAGTAGCTTTCTAAAGATTTTCCTTCGTTATTACGTACGCGTATCGGTTTATTTATATTATTTGAGTTTTAGTTTACGTATCAGAAATAGTTATATATTGTGTGTGTTGTGAAATATAAAAACTATTCGGTCTGTGAACTGTTGGAAAAGGGTAATTAATTTAGAAAGCAACATGGAAGCGCTGACAGTTCCGCCATGAATGCAAAATAAATAGAAATTGTGAAGGTAAGAAATTCATGTATATATTTATTGTTTTACTTTATAACATCTGTTATAAGAGTTCACTATGTAATAACATACTATATTATACCTTTATATAATTAAAATAACGCCTCAATCTTGCTTATATGTCACGTCGAAAGTCTCCCGCATTAGTTGATTCTTGAATGTTCATTGGAGTTAACGATTTTATATAAGTTTACAGTGAAATCAGATTAGAAAACGATTTTATTTACAAATGAAACAGAAAATGATAGATAGCCATGTTAGACTCAGTATAAACTACCATTCGGTTCTCTTACGCCTACAAATATTTTTTCAGAAGCTGGACGTCACTTGAACAGGTCAGAAACTTCACGATGTTGAGAGGTGGGCGTGGAGGCCGTCACAGTCCGGAGCTGTACCCCCACACGCTGAAGTGCTCCAACGCCAGTGACACCAGTTCTGCTTACAGTGGAAGTGACACAATGACCTCAGTACATAGCTCTCTGGACATGGATATGGAGGTGGATCTTTCAGGTCTCCTTGAGTCCATTGTTGACTCTGATGAGGAAGAAGACCTGGAAGAAAGTATGGACAGCTTGACAGTCCGAGATGCAGTTCGAGAATGTCTTGAAAAGGATCCAAGTGAACGAACGGATGAAGATATAGAAATACTTTTGGAATTTACTCAACATTTGAAAGCATTCACTAACATGACTTTAACAGTGCGTCGGGCTCTGTGTGCTGTCATGGTATTTGCTGTGGTTGAAAAAGCTGGAACAGTGGTCATGAATGATGGAGAGGAACACGACTCATGGTCTGTTCTCATCAATGGCCATGTTAGTATTGAACACCAGAGTGGTGAAGTGGAGCACTTGAATGTTGGTGATAGCTTTGGAATGGCTGAAGCTACACTTGAGAAATTGTATCATAAAGGTGTAATGACTACAAAATGTGATGACTGTCAGTTTGTTTGCATTACTCAAACTGACTATTATCGAATACTACACCAAGGTGAAGAAAATATCAGAAGACATGAAAATGAAAATGGTGTAGTAGTATTGGTTACTGAATATAGAGGTGTAGCTGGAGAGTCAGGACGACAACAGGGCCATGTTGTTATTCGTGGAACTCCAGAACAATTGATGCTGCAGCTCATTGAGGATAACTCACGAGATTCTACGTATGTTGAAGATTTCCTGTTGACACACAGAACATTCATTGAGAGTCCTTTAGTTGTTGCAAAACAACTATTAGCTTGGTTCTCTGAGCCGACAGTTAGAGACAAAGTTACCCGTGTTGTGCTGCTTTGGGTCAACAATCATTTTACTGATTTTGAAACTGATTCAACTATGATGGAGTTTCTTGAAAACTTTGAGATTGCATTGGAACATGAAAAGATGGAAAGTCAATTAAGGCTGCTAAACATAGCTTGTTCAGCTAAAGCTAGAACAAGGAGTGTAACATTATCTCGTCCAACAAGAGATGAGCCATTGAACTTCACAATATTCGGTGGATATGAGAGAGGTTATGGAATATTTATATTTAAAGTGGAAAAGCATTCAAAAGCTGAAGATGTCGGATTAAAAAGAGGTGATCAAGTATTAGAAGTAAATGGACAATCTTTTCAGCATGTGAGTCATGCTAAAGCAATGGAAATAATTACTGGGTCAACACATTTAAGCATCACAGTAAAAAGTAATTTGTTAGCTTTCAAGCAAATTTTATTAAAGCCAGAAAATTCACCAAGACAGAGAGGGGGTTCCAATAGAGTTCATTGGCACACTGACCCCAGGGCCAGGCTATCAACTGCAGAGCTACTCAATGATGATCCCATTACATTAACACCAGTATTTCAATCTCCCACCAAAAAACCTCAGCAGCTGAGCATCAAGAAAGAACCTCAGAAAGGTTTCATGACATTGGGACCTAAAAGAAAATTTCAAAAAGCTTTAATGAAAATTCTTCCTAAAACTACAATTATTGATGGCTTACCCACTGATGACAGTATTCTTTCAAATTCGGAGTCTTTAAACAAAGCCAATACTAGTACTTCTTTCTATAACTCCCATAGTAATCCTGATTTAATATCAATATGTTATGATGAATATCAATCGTCTGACTATCCAGAGCATGTACTCAAGGTATATAAAGCTGACCAAACTTGCAAATATTTGCTAGTGCATAAAGAGACTACAGCAAGAGAAGTTGTTATGTTGACTTTGCAAGAATTTGGTATCACTGATCCTAGCTCTAAATATTCACTGTGTGAAGTGTCTGTTGCCCAAGGTGGTATCATAAAACAACATCGTTTACCAGATCAGTTGCAGAATCTTGCAGAAAGAATTGGTCTAAGTTCTAGGTATTATCTAAAAACTAATGGAATATCTGAGAACTTAGTACCTGATGACATGGCACCAGAACTTTTAAGGGAAAGTGTTGTTCACTTTCTACAATTAAATGCTGTAGAAGTTGCAGTGCAACTAACATTACAAGATTTTTGTATTTTCCGCCAAATTGAGAGTACCGAGTATGTTGATGATCTATTCGAATTGAAAAGTAGGTATGGCACGCCTATGTTGTCACAATTTGCGGAACTTGTCAATAAAGAAATGTTTTGGGTCGTCACTGAAGTTGTTAATGAACAGACACTTGCGCGTCGACAAAAAATAATTAAACAGTTTATTAAAGTTGCACGTCATTGTAAAGAGTGCAAAAACTTTAATTCTATGTTCGCAATAATATCTGGTTTGGGTCACGGTGCAGTATCCAGATTAAGGATGACTTGGGAGAAACTACCAACGAAGTATTTAAAATTATTTAATGATCTGCAAATGCTAATGGATCCTTCAAGGAACATGTCGAAGTATCGACAGTTGGTTACTACTGAGCAGGGCAGATCGCCTGTTATTCCATTTTATCCAGTGGTTAAAAAAGATCTTACCTTTATACATTTGGGAAATGACACAAAAGTTGAAGGTATGGTTAATTTTGAAAAATTGCGAATGATTGCTAAAGAAGTTCGTACGCTCACGAACATGTGTAGTGCTCCATATGACCTCCTTACGTTACTCGAGTTAGGTAAGCAGCCACCCTCAAATGCCATGGTTGCATTGAATCAACTTACTACTGGAAGTGTACAACAAGGTCAAGTTACTGTGAAAAGAAGGAAAAAGTCTTCGAATGTACCAAATCCGAAAAAGATGTTTGAAGAAGCGCAAATGGTTCGACGTGTAAAAGCATATCTAAATAGAATGCATGTTGAAACTGATGAAGAAAGACTTCACGCATTGTCTTTAGAATGCGAAGGAGCAGGGCCAGCCCCGGCCATCCCACGACGACGACATCCATCACCGTCGTTGTCAACGACTAGCAGTGCTTCATCAGCCAGTGAGAGCAAAAAGAGCTTTGCTGGTAATAAGTTTGGTACTGCATCACCTCAGGCAGTGAGAAAGCTCTTGGCTTTATCAGAACCAGCCAAGACACGGCCACATCAACCTCGGCCGCCACCACCTGGACCTTCGCCTTGTTCACATCGACGCGATGGTCCTGGTCCTGGTATTTGTTGTCCACGGACAGCTCATGAGAGATCCCACTCTGATACCCCTACGCCACTACCAGTCGACCTATCGGCTGAAAGTAGTAGTGTTACATCATTAGTTAACTTGCCACTACGAAAAACTGGGTCTGCGACTTCGAGCGACAGTGGGCACGGCTCGTGTACCGCAGCGAGTTGCGCACGGCCCGTACCGCCTCCGCGCATGCCGCAGGCTCCATATAACTTGGCTGCTCAAGTGGCACGCCTCGAGCGACTCAGTAGGGCGCATTCTCACGAAGGCGTCACACGCCCTTATGATTATTATGCGCCTGATGATGACGATGACGATCAACAAGTATCAGCTGTTTAAACATGCAATACTTGTTGATCGTCATCGTCATAGGGTTAAACATTTTAATACTCTTAACTCAATGTCTATTTATATAGTTCCCTCATTCCCTATTTTGTAATCTCACATAATAAATAGAAAGCACGAGTTATGTGAAAACGTTTAATATATTATTAAAATCATGTATGTACCCTTTACAACTAAGTCTAAAGACTGTATAATTATTTTAAGAAATGTGCTAGTGTTATGTAAAATTCCATATTATAAGATCCTAATTATTAATTACAATCATTTGACCCACCAGTTTCCAGTTTTATCTAGAGAAGTGTGATGTATACCAATACTAGGTGTACTATTTATTATAATGTTGGTATATCTACATTCCGTTATTTGTATATTATTAAAATAATAGTTTTCTTTATTTATAATTGTGAAACTTAGACCAAATAATAATTAATGTACCTTTTAACATTTATAATTGAGAATAATTTTGTTGTAGTATGTATTTTGTGGTAGCTTTGTGGACCAATTGGGTTTGAATGTGGTTTCTCATGGTCGTATCAAATTCTGTCAATATCATGATTTTTAATTATTATTATTATGTGTAATTGTAAATAATAAAAATATATTAATTAAACTCTTTTTATTTGTTTTATTCGTAACAAAACAGTGTAAAACATAATTGTGTAATATTTACGTAAGTCAACTGCCTGATTGATTAAACTGTGCTAGATAGTCCAATTCCAACGGATGTAAATTGGGAGCGGGAATGACGAGACTGTGTAGCGGCGGGCCGAGGTCAAAGCTTTGCATCGAGTCGAGTGTCATTACGGCTATCCGCTGATCGCTGGCTCCTACTCGTGAGAGCCCGATTGCCGTACTGCTTTTATTTATACCTGTTTAACGCAAGAAAAGAATACCAATTAGAACGGTAGATTTAATAAGACTTTCTGTCGAAAGTAGAAATATAATGCCAATTTTGTTCCAATACCGAATAAATAATGTTACAAGAACGCCATCATATTCTACATTACGATAATAATAAGCCTAATATTGATTAGGTACTAGCTAATTTACCTACATTACGATGTAATTTTCCCGTTTCTTAAACCTCTCTACAAGTGTCATTTAAACCGGAAATTATTATTACAAGTACGAGACTTACAAATCGCAGGCGTTTTAGCTTCAAAGGTATCTCAGAGTTTCTGTATCCTCAATTTTGAGAACCTCTCTTTTGAAACCTCTTTCAATCAAAACAAGGAAATATAATATACAACCACGTTTATTATTAATGGCGCTAATTGCCACTAGGCAAAGTAATTCCTGATAGGTGCGCAAATGATCAATAGGAGTTCCCCTATGGCGTTTTCTCTCTTTGCCAGTTATTAGTCCCACGGGAGGGACAACCTATTGCCATACTATTAACTACTGAGAATTATCAAAACACTGAAAGTACCCAATAATTGTCTTCCCAACCCAGAAATGTAATTGAAAACTGTTTGCAGCAACCAACCAATAAGGTACCTAGTTATTTAATAAAGTCTTAACTACAAAATATACTTTTATCTGGATTGTTTTCGATGATCTGCACTAATTGATTTGCTGCTTCCTTTACAGACATGAATTTCGGATCCATATACTGGCGAACCTTCTTTGTGAGAGAATCTTCAGTAGGTTCTTTTACTTTAATATCTGCAAATATAAAATCAACATTTCAAATAAAAATATGTAAACATTAAACTACTTGCACACATTCTCAACTTCTCAAGTAAGGCTTTGGCAAAAATATTTATTTACAATTCTTAGAAATTGATTGTGTCCAGTCCAAATTCTTATTAGATACTAGCTGACCCGGCAACTTCATACGAACGTCATACTCGAGTTTTAGTGAGATTAACAAACAAAAAATCCATTTTCAATTTATATAGATAAATAACTACCGATCCATGCGAAGCCTGGGTGGGATATTAATCTCTCGCAACTATATGTATTATGCATGTATGTATTACACATAATTATAAACCTTCTTGAAATGAAATGAAATTGTTTATTCGTAAACATAGGTTACATAAAGTTGTTTGAATGATTGACATACAGTGCAATACAGCGAGTCCATCTATGTTTTGCCTTGAAGCATACAAATTCATATAAGTATTAGTAAGTAGATTTATATAAATTCGGAAAATAAAAATACAATAATAGTCATAAGTATCTACACAGGAACAAACATTTATAATGGAAGTTAAACCACTGAACCATTACCATCAGTCATATGCATGAGCTTTAATCCCTAATGCGGAATGTCATAGATTTGATTAAGGAATTAGTCTATCTGTTAAAAAACTGCACGAAGACCTGTTTGGTAATTTTAGAGATACAGATACAGATAATTTTGCTTTATACTATGTAGTGATAACAGAAAACTTGCCTAACAAACATAGGGTATGCAAGTTCCTTGAAAAATTTCCCACAATTTTGTCAAAAAAGCTGTCAGGCTTCCATTTGTCCGTCCAGTATGGTATTGAAACAGTTTCACCAAAATTGTACAACTGCAGACCACAGCAGCTCACAGCATTCATGATTGAGGCATTGTGAACAATCTGAAAATAAATTTTATTCATATTTTTCTCTCTTTTTAAATGTTGCCCATATTAGGATTCTCCTATGTCATGAGTGCTTTCACAAACATACAGTTTCACATGTCAGTCAGACTTTTAAACAAATTGTATATTATTGAATAGAATAATAGCATTGTATTTAATTTTGAAGTAATAATCTTTATTACATTTTTTACTTTGAAGAAATAATAACTATTACATTTTTTACCCGAAGGATAAAATTTAATTATTTCCATTAATTTATCCCGAGTTTTCATGAAATGTTCTGTATGTATACTTATAATATTCATTCAAAAACAATTACATACCTGAGTTTTTACACCAAATTGCTTAGCTCGTAGCAGCATGTCAGTGTGCGTAGTAGCCCCCAATGGATCACCAACAACTAACAACGCAACTTCTGAGTCCTTAGCTTCAAGTAAAATCTCATCTATTGCACCTTCACACAGTTCCCGGTCAGCTATTATTAATGGTCGGCCATAATATTCTTCCTAAAACATAGACAAACAAAGTTGTTTTGCATTTTCATTTCAGGTTAATATTATCATTATTGATTAGAAACTTAGCTTATAAAAATAAAATAAAGTTTTGAAAAGCTTTTTGTTAATATGTTATATTTTCTTTTCGGAATTTTTTTATAGCAACTATATTTAGTTATACTATATTTAGATTAGTTATGACTAATCTAACCAATACTATATGCTTATGATACCTGTCCAAATTATATAGCACACTTACCAACACTTCTTTTCCAACAGTGAGTATCGAAGTATAACCTTCCAATAAGACTTTGTCACATTTTCTTACTATTTCTAAGCCTTTCACAGTTATGTCTTTTGCATCACCTAAGCCTAGACCTATTAAGTAAAACATATTTATACTTAGTTAATCATAAGAATAAAATAAGAAAACAAAACTTTATTTTAACAAAAATAATAACACCATGTGTAAATGCAATTCCTAATTTTTTTATATGACAGACAGATGACGGAAATAATATGTACTTATGTAGTGACAAGTGAAAGATAGAATAGAGGTACGACATTTATTCAAATAAAAAACTTAAATTAAAAACTAACTATTACTTAAAAAAAAATTAAAACTAAATATTACTAAATTAAATACCTATATACAACTAAAGATTAAAATTAATTATAAGAAAACGGTACGACTGCTATTTTCTTACTAACTACCAAGTTAATTTACTCCCAAAGAGAATCGGTTTCATAACCTCCACTCAAACGTCAAGTTAATAAGTTAAGGTCAAAAGATATCACCTCCTTCTGGATCAAAAGATATCAATTCAATACAATATAATGGTATTTTATAAATAGTCCACTTTTTAAAAAGATTAGTTTCCTACCAAAAATATTTTTTATACAATTTTTACCTTTTTTACAATGGTAACACTGCTTGAAACAAATCAAGCTGCTGATTTGTTTTACTATTTATATTTATGTGTCTAAAAAATATAGAAAATGTAAGAGATGCATTCTAATTAACGATATCGATAGAGTATTATATTGATTTGATTGACAGACTTAGGAACTGTTGACCATGATATCAAGAAAAGGACAAAAGGCTGTTAATGAAGGTGTGGTTGGAAAATACATAAAGAAAGATACACCTCCAGATTTACCTAGTAAGTCATCCTGGATCTATAAAAAATATTAGATAATTTAAGATTATTTTATCACACAGCTTCTTTGAAACATAAGTACCATAATATTTTACATTCTACTTTTTTACATAATAACTGTACAGTACTATTTAATTATTTTTCACTAGTTATAAATGTATGGACTACTGGACATAACAAAAGACCCCGAAGCCAGCCGTTCGGTACGAGTGATCCTGTATCACAGAGCCATGAAAATAAATTTGGCAAGGCACAAACTATGAGTGGACATGCTGGCAAATATACACCGAGTGAGTCAGTACCAAATTTAGCACACAGGTAAGTTAATATCAAAACAATATTATTAATAAAAATTGACAGCAATAACTATGAATTATTATTCCAGATTTTATACACCTAAAAATTTGTTGCACTTAAACCTATAAGTATCACTTTCTTGAACTTTGTTTTTGATCTGATAAGAACTTCATGTTTTTATATAATATATGGAATATTCCACTGTCTTTTCCTCAATAGTTCATGCTATCCTATAACAATTTATCTAATTAGTATTAAATAAGTATTTCTTGCAGGTTTGCCAGTTTATCCACTAGCGATACAGCAAGTACATCAAACAGCTACAATTCACAATATCTCTTGGATTCAAATGTGGTAATAAATATTTCTTTTAGAATTATAATTTAAAGAAAAATCACTTCTATTTATTGTAACATATATTTATTTATGTTGTAGGCTTCACAGGCTTCTCATACAACTTTGAATGAAAGAGATGACTCATATTTGGCATTGAGTAGACAAACAAGCTACAGATATTATAGACAGCCACAACAAGAGGATCCCATTTATCAGAATCAACAACAGGTTTTTTCTTTATTTTGATTATTCATTGCAGTTTCTATAAACTTCATAGCAAATAAGAAATCTAATAATTATATGCAATACATATGTCTCTATACAATTTAAAATATCTATAATGAAACAAAAAAAATCTGGTTTGGCTAAATCAATATAAATAAAAATGAAACCCGTTTCCTGTTGGCCATAACTTGAGAATAGCTGGACCGATTTCTTTTTGTTGGCAGTTGTCAGGAGAAGGTTCTTATGGTATAAAAAAAATATTGAAAATCTTATGGGAATGGGAGACAACGGGTACGAAGCGAATTGCGCGTACGAAGTCGCGGGCAGAAGCTAGTCTATTATAATAATAGTATGGTTCAATATTGTTTACCTACAACTTACTTTTTCTGGTGTTCCTAGGTTCAACAGCAGAAACAGCAACAGTATGGATCACGGGAATCTAGCATGCCAAGACTGTCTTCCAACTTAAGTTTAACACCAAGACTGCACTCTCCATCACCACATACACTTCATCTTCAGAATTACACGGACTGTAAGTTTCTATGACTTTTACAGATACATTAAATTAACAGTAAATTGAATTATCGCTGTTGTGAATATTACATAATATGTATTACATTTTTTAACAATATGTTATCTCAACCTGTTGTTAATTTGTTACCCAAATACATTTTTCTTCTATTCTAGCATATGCCTCATCAAGCCAGTCTTCGCCAATATACTCAAATTGTATGAATACATCAGTTCTTCCATACAACAAGGCTCATGGGAGTAAAATTATCACAAGCTCGCAAGGTATGTCCACCGATTATTACTTAAAGAAAAAGAGCATCAAAGTATATCATTAATAATAATAATATTTTTAAAACTGTAGGATCTGATGAGTGTGAGCTTCCTCTTCCTCCTGGATGGTCAGCAGACCGAACTCTTCGTGGGCGCCGTTATTACATGGACCACAACACCCAGACAACTCATTGGACTCACCCATTAGAAAGTGTGCCTCAACCTTGGCAAAGAGTCTCCACACCTCACCATGGAGTTTATTATTTCAAGTAAGTTGTGTCTTATGCACTTAGATTATAAAATAAACATAATAAAAATTTAGATATTTACACTAATTTCCTATTATATTAAATCTTATAAGACTTCCTTTCCTATATGATTACCATGATGCCATGGTAACATTATAGGGAATTCCTGTTGCTTATAACATGTATCTGTACATTTGGTTACAGTGAAATCACGCATCAGACAACATATGCCCATCCGTGTCTAGTTGGTGGCTGTTATTTAGTCAGTCCTTATGTTCCTACTCTCGTGCCACCATATTTACTTGAAGAAATACCTCACTGGCTCATTGTATATTCTAAAGGTAAGTAGAATATGTAAATTTAACAATATTATTTCATCATTTAAATTATTACAAAGGTTAGTATTGGTATGCATAACTTGAGATGTAGAATGTTGAGCTTAATGTTGTGGAATTTATGAAGTAATTATTGACTAGGTGCTCTACACACTTTTGTATTGCAGGTATTTTTCAAGTTTGTTTATAATAATCACTAAATATGTTACAGCTGATCAAGAACTGGACCACAAGTTACGCTGGAACATGTTCAGACTGAGTGAACTGGACTGCTATTCTGATATGCTGACACGGCTGTACAAGCAAGAGTTACAACTCATTGTTATGAAGTTTGAGCGCTACAGGTATATGTGGTTACATAATAAGTATAGTTAGTCATCCAAAGAAATGTTATCAACCACCTATGCAAGATAAACTTGGTATTTTATAAGTCTCAAAATAAGATCATCATAAGATGTTCTTAGTAATACATAAAAAGTTTGGATGCTGCTGATATCTTTTATTTTTTTTTATAAAATATATTCTATGAATAATCATTAATATAAATATTTTAGTTTGATACACTTAGAACTTATTAAAACAATTTTTTAGTCCCAACAAGATTCATTTTACAAGGTACTATTTTTTTATGAATTACTTTCATGTTTTAATAACTAATGTAATTCATGGTTTATTGTAATATTACAAAACTGATCCCTGATAGATCTCCAGATTAATATGTATTTTCCTATTACAGATCTGCACTCTTACAAGAAATAGAAAGGCGACGACATGCTGCTATCACATACCACGGACACTCCAACTGCTGATGTGTATTGTACATCAAGTTTACCTACTCTACTGTGATGTTATAAAAACATTATTTTAGATATAACTTTTATATGTAAGGATATTTCAGTCAAACCTGGAGAAGGATTCACTGGTATAGTAAGATACAAAGAGGTAATAAATACAAATATACATACACAATCAAAAAGGCAATGGATTATTGTGAAATTTTGCACAGGTTTAAAGTTGATAGTTACCCAAATATCTTGACATGAGTTGCACACTTAATTAAAACATGCAACACATGTGTAAACTTTGCGAATATTGCCATTCAAAGGTATGTATAGCCATTGCCAATATCTAGATAGAAATCTATACATTAGAAATATAATTTTTATAGTCTTAAAAAATAATACCTGTAATTCAAGTTTTTTTTTAATATTCAAGTATAACTATTATGCCTTAACATTTAACTAAGAATAAGAAAGTATTTGAAATAATAAATATATTTCTATACATATTTTTTACAAATATTGACTATTGCTATGTTGTTTAACAACTTTAACGAGTAAACTTTTTGAAATGAAATTGTATATAAGTAGTAATCTATTGAAATTGGTGCCTTATTTTCAAAATAAAATATTTAACTATTGGTTTGACATTTTATTGCTAATAAATATACCTATGTAACTAATATTTTTAGAAGTACGGTCATTCTTTTAGTGTTTCTTCATTTTCACTATTAACTTCTATATCCTTAAATACAGCTTCTCCATCTACAATTTCATATTCATCAACCTTCTTGAAACCGGCTATCCTGTAGACTTTGGCGTTTTTTATTCCTAATGTATTAGCCCATGCCGCACCTGAAATTATTAAACATTGATATTCTTATATTAAAAGATATTGTTGACGGAAATTGGAGTTTGAGTATCTCTAGGGACTGGAATTATAATATGGGACCTTAGCCTAAATTTCTAAAGTGGACATGGTGTTGTGGATATTTCTTGTCTAGAATTCTTAGAATACTTTCAAACAACTTGTCCATAGATTTTAACAGGCAAAAACTGACTTACCTGGCGGAGTTGAATGCTCTTCATCAGATTTTATACCATAATAATGAGCCCAATCAGCTTTTCCTTTGTAAACATTGTAAACTACTAATCCAAATGCATTCCAAGCTACTAAGCCATAAGCTATACTAAGCCGTCTTTTCCATAATACAGCTGTTTCTTCTGGTATGGGTTTTGTTCTCTTACGAACAAAACGGTGCCACCACTTGTAGATCATTCTTAAAATTTTAGTTGTGTAACATTCCTTATAATTTGTATTTGGAGGTTATAATCCGATATTCCCAAATAAATAATGGGGATACCATACTGTGGTATACATATTTTACTTTTTTATTAGTTCGGACTGGTTCGGACGCGTTCGGAAGATTATTAGTGTACCTTAACATTCATTTAAAAAACAACGTAAAAAGAAAAAAATAACGACACAGACAGCTTAGAATACGGTTCTGAACTTGATTATAAAATTTTTGCTACATTTTCTTCTTTTCTATTCACTTTTTAGTTTTAGTAAATTTTGAGTTGTATACACTACACTATTTTAAAATAGGGAACAAAACCGATTATAATAAATTTTTCATCGCAGCAATATTAATTCCCTGTATTTTGACAGTTAAGTGACGGTTATAAAAAGTTAGTAATGGTGTGTTCAAAAGAGAGGTAAATTTAAAAATAAGTATTAGTACACACGTAGTTACGTACGTATGTGCCATATGTGCGATAACAATTATTTCAATATTACGAAGTTAACTTACCGAGGGGAGTAAGAGAGGAGCGCCTAACTTAATAATTATAATTACAATAACTTTGCATTGAATAAGTTGTAAACACCTAGGTACTAATAGATACCTTCCTGTTAAATGGCAGCACTTTCAAAACAAGCATGAGGCGCAAACTCTATGAAGCACTGCCAGAAACAAAGCTGGTCGGTCAAAGCTGTCGATTGTTGCGGACGCGCAATAAAACAATCGCAATGTTTTCTGGCAACAATACAACAACCTGTTTTGAACAAGCATGCAAGGTGCTGACCAGTATAGGTAAGTGGGGTAAAGTAGAGGGCATAGATCCTAGAGTTATCAGCGTGGATGCTGCTGTGGTGGCTTTCCGGCGGGGAGAGACAGCGGATCTCATGGGCTGTATTCAAGCTTCAGAACAGCATGAAGTCATTGTTTATGAGGACAGGGGTGAAGACCTTAGTTTCCTCAGAAAAAAGGTCCAGAGTTCACCAATCGCTGGCTCTTCAAGTGGTTCGGAGCGTCTGCAGCACAGGTATTCGGAACAAAGTGCTCTACAGCAACAACAACGAAACACCGAAAGACAAATAAAAAAACAAACTTCACGGACCAACATGTGGGCAATAACATCAGCCATATGTACAGCTGCGGGTCTCATTTCGTCGACTTTCAGAAGGAGTGAATCCGGCTCCACTCGCGGGGGAGGCGACAGTGCTCGGGTGCATCCTGCCCAGTCCAGGTCACCGCCAACCAAAGCCGCCATGGGTCACGTCTCTCCGCCGAAGTTTCGCCATGCCACCACTCCCAGAGACCACCTCATAAACGCCTTCCTCGAGTTTGTCGCAGTAATAGAGGCAACAAAACAAGTTAACTTGCGAACTTGCAAAACGATCCTGCAGACATATCTGCAGGGTAACGAGCTGTTACTGAATGATAGACTCGAGGCCGCGGAGGCGGTCATATACGACAACAGTAAATCGAGAGTATTGAGAGGAGCTTCTATAAGTCGTAGTATGGCAGCTTACAACGCCACCGCAGGATTTGTGTCTCTGGATGAGAAGGAATCGGATAAACGGGGAGTTGTGAAATTTAAAACTCCTCCTGAAGACTCCTTAGTGGTAGTTGCCGGGTGCACCAGGATCATGTTGGAGGATCGGATCTTGGAAATGGTGGGATCCATTTCGGAGCCTGGGCCGGGCGGCGTGGACTTTGGGGGCTGGGATGCCCCGACATTTCACTGGACAAATGGAGTGCCGGGATGCGGCAAAACTACCTGGATAATAAACAAATTCGAAGCGGAAAGAGATTTAATCGTCACCACAACAACTGAAGCAGCAAATGACCTCAGAGGCAAACTATCCTGCCGAATCGGAGGATTAGTCAAATCCAAAGTCCGAACAATGGCATCCATTTTAGTGAACGGATTAAAAGAGCAAGAGAGCTGCCACCGAATCATGGTTGATGAGGCTCTCATGAATCACTTTGGAGCCATTGTGATGGCGGCCCGAATAACTCGGGCCAAAGAAGTTCTGCTGATTGGTGACATAAATCAACTTCCCTTCATTGACCGAGACAACCTCTTCCCCCTCATTTACAACCGCCCTACACACGTCGTGGCTATTAGCCAAGAACTTCTCTGCACTCACAGAAACCCTATGGATGTGGCATATGCTCTTAGTACTGTGTACAGTGGCATATATTCGTCCGCGTCGGGTGTGAGATCCCTTGAGTTAAAAAGCTTCTCAGGGTCGCGAATACCCAAATCTCCTCCGAACACGTTATACCTGGTACACACTCAGGTAGAAAAGGAATCCCTTAAAAACCAGGGATACGGATCGGTGTGGGATCACGCGTACTCACAATACACGAGGCTCAGGGGCTTTCGTACGCGGCAGTGGTTGTTGTGAATACAGCGGAGAAGAAACAGCGGATACACGACAGTGTATCGCACGCCGTGGTAGCTATATCCCGTCACACTAACAGCTGTGTTTACTACACGAATATCAGTGACGACGCGATCAGCAAATTAATCAGACGAGCGGTGGGTGAGAGTGAGCGGGGGATCCTGGACTATAACTTGAAAATGGCTATCAGCAACAGGGCATGGCGGTAGTGGGCGCTCTTTTGGGTGGGGAGGGCTCGCTGTAAGCTTGAATTGTGATGCAAGCGTGACATTAATATATATTTGTGTGTGTTTAATAATGTTAAAATGTAGTAAATATAATGTAACGTAATGTAAATTTTATCAATAAGACTGACAAAATACATTGGCACTACTGGAATCGGCTTACTGCTGCGTGAGCAGACGTCATGCATTCTTAAATGTTCTACAGTCGGTGGCGCTGTGGACTGGGTCGCTCCGTTCCCTACGAAATGGTTGATCGGACCGATTGCTGGCCCTCACGTCATGCTCGTGAACGGGCGCCTTCTGCTGGAGCAGGTCGGCTCGCTCATCGCGCGTGTGGGCCGGTCCAGTAAGGTTAATGTAAATGTAATAAAACATGTATTGTGTATATATAGATATTAGACACAACCTTCTTTGTGGAAAAAAAAAAAAAAATGTGGTTAATGTAGCACGTAAGATTTTTGTAACAATTAATTTTGACTGTAAATTAAAAGATAATGTAATGGAATGACAAGGGCACGGACAAGAGTCCGTGGAGAATAAGAAATGTAATATTAAAAAAAAAAAAAAAAAATAGATACCTAACCTTGTTCTTATTCATGGTAAATTGAGATTGTAGAAATATCTAATTATATCTAATTTCAACACAACACCATGGCACCTAGATACGGAAGATGTGGGTACTGGCACAGAAAACTACCAATGGGTACTGGGTAGTCGTCGAACTATCCGAAAGTTAGTTTAACCAAAACTTAATATATGAAGTAGGGGTAGTATCAAGAAACTTCTTTCCTGCTTTGATGTCCAAACTTTTTAGGTCCATGTTTGCTTTTTAATGATTATAAACAAGCTGCATGCGAGCCAGAGAGTATGACAAAGAGTATAATAAGTATAGGGGATGCGAGCCCCATCCGTCGCAAAGACAAATGTTATGATAGTTTAGACATTTTGAACATTTATTTTTTCGACGTTTGTTTATCTTATACAAAAAAATGCTTCCAACTCGTGGTATTTCTAAAAATAAAAGGATCTATTGCCTGTAAGTGATTCCTTATTACATTTTCAAATAACATAAATATCGAAAGGTAAGTATGTAAATTATTTTGTATTAGAAATCTTTAGTTTTTAGGTACTTGCTACTAATTTATAGACTAGATTTTTACTTCCTAGACTAGTAATAGACCTGTTGCGGAATGCCCTGCGTGGGCTGAGCACCGCCGTGCCCTCAGGGAAGTGATCGGCGATGGCGACCTCTCGCGTCCGGGCCTAGTGCAGGCCATGATGCGGAGCGAGGGGGACTGGGATGCCGTCTCCTCCTTTTGCGAAGCAGTCATGCTAGCTAAGGATGAGGCGGGACGCGTGAGGCAGCGAAGCGCTGCCTCCTCGCAACCCACCCATCGCGAAGGACACACCGGGCGTCGGGGATCGCGGGACGATCTCCGGCCACCGTAAGCGCGGGACTGCGGACGGCGAGCATGGGTGGCTCCCCGTCCGACCAGAAACAGACCCGAGCGTACGGCGCGTAGCGTTCCGCGCGCGCCTCAAAGAGCCATCAGACCACCACAGATGGGCCCAATAGGGCCGATGCCGATTCGGAGTCGCGGAGAACCTAACGGGTAACCGGGGCTCCGGCTCGACGTGCAGGAGAAGGAACGGGGTGGTTTTTAATCAGTAAGAGTCTGACACTCCCTTCCGCCTCACCCAGGCGGGAGCAGTCATTCGATGATTTTCTCCCCTTAAAAAAAAAAGACTAGTAATAGACAAGACCCATTGTACGAAGTGGTGTAGATGTTTAATAAAGCACAGAGCCTATAACAATAGGTATCTAGGTACTAGGTAGATAGGTACATTTATACCTACTTAAAACTTCAATCAACCAAGGTTGTTGAATGATGATGATGAAGACTTAAAAAAAGCTGTGGCGTAGCGTGTCTTGACGGGGCCCAGTATAAAAATTTGTTATGTTTGGTATGTTGTAAACAAATATTTGTAAGAAGAGTAATTCTTTTGCAAAAAAAATTACTAATTAGTTCGGATACTGGAAATCTTTCCATCTAACTCCCTCTGTCTCAATTATCGGATTATGATAACTTTTAGTTTTCCTAAAGTTTCTACCGACATAAAGCCGCAAAAAGATTTACATAGAGGGGAGAGGAAGAAAAGTAGGGAGGCCTTTGCCCTGCAGTGGGACGATCATGGCTGAAAATAAATAAATAAAGTTTCTACTAACCTTTGAACGCTAGCTTAACGCGGAAAAATCTTTTATTTAGACTTTTGTTATAACAGAAATAAAATAAAAATTGGTAAGTCATTATTAATATTTGCTTTAGCACGTGATACGGTAGATACGGCGCTAGCTACGCCCCTGCTTAAAATTAGAATGGTATTTTAATAACTGTGCGGTTACTATTGGTAAACAGTGGCTGAGAGACCGGCTGCTACTTCACTTCACTTCACCATGTCGCGGATGCCTGTGTGGTGTCGTCCTAGGTAATTCTTTGTGGGATTTATCATCCCATAAATCGTAGTTTTAATCAGTAGATAGGTACCTACCTATGTTATGATGATGTGTTTGTGGCCTATCGAGTTAACGACTTAGGTGATAATTCTAGAGTTTAATGAAATACATAGAATAGAATATTTCCCCTCGCTACAGCCTACAGCCGTAAACGTCTGAAAATTGCATATATTTTGATTGTCTATAATAAACCAAGGTCGAAGGTCATCCGGCTGGCAGTGTTCGCGTTTCATGGCGCTATTTAGCTGACGTTACATTGTACAAGACGGTGCCTGGCACCTGTAGGCGCTCCACTTACATACTTGAACCACCAAATAACAACAGGGAGGTTCTCTTCTACAAATACTTAGATCTGTTTAGTAAAAGTGTTAGGCACTTACATTGCAGTCCTGTGTGGTCTACTCTTCTCACAGATGTCGTGAGAGCTGATAAAGGAACTGCAGATTTAAAAGAGAGTTATCGGATGCGCTCTAATAAATCTGAACGTCCTAAGCTCTGATGTCTAACCCACCTGCCAAGCGTAGAGGATATGGCAAACCCCTCTTATGTAGATTGTAGAGGATTCATTTTAGGCAAATTTTGAAATAATATATTGGTCAATACCTACGTGCAGACTCGTTTACTGTAAACTCACGTGAGATTACTGAAAATTGAATAGGTTGTTGATAAAGGAATAGTCGGAAGTACTTTATCTAATATTATTTCTGATCAAGCAAACGTATCGAAACTTCCGAATGAAAGAAAGAAAAGAAGACAGAAAGAAAGAAAAACCATTTATTTTGCTACGACACCCAACAAGTATTTAGAAACACAAAAAAAACCTATGGGGCGTCGCAATGAGTAGTCGCATTTCCAACCACTGATCTAATGAAGCAGACAACTAAAGTATTGTGATATTCATGTCTGTACAACTCTTTATCCATTCACGTGCACCTAACAAACCTTCTCGAAGGTCGTCAGTCCGACACGGCAAAGCTTTGTTTACATCGGTGCCATGCGGGTCACCTCGAGGTTGCTTCGTACAGATATAACAGATATACAATATTGAATATCATATGGGGAAGTCATCAGCTAAAAAGTAACACTCACTTGTTCATTATACTAAATTCGGTATTTATATAAAATATAATAAGTATATTGTATGTTAATTTTTTGATAGGGCTAGGTCAGACCGCATCAACGCTCTCAGGAAGCAGTATGACGCATTTCTGGAAGAAGATAAAAAACGAAAGGAACGAAATGATTTTATTCTTGGAAAGCTCGATAAAATGCGGTATACCACAGCTTTGGTACGACACAAGGTAAGATTTTTATAAACATAAAGTAGGAGTTATGCATAAAGTCAAAATTATAAGGTCAATAGCATACTATTATTTGCTGTAGTACAGTTTGTAATAAAAATATCTAGATCTTGAAGTATAACATGAAATAACGCCTTTCTTTCTCTGACGGCAAATACACTTAAACTCTAGAAGAGCGCATACAAAAAAAAAAACTGGCCGAAAAGGAACAAGTGTTCCATGCCAATCCTGGAGTAAAGAATTTTAAATGGTGTCTTCATAATTATTGTCAATTTTTTACACAGCACTTTCATATTCAGACTTTTATTCCTTTGAATTATGACCTTCCATTAGGGATATTATAATATCTAAAATATAGGAATTTTTGACTCATTTCAATTAATATCTGATTTTTCAGCCCAACGCACTTGAAACCCGTTTTGCCATGATGGATCGTATCGCATATCAGCCAGAATATTCTCCAGTTCGAGACCTCCAACCGTCACTGAAAACCCCGAGCCATTTGCTTTCTGATATGCCAGTTAGAAGTACCGAAGATGTTTTAATACAAGAAATAAGTAAGAAATACATACTCATTCCAAAACTGAGAACGACATTCATTAATGATCATAATAACATATGGAATGATACGGCTAGCCAAATCCAAAATACCGAAAAATTGCCCGATAGACGTCCCACGCAGAACTCAGTCCCTATAAATGATTTAAAACTCAATCCTAACGAAAATGCAGACTGGAAGGATAAATATGAAATTTTAAATATACTTAAAAATGAAGAAAAGGAGAAACAATCAGGAAATTCCTTTACTGAATTTAAAGAGGGCCCGAAACATTTTGCTCAGACTGAAAGCTTTTTGGAAAACAATCAAGTTCCTAGTAATTACGACAGGGATATAACTGAAGCAATGAAAGTTACAGAAATTCCAGAAAAAGATTTACCTAAAGATAAATTGATTTATGGCTTACCTGACACTAGTCAAGTAAGCCATAAAGCAAGTACAGTAGAAAATAAAGGAGCCACAAATCCCAATCATTTAATCGCTATTAACGATAAATTTAAATCGATTTTATTAGATGACGAACCCGAAGTCACAAACACTGATGTGCCAGAAGAAAATACAGATGATTATGAACGACAAAATGTGCCTAATTTAAATATGAGCCCAAAATATGAACCTCAAAAAGTAAATATGACTCAAAACTATGAACCACAGAATGCAACTAACTTGAGTATGAACCAAAACTATGAACCACAGGATGCAACTAATTTGAGTATGAACCAAAATTATGAACCACAGAATGCAACTAATTTGAGTATGAACCAAAATTATGAACCACAGAATGCAACTAATTTGAGTATGAACCAAAATTATGAACCGCAGAATGCAACTAATTTGAGTATGAACCAAAATTATGAACCACAGGATGCAACTAATTTGAGTATGAACCAAAACTATGAACCACATGATGCAACTAATTTGAGTATGAACCAAAACTATGAACCACATGATGCAACTAATTTGAGTATGAACCAAAACTATGAACCGCAGGATGCAACTAATTTGAGTATGAGCCAAAACTATGAACCACAGGATGCAACTAATTTGAGTATGAGCCAAAACTATGAACCACAACATGCTACTAATTTGAGTATGGGCCAATATGAACTACAGGTTGAGTCTAATGTAAATATAAGTCCGGCAATGATTAATGATGAGGGAAATCATCTCACTGAGGAAAATGCTTACTATCAAGAAGAGTACTCCGTTGAAGGAGATCCCAGCAATTTACAAAATAATAGTTTATCTGCCGTACAACATGAGCCATCATATTCAGGAGCTATAGTTTATGAAGACAGCAATGATGTCGGTCCGACGACAATTTTAGATCATAATATAACAGAGACATTGGACGTGACAAATGATCAAATTACTGGTGTTAATTATAATGAACCTGTGAATCTACAACCAGAACCCGCCTCTCAACCGCCAGAACATTCCCACCAAGAACCAGAACCCGCCAAAGAAGAACTTGAACCAAGTAAAGAACAACCAACCAATTTTGCTGACATGACGGAATCCATACAAGAGTTTGATAGTGAACAAAGAGGAATGTTCTTTCCAGAATCTGTTGAAGATTATCCCAGTCAACAAGGTGATGGAACTGCTTTAGGATTTACTTCAAATGAATATGCGCAGAACGAAGCATATAATTATTATGAAAACACTCAACCTGAGGCATACCCCGTTGAGCTAACTGATGATGAAATTACACAACGATACGATCCACATTATGAACAACAATATGCAGGTGTAGAAGAGAGCGTAGAAGGACAGGAATATCAACAATATCAACAGCCTGAGGTTGTTGAACAACCTGAACCACATGCAGAATTGATGCAATATGACCAGCAATTTGTGAATCAGGGAATGATTGAACAAGATTTGGATGCCGAAGATAGTTATGCACCACAGCAGAATGACTTTGTTGTACAACCTGAAGCTGAACCGGTTCAAGTTAATGAATTTGACAACCAAGAGCCCGTAAAGATATCTGAACCTGTTAGGACATAAAATCGAATATCATACCTATACTTTGCGAGATCTTTCTGTTATTAATTTTTAAATTAACCATTTGGAAATGAAGTGAAAATTTTACAATATAGCTTTATGCTTAGGAAAGTAGGTACCTATACGTAATATTTTGCTTTACTTAGATCGTTATATACATATAGTTTATGGTAGATCAAACTTCGAGAAATTTTTGGTGGCTACTTATGGATAAAATATTAGAGAAAAATAATTGTTTACTTAAAGTACTAACATTGTGTAATAAAAATGGAAAAAATTTCCAGGCGCCTGCCCAAATTATCAAACTATGGTTAGGTACTTTACTTTTCTAAAGTTTTTGCCAACTTTTGAACAAATGCTTTTCGCGGGAAAGAAACGTTTTTTAAACGTATGTGATTACTGGAATAAAATTAAAATTAGGACTTTTTCATTCATTTTAGCTTACGCACGTTGGGGCCCCCCTGCACCATTGATACGGCAGATACAACACTAGCTACGCCACTGATTACGTATTTCTAATCGTAACTGATTCTAGATATTTAAAATTATTATAGAGCTAGGGAGATTATTGTTTTTATTATAGATCCAGCAATTAGCGCGTTCAATCTATTAATTTTTTCTATCGTAGTCTATTAAAAACTGTCCGCTGAATATGACGCCTTCCATTTTACAATAATATAATAATTTTAGAGTCGGCAATATAATGAAAGGCTGCCGTCGTTGTAGAATATTCTACTCACATGTCAGTTTCTACAATGCAGCTAGGCCTAATATTTGACTTAATATTCAAGAGTTGCCACTTTCAATAGGTCACATTATTCATTGATTTAATTAAAATAAAGCCTAGTTTCTGAATTTTATCTGCCCATTCGCTTGTTTCGAGTAAACTAGTATTGATAAGTTACTGCTAAATTAATTGTAACTCTGTGTTTGTAATTAAATACTTCTTGCATTTTGTTTCTAGCTATATTTCAATTATACTTTTTTATTTCCAGAGTTAGAGCAATGACTTGCTAATATAACTTTTGATGTAATTTACTACAAGATTTCAAATATTTTCTTACAAAATCTGCTGTTTTAGATTCTACTTAAGCCTAAAGTTGTATTTTCTTTGTAAACTGGATCGGCCTTAAAAGTATATGCTTGTATGTATGTTGTTAAATTACTTTATTTTATTGTCACTCCCAAATTTTCAATAAAATGAATACTTTAAAACTTTGTTATTTATTTTTAAACTAACAAAACATGATTCTTCATAACATTTATAGGTTTCCTTAAAGAATTTTGATGGACCCCCTTCTAGCTTAATAATTATGAATATTTGTTCAGGTAAATAGTAAATAAAATTAAATTCCGACTACATTTATTTTAATCATATACTTGTTATTGAGGCAAAGGAATTTTCTCCAGTTCTGCAGCTTGTTCAGGGAATAGTGCTTCCTTAGGTTTCTTCCAATGGAACTCCTCCCATGGTAGCCTCTCCATTCCAGTGGCCCAATGATGAATCCTACATCTTACATTTACTTTTTCTGTATTATTGATCTAAAACAACAATGAAATAGATTAGGAAATGTAGTATCAACAAATTATTATGTATAGATCTCTGGGTGACATATAAACCAGCAAATAGTATTTGTAAACAAAGCTTAGAGTAGGATAGAGCTTCTAGTAAATTAAATTTTATTTTTAAAGTAGAGAACTGAAATTTAAATATATTATAATGGAAACAAACTAACCTTTACAGTCACATAAAATTCCTTATCCTGTAAGCTTAGGTCAGGTCCCTTGATTTGAGCAGGGGGCATCTCAATAACATGTTCAGGGACCATAAAACCAGACTTTCTAAAAGAAGTACTGATGTGCCAAGGCTCCAAAACCCAGGGCTCTATTTTGCTCATTGTAATTTGTAATACCACACGCGACAAACAGCCAATAGTCTGAAATGTTAAAATTTATTAATATATGGGTAACTGGCATGTAAGAAGGTGTATCAAATCAACCTGATACACTACACAGTCAATCAAATAAAAACCATTCAAATAGTAAAATGGCATTTTCTTTGTGATGGCTTACCCTGTGTACATAAGGTGAGCTGTAATTACTTTCAGTAGTAGACTTCTCTTCTTTAGCATTGTACTTTTCTACATTCTGTGGGCTCGCATAAACAGCTAATCCAGGCACCAGATACTCATTGTAGGCTTGGTGAGGTCGGAGTGTTAGAACTTGACCTTTATTCCCAACACCTAAAATAAAATTGGAAAGTAAAACTTATATTTTATTCATATTGAGTATTAAACCAGCTTGTTCAAGTTAACTATTGGAGAATGCTCCGACTTTGCTACAACTTTTTAGTTGGATGGGAGGGACGTTAAGCTTCAGATTAACAGACAAATCAATTAAATATGTGCATTGCATATTAGACATACCATCAATGAACTGGTTAAGGATTACTTTTACATCAGGTTTTCTCTTAACATTTGTATCTTCAACAAGGTCGTATACAAAATGCCGTCCTTTCAGTTTTATCGGCTGCCCACCCTTCTTATGCAGAGGCACCGCTGTTTTTCTTTTAAGAATAAATGTGTTCTGTAGAAAAGAGAGATCTACTTAATTGTCAAACTTCGAAGGAAAGTCATAGATTTATTTTAGTGCTCGGATATCTTTCTATCCTATTATTTACTTAATATTTTTATATACAATACTTGAATTCAAAATAAACATTGTCATTCCACAAAAAGATTTAAGATGCCCAAAACAAAGTCTATTAAAAATTAATGCGATTATAACAGTTTTCAACAATAGCCAAACATACAATACATTATTGTTTCTGTAATGTATGCGTAGGATCTTTTTAATTTAGTAAGTTTAGACAAAAATGGGGTACAGATTCTAAATAAATTTTAAATTGAATTTTGGCTTACTCTTGTTTGTTGATGATTTATATTACATCCTGAAGTAATGGCATTACGAACTAACGAACGTAATCCAAACATATTTAAACCACTATGTAAAAAATTACTCAACTAATAGGAATATTATTTTTGATTTGAATAACTATCTTTTGACAATTTACTTTTCTAGGTTATAATAACTTTTTTTGTAGCAAGATATTCGGATACAAGTCTTTTGAATAAGTTCACGTGAAATAAAAGTCTATGGTCTGTATCCGAAAAAAGCATAGAAAGCATAGAGTGGCCCGTGTGCCCGTGGCCCGTAGACAGAGAATATAGCTGTCTACGGTGTCTACGCCGTGGCCCATTTTATGTTACGTGTTTGACGTAGATGTATGTATTATATTTATCAGTGGTTTAGGGCTAGGGCAGTGGATGATTTCTGTATCCGTTTAACAGGGATTATTGAAAAGATGGCTTAAAATTAATTATACGATTTAATATACCATAACGGCATGACAATGGGTTTATAGTGTTTAAAACTAACAATATCATACTAGAAATAACAATACTAAAAATAAATTAAAATGTAGAAACTCGTTACAACCATAGACAAATAGAAGACTAAAATTGCCAATTAGGTACCATAGATTACATGTAATACCAAAGACATATTTTGTACTGTGAGTGTGAGTGAAACAAACTTGGTTTGATTTGCTTTGATTAGTTTGATTTGTGAATTGTGAATTCGATTCAAGACTTGTTGAAGGTGCATTCAATTTGATTGATCCAAGATTTATATAAGTATTGTGGTTTAGTGAACTTTTTCATTAGGATGGATGACGAAACGAGCTCAGATTTACAGGTAAATATGTTAAATTTGTCCACCATAACATGAGGTTATAAAAAATATCACCGATGTCGATGTTTTCGATAGTTACGACTGTAGTAAAACTGTTGTTATTTTTTCTTTTAGAAGTGTTTATCCGATGGACCTATGGATACGGATGAAGGCCCCCTAATAAACGAAAATTCAAATGGATTATCGCATTTATTGACTGAGGGCGAGTTCAGCAGTGTCGAGGCGGCGGTGGACGAGTCATCAACATCAAATCAAGGTTTCCTCAATGCGGTGGAGCTGTCTGCGGGTAGCGTTGGCGACTACCTGGACAACAACACTGACGGGTTCAACACACATCCTTTCGATGTGGGCGATAACGCGGTCACATTCCCCAGCGACTCGCTCAATAACGTGCTCACCGACGGCGACTCACTACTTAGTGATACAGCGTTTAAGACTCACTCTGATACTGATGGTGATGTTACAGAAAGTCAGAAGGCGACGGTGGATACTGACTTTGAGGTCAGTCAAATATCTGATGCTGGCAATTCAATGCCAGCTGATGACCTAACACAAACAAAAACAGATGACAGCAGCAACGCTAGTCTAGTAGAGGTGAAGCCAGAATCTAAGGCAGAGGATGAGGCTGGCCAAACTGGTGATTCTGATACTACTCCTGCCGTCAAAAGTGAACTACCACCTGTGGAATCTGATGAGGTATGTGGATGTATATAGATACAATGTACTTGTATGCAATTATACTCATGTTTTATTGTTTGAATTGCTACCAAAATTACTAATACGAAACAAATAAATAAATTTCTACATCATCAATGAGCACAATAGGGTAGTTGTCTAATTTTTATTTTAATGTCTGTCTGGTAGATTATTTTAAATCATTAGACATGTATTTTTGATTTGACATCACTTCTATGTACATTTTATATGTAGAAATGATGTTTTAGCCCCCACTCTTAAACTATTACTAAACAAATGAATTTTGTTAGATCAATAATATAATGTGTTAGTATAAAAGTTGAAAAAAAAAATTTGCAACAAAACAACTAAGTACATGTAAAGTTTTTGTGTTACAATTTTCATAAGGAATATTACTCTATATAAAAATGAGATATACCTGTTCTATATTCATATTAAAATTTATAATAATGTACTATAGATATTAGGAAGATTACAATAATATCTTATCTTTATGGTAGATAAGAATATATTTGATTTATATTTATGTTCTTTTTCTAGCATGCCAAAGTAAAAGATGAACCAGATTCAGCTGAAGATGTGGCCACTAAGGTATTATCGAAACTTTAGTTCTTCAAGTAGTGTCTTAACACGGGATCATACATATATCTAATCAATGTAATTTTGTCCTTTCAGGTTGATGATGCAACTGTAAAAACTGAACCAGTTGTAAAGTCCGAAAGTGCTACACCTACAAAGAAATCAAGCAAGGTAAATTATTGTGTACCTCTTTGTTATTCTATATTTTACTTATTGCCCTAGTGTAAATGCCTGAATATAGTTAATCCATATTAAATTGATCCTAGAATCTTGCAATACTTACTAAACATAAGTATAATTTAGATTTTTCACTCTTTGAATCACTTTGTTATGTATACAATTTAGGCTTATCTGTAACTTGAGGTTAAATATTGTACTTTCCTGAGACTACAATGCACCATTTGTACGTTCCCCATAGTCGTGGTTGTCAACTCTTCTTGCCAAATAATCCTAGAAAATGATTGGAAATAAGATAACCAATGTCATCAGTTCATTAGCAGATTAAAATTAGAAATCACTAGCTACACAGTTGTGATACATTTAGATAATAGCTTATAAATAGAGGCCATTTTGTTTCTTGATAGAATAGATTGCATTTTACTGATAAACTAACCATTTATGTGACATGCTGCTGCTTATAACGGTAAGACTGCAAGGCGTGCGCACCCTTATTGTACTACATTGCCAGGTATGGACATGGGCACATGTAACTGACGCGTCATACATTGTTGTTACATAGTACACATATATATGTTACCAACGTGATTTGCATATATGATAAAAATTCAAAACATCACTATCTGTTGTTAATATTATGTAAAATTTTCATAAAAGGTTGGAGGCGCTGAAGAGACGGAAGTTGTATCGGAAGATGAATTACCTGAGGTACAAAAGCCTAGTATAAAGGATGCTGAGAATGTGTCTGATGATGAACTGCCCGGACCCAAGCCAGCTGAACTTCCGGCCGATACTGAGGTAAATACATTTGTATAAAACTAACGTTTTGTAGATCCTAGTTTAATAATTGTGTAGTTAATCAATACATACAAATGTCACTAACCTTATCTTTCTGCACCACCCAATGCCATTGATCCTCATTCCACACAAGACACAATGTTTTTTCGATTGTGTCTTATTACGCGTAGTCAAGTGTGGGAGAGCCATACTTACAGCCATACGGCACGAATAGGTCGGCTAGACTGGAGTGGTACCTCTGCCTCACAAAAAACCGACGTGAAACAGCGCTTGCGTTGTGTTTAGTCGTGTGAGTAAGGATGCCCAATTACCCCATTCCTCAATCTCCCCAATCCCTGAATCCCCAACAATCCCCAAAAGGCCGGTAACGCACTTGTAACACCTTTGGTGTTCCAGGTGTTCGTGGGCGACGCAGATTGCTTCCCATCAGGTGATCCGTCTGCTCGTTTACCGGCTTATCCCATAAAAAACTGGTTCAGTTAAAGAATTCCCATAGTATAATTCCGCCAATTCTACGTTTTGTTTATGTGTACTAACTACTAAGTATAAATAAACAAAATTAATTTTAGGTGGTGTCAGAAGATGAGCTCCCAGCTTCAAAGAAAGAAGTGAAAGAGTCTCGTAAACGTAAAACAGAAGATGAGCGCGATGGCTACGACCCTGGCTCGCCTACATCTGAAAATGAGTCCTCTTCCAAGAAACAAGCTGTTGCCAAGGTTAGTCTTAATATTGGTAGTATAAGAATGGTTTTTTCCTTAGACCTACATTTTACAAATATGTTTGACTAGCTTCTACCGGCGTCGCCCGCGTTCCTAGGATGAAAATCACTCACTATATCTCCATACTAAACATCCAAACCGTCAGTAGTTTTTTCGCGAGAGAGTAACAAACATACATCCTCACAAACTTTCGCAATTATTTATAATATTAGAAGGAGGCAGGATTTATATTGCATGAAATTATGTCAGCCATATCTTGATCGTGATTCTTTTTTCATAGAATGGAGAAAGCAAACCAATTCCATCAGAAAAACGCGCATCAATTGACGAAAAGCCCAAGAAGAAACTACCTGAGCTGGACAAATACTGGAAAGTCGTCAATGACGATCCTACCGACTTCACTGGCTGGACCTACTTACTGCAATATGTTGACCAAGAGGTGAGTTATGTGAACTCTTATAAATATACAAAACCAAACTAGTCCCAAAAGTACCCCACTAATGTACTTGTTTAGGCATTCGAAATGATGAAAACTATCGCTAATCTCACTGCTTTATGAAGCAGTGGGAACTGAACCTTATTGACGATTGGCAAGGGCCAACTGATTGATAAATCCTATGTCAGCAGGTTGATGCACTTGGGATAATATTTACTGACTTTGTATAACTTGTCTCAGAGCGACGTGGAGGCAGCTCGCGAAGCATACGACGCGTTTCTGTCGCACTACCCGTATTGTTACGGGTACTGGCGGAAGTACGCTGACTACGAAAAACGTAAAGGAAGTAAAAAGAAGTGCCTCGAAGTGAGTACTGACACTTTACAGTTGATGCATTGTTTATAATCTATTTTTTAATCACTTGGTGACTGGTTAGGCAGTTACACCTGATGATCAGTCGTTTATTTTGATGTGCGTTAACACTTGGATTTTGAATTGTTTTAGTCATAACTGGTATTTTGCAATTATTTTTTTTCCCAACAGTGCAACGAGGTCCACGATGTTCGTAAGGCAAAGTCGTCCGTTCGCACCGGAGAATTCTATTACCATCACATAGATTTCGTTCTAGTGATTCATTTTTTGTGGTGTATATTTTGTATTTTAGTGCATATATTTATTATAATTTGTACACGCATGATGTATTGTAATACTTTTTCATGTATTTATTATTTAAGTAAGTACTAAATGAATGGTGGATATAATAATTAAGATTAAGTTAACATGCCATGGTATCATGGAATCGCAGCTGATCTTCATATTTAGCCATTGAATGGCGTTAGGAACGGAAGAACGCGGCGAGGTCGTCGACAGCTGCGTCAGCACGCCGATTGCGAACAGGTGTAATATGCCCAGACAAACATTTTATATATTATACATAGACACAAGCGAGACGTGGCGTCCGTACCGCGACCTTACCGCCCTACTACACTCCACATACCGCGTCCGCACTCGCGCACCGACACGCCACGTCTCGCTTCCTCTATTCTGAATAATGATATGACAAATAATATGCTATTCAATATTCCCTTGCTTCACAGTGTCGCCGTAAGCCGGCGGCGCTTGCAGACACGTGGAACTTGTTTGATCATGGTCTTGTGTTCCAGGTTTTGGAAAGAGGCCTCAAAGCCATCCCATTGTCCGTGGATCTGTGGATACATTTCCTAAACCATATAAAGACGACACGTACAGAAGATCATGCCTACATCAGGTCGCAATATGAGAGGGCCATAGGTGAGACATGCTATTTACACATAATTTATGTAATTTAAAAATTTAAAAAACTCATTACTAAAATAGACACCTTTCCACAAAGATTTTGACATTTAACAACTTCGGTGTATAGACTTAAAAACTTAATAAATCTTGTAATGAAATTAGTGACACGGAATGTGGTTAATCGACTGCTAATAGACACGTATGTATATCATTGTTATTCATTATTTTATTATCAGTATTTTCACAGATTAATAAATATTCACAAACAACAAAATTATAAATTATGTGAATGTATTTTTTGCAGAGGCATGTGGTCTGGAATTCCGGTCGGATCGTCTCTGGGAATCGTACATCAAATGGGAGGCTGAGAATGGGTCGGCTCTCAATGTTACCAATATTTATGATCGACTGTTGGCCACTCCCACACTCGGATATACTTCACATTTTGACAAGTTTGTACAATGTCCATTACTTATGCTTCATTCGTCTGGTAAACATGGACTGTTTAAAGTTTTGGTATAATTTCATATTTATTTCTTTATTTAATGAGTATGCTATGAATGCGTTGTTATTGTGTAATGTAAGAAATAACAGATACGAGATAAGCGCAATGTTTATTGTTTTCTTTTCAGTCCCAACTTTCCAATTTCAGAATGAAAGACTTTGTAAAGTCTTTACTTGCTTATTGACGAACAAGTCACTCTGTGACTGCAGTGTAATTCTGTTTGACAACGAAGCTTTTATGGGAATATGAGATCGTAACAAAAAGGTTCCTTTCAGTTTTGGTTATGCTTGAAATATAATGAGTGCTATGGAATAATTTACGGCTGTGGCGAGACGTGTAGTGATGGTCAGTCGGTACTAAGGTTGCGTGTGATTAGCTTCCAGGAGCACGTGATGTCGGAGCCGGTGGCGGGCGTGGTGTCGCGCGCCGAGCTCGTCAGGCTGCGGGCCGACGTCCGCGCCACTGCCGGGGCCGCGCCGCAGCTAGACCTGCCGCCCGGAGAAGACGAGCCGCTCGATCACGTCGTAAGTAGTCTAATCATTTTTCTTCTGTCATTTGTACCCCTTTTTTAAATTGAGTTCATGATTGAAAAGTGTAATGCTCTCATCATCATGGTCTAGGATGCTAGTTAATTCTTCGAGTACAGACTTTCCTATCCAATAACTGCTGTAGAGAGCTTGGATGATATAAGTTAGAAAGGAACAGTTACATGAACATTTAATGGACTTTAAAATGGTATTTTTTATTTTTAGGCATCTGAAGAAGAGGCTCAGGCCATCAAGGAACGTATCATTGCCGCACGACGTAAGGTACACAAGACCACGGGAGAACAAGTTGCAGCTAGATGGACCTTCGAAGAAGGCGTAAGTTGATAATATTGCTTATCAAAATATAAAACATATTAAAGTTCAACCATTTATACAAGAATTCTTTTGTTATAGATAAAACGGCCATACTTCCACGTGAAGCCATTGGAAAGGTGTCAACTTAAGAACTGGAAGTCGTACCTGGAGTGGGAGAAGCAGCACGGCTCACTGAAGCGGGCGCTTGTATTGCATGAACGGTGTCTCATTGCCTGTGCGCTGTACGAAGAGTTCTGGATGCGGGTAATGTTATTTACACTGTTCAGCAAAAGCCAATTGTTGTTATCTTCAACATAATGTCACTTAAAATCAAAAGTAGCAAAAAGGACTATCAAAATGCCACAATACCGGATTTAGTGCATAAATCTGTAAGCACTGCTATAATAATATTTAACTAAAGTAATTTCTCTTTACAGCTGATAAAGTTCTTAGAGGAGAGAGTGGAGACTAACCCAGAGCTGGTGAGCGTGGAGCGCGAGGTATTGGAGCGAGCCTGCACCGTCCACCACCTGGACAAACCTGACTTACACCTGCACTGGGCGCACTTCGAGGAGGTACACGGAAACGCTGCCAAGGCAGCTGAAATACTCGACCGGATCGAGAAGACCTGTCCTAACCTCGTGCAAATACAATACAGGTGAGTAACGCGACACTCTAATGTGAAATTGTTGAAAGTAAATTCTATTAGATAAATTGGATTTTATGCAAGCTAAATAATATTAACCACTTATGACATCGTTAAAAATCACAAAATTTTAATAACATCATTAATAATCCTTATAAACAGACGAGTGAACTTGGAACGACGGCGCGGCGACTACGAGAAGTGTGCCCAGCTGTACGAGGGCTACATCGCGGCCGCCAAGAACAAGGCGGTGTCGTCCGCGCTGGCCATCAAGTACGCGCGCTTCCTGTTCCACGTGCGCGCGCAGCCCGGCCCGGCGCGCGCCGCGCTCGACGCCGCCATCCTGCGGGACCCGCTCAACGCCAGGCTGCACGCGCAGAGACTCGACCTGGCTCTGCACTGCCCCAACACACCATACCAGGAACTAGACGGTACGATGATCATAACATGCCATTTGATTACACTCATTCAAAGATATTGCTACGAAACATATGACAATCCGAATTAAAATCTATGTTATTAGTTTCACCGAGTTGGTATTCTAAAATAATTTAATATTTATAAAACTTGTTGTATTCGCAGAGTTAGTATCATCATACGAGAAGCAAGAAGGCGCGGAGCCGGAGATGTGCGCCATGTTGGCGTGGAAGCGGCGCGAGCTCGCCGAGGAGCTCGGGGACGCGCAGGCCGCGCGCGACGCCACCGCGCATGCGCGAACACTCGCCAAACATTTACGCAAGCGCGCGCGCAAGGATAAACATGACCCACCGCCACCTCCCAAGTAAGCACTCTTAGCTTACAAATGCCTTTGAAATTTCTAATATCTAACTGTACTTATTAACATTATAGAAAGCCAAATAGATCAACGATTGTCTAAGGCTGCCTAAACTAACATGTCACATAAAATACCTCATATATTTTTTTATGTTCATCTGTAGCGCATGTGTGGAGCCGAATAAGAAGAAAGAGAACACAACAACGGCCCCCAACAACGCGGCGTCACCCAGCGGCGGCGGCTCGTACTACCAGGCGCCGGCCGCCGCCGCCTCGTACGAGCAACCCTACGCCGCGCCTTACCAGCCCGCCTGGGGATATCAACAACCGCCCGGACCCTATCAACACCATCCACATCCATGGCCGCAGTACCCCAACTACTACTAGACGTTACCTACCTTTTACAACGCATTGTTAATTTTATGACAAGTTTACTAGTTCACTTAAATAGTTACATTACGGTATGATTCATAATATCGTTCGATAAACAGAATTACTTCGTCTGTCTTATAAATAGGGAATGTAAAATTGAGATTTACAGAAAATGTTTATGGATTTAATACAGTAACAAAACAATGTTACATGATTTTTGAAGGAATAAATCTATCTTCACATTCCAACGTCGTATTATTTTTTTTCTCTTCCCGGTGTCAGTCTCGTCTTTACAATCAATTATTTATCAAACAACCACAGGCATATATCCCACCGCCGACGAGAAAACGACGAACTATCGGCTTCTTCAATTAACGTATAATAGACCAGCTTCTGCCAGCGGCTTCGCCCGCGTGCTCAGGGGTAAAAAGTAGCAATCTACCTCTGTTCAGCCATTTTGACATATTTTCACATTTATAATATCGGTTCAAGCTAACTTCAACCATCGGCTCTACAGTTACAGCGTAAAGTCCGCAGTGGACGCAGTGGCATTCGACTATCTTACATACATTTGCGTTTGGTACAGTAACTGTGTTTAGGGCTCGAGCCGCACAACTAAGTTTGTCTTTTACAGGATAAAAAGTGTCCAGTGTTGTTGACTTCTTCATTATCGTGTTTCTTTCGACATACAAACAAAACATCGTGTAATATAGCACTGGGGTGAAGCTGGTGCGGGCGGCAACAAATGTGTAATTGTAGTTAGGATGGAAAGAAGTGACATAGAGATAGAAAGTCTAGAAATAATGTTCCTTTCGATGTCACGGCCTCGTTTATAAAGTAGGTACAGCAATTTATGTTGTATTTATATACCAATACGTCTCAATGTCCATTAGCAAAAAATTTAATTCCTTGCAATGCCGTCCCGGTCTTTGCAGGCTTTTAGTGCATACGTCGGTGCTACGATGATGCAGTAAAATACAACGAAAATGTTATTAAACAAGGTTTAGGTTTAGAGAGGTACTGAAAGGCGACGAATGGAATATAGAAGAATTTTGGTCGCAGTACCTACTCAGGCATGCGGGGTAAACAAGAGAAATAACAAGAGAAAGCAAAAGAAATTAATGGTGGGATGATGAAGTAAGAGGTGATAGAGCAAAAGAAGAAAGCATGGCTCGCCTCAAAGGCAGATAGAAGAGTGCTAGATAGTATGAAAGAAAAGTACGTTAGTCTCAATAAGAGAGTAAAAGAGGCAGTTAACAAGAAGAATGAATGCAAGGAAAAGTCTGAAAGGAAATTTCGCGAAACTTTCGAGCCAACGCTAAACTATTCTGAATGTAGTTAGAAGTGCCAGAGGCTAAGTGGGGAACTATAAAATAAGTATGATAATAAGAGATATAAACGGGAGTGTAATTGGAGAAAATAAGGATGTTCTGAAGCAGTGGAAGGAATATTTAGAGAATTTATTTGAAAGGAGTGATTTGAAAGATGAGGAAGTCAACGAAGATAATGAAGGTGTTAATGTGGGAGAATTAAATATGGATGAAAGTATGAGTACCATAAGAGTTTGAAAGTAGGTAAAGCCGCTGCTTTACCATCCCGCTGGATGTGATAGGATAACTACTAAATGCTAACAGGGAGCGGAGGTGTAATTGCAAGCCTACTACTACTTACTTTTTAATAAGCGTTGGCGGTGCGGTCGTGTCCCTGGAGACTGGGCCAAGGCTGTAATTGTCCCACTAGGTATATAAAGGAAAAGGATCACAGCAGAAGTGCAAAAAATATCGCAGTATAAGCCTCCTAACCGTAGTAGGAAAGTTGTATGCCAAGATATTGATTAAAAGAGTGATGGGTGTAAATGAAAATAAAATCTGGGATGTATGTACAAGCGGGATTTCGAAAGGGAATGGGGTGTACGGATCAAGTGTTTTATTTACGGTGCATTTCAGAGAAAGTTTTATCAAAGCACCAAAAGGCATTCTGTGCCTTTATTGACCTAGAAAAGGCTTATGACAGAGTGATGAGAGATGAATTGGGCAACTCTGTCCATGTATGGGGTGAATAACCACCTGATTCGGGCACATAAATCCTTATATAAAGATTCAAGTCCCTGAGTCAGAATAAATGGAGCTTACACAGAGTGGTTTAACATTAATCGAGGTGTTACACAAGGCTGTGTAGGATCTGCTTGGCTGTTCAACCTATTCGTGGACAGCTGTTTGAACGATTTGATTGTAGGAGAGTGTGGATTAAGAATTACACAGTGATTAATACATTGTTGTATGCTAAGAGTATAATAAGTATATGGGAAGTTGTATGTTGTACTTGTTGCCTCGTCGGCCGAAGAATTACAACGAATGATCACTGTTATGAATGATATATTTGAAAGGAAAGGTATGAAAGTAAATGTGATCAAGACGAAAGTGTTGGTGATAGAAAGAAATGAACTGATGACAGAATGTCAGGTAATGATAGGTGATGAAAAATTAGAACAAGTAAATGAGTTTGTTTATTTAGGATCACTATTTACGAGAGATGGCAAGTGTGACGGGAATATTGAAAGGAGAGTGAAAGCGGGAAATAGTGTCAATAATCAATGATATGTCTAATAATATCCAGCAAAGCTCGACTTGCTGTTACGCAATGTGTATTGACACCGACGCTTATGTATGGTAGTGAATCATGGGTGTGGCAGAAGAAGCATGAAAACAGGATTAATGCGGTGGAAATGAGAGCCATGAGTACGGGTGGAGCAAAATTAAGTGATAGAGTGAAAAATTGTGTTACTAGAGAAAAGTGTGGATTGAAGGATGATGTAGTGACAAGGATTGAAAAGGGAATGTTACGCTGGTTTGGACATGTAGAAACGATGGATGAAAGTAGAGTAACGAAAGAAGTATACAGAGCGAATATGAATGGGGCCGTCGTTAGAGGGCGCCCTAGACGGACATATACTGAACAAAGGGCCAAATTAAAAGTACCCTTAACCGACGAGCATGCATGAAAAGATTGATGACTGAAGCGAAAGAGGTATGTAGGAATCGTAGTAATTGACGTACCGTCTCTGAAACGCCTGTCTCCCATAGGGGTAGGCAGACCTACCCCCATGGGAGACAGGCGTGAAGGTATGTATGTGTGTATTTATGTTATTAAAAAATAGACCATTATAATTTTTAATCACATTATTTATTCATGACGTTATTATTGGCAACACATTCAGTTTTGTTTAATCCTGCACAGTATCAACAACATATTCTTATAATAATATTGCGTTAAAAAAACATTTTTGTTATAACTTATCATTACTTTCAGAGTTATTAAAGTAACATTCACATACTGGCTAAAATTCCGATAATCCTTTCACAAAGATCATAACAAATACGAAGAAACAAATAAATCAACCATTTATCATCTGAGTATGAATGTACAGTACCTATGTTGTATTTATGGATTAAAAACTTTTTCAATAAAAATAAAATACGATATGAGTTATCCCCTAACACCTAACCCTGACGGTGTCGAGGCTACATTGATAACGTCAAACATCAATCGCTAAAAAAGAATATAATAAAAATTAGACATCGACATGACTTAGCGACCGAAATTTTGAGTCGAGCGAGATTGTAGGCTCAGGGTTTAAAAATATACAATACAAAGCATCTTATAAATTCCAAATTAAATAGATTATACTCTTATTTACAGACATCTCAGCTGATGTTTGGTACTTATTTATTTAAAGTCATTTAAAACTTAAATTATTCAACTTATCAACATTCTAAATAAAATACATAACTTTATTACAAGTAGTAACTATATCTACGTAGGACGTACGTCTATTCTAAAACGAACAAACTCCGGTCCTCATGTCTCACTGTCTTGCTGACAGCCACTGGAATCAGGAGCAGGCAGCTTTAGCAGCCTTAACAGCTGGAAAAGAAAAATATATTTTTTTAAATTTTATTGTACACAGACACAGGCAATCCTGGTGAACTACATACATGATAAATGTGTTCGAAAAACTGCGATGTCAAATAAAGAAAAGGGCCCACGGTGCGATACTGATGTGATGATAAGTAATTGAAGAATACTTAATCATCATCATCAAAAACAACTCTTGATAGTCCGCTGCTAGATTATGGGTACCGCGACTATGTAATCGCATGTATGTGTAAAAGGTTCAGGTTTATCAGACAACACTGCAATCCGGACTCGGTTAAATATGTATAATCAATTAATCAGACTTGATCACCTCTTGCGACATCCGCGGAAAAAATCTTTCTATGACTAATTTGCTGTCACCACTATAATATTATAATTATGAATTATACTTGAATCGTCATGATTAATTTTATTCATCAGTGATACATATTGGAAATAAATATTATTGCTTATTGTTTTGGTTCAGATTTGGTTTGTAACAAACGATGAAGGTTACCGACATCAAAAAAAGGAGGAGTTTTTGTTTAGACTTTTAAACTGAGTTAGGAAAAAATGTTAGCATGTGCATTATCATGGTGCATACAACTTCTTTTGATAATTGCTATCTTTTCGAGTATTTATATCTAATGTTTATCAATCAATAAATTTCATTGCAGTGAGAACATGCAACATCGTTAAACATCGTTTTTTGCTCGATTTGATATAGTCGACTTATTTATTTTTATCTAACAAATTCAGGAAGAACGAATATATTCATTTTATTAACCGACTTTAAAAAATGGAGGGGAGGTTCTCAATTCGACCGTATATACATATATGTTTTTCTTATGTATTAATAAGTGTGGGAGAGCCATACTTCGGCACGAAGGGGCCGGCTTGACCGGAGTGATACCACGGCCTCACTATTTGTAACAAGTTTAAAAGGTTTTTATAAAAATTACATAACTTTATTTTGTTATACGATTTTTTATTTAAAAATCATTATTTTATTTTTTATTTAACATTATTATGTACCACAACCCATTTTACTCTTGGTCTTCTAGACCATACACATTTTTACAATCCTTTGACTATCAGTATTTGACTTAGAATTTATTAAGGTAATATGACTTTACATTTAAGTATGTTCTACACTTCTAGGAAAACAACCATATTATCCTAAAGTCCGTAAACGTAGGCTGATATGGTGATGAGGAAAATAATGTTTAGTGCCTTCCAGCTATGTCGGTGGTTGCAGAGGTTTTTAGTAGGTCGATGCGAAGGGCTGAAAACCGATCAAGATCTATGTGGAGTCCTATTGACGAAATACTCGAACGCTACTCAATTTAAGTCGTGCAAGTAAGTATAGTTTTGTCACTACTAATTCTTTATGAAATGACAGAGATGGCACGATATTTGAGAACAAATTAAATTTGAGTAGCCTTTCACCATTCGGGCGTATATCCAGAAGAAGACGGAAACATGTAGAAGTTGATGCTGAACTAATTTAAAATTTAAATACGGTGCAGTCGAAATGTTTTATGTGTAAAAGTATCACCTTCTCTCTCTTTTCTACGCAGCTTCTTGCGTCGGCGGTCAATAGCGGCAAGTTCAGCTTTGACTGAATGGTACGCTTTGCGCAGATCCGCTAGTCGCGTTGTCAATACGTTGATGCGAGTTGAGCAGTCCCAGGTTGGATCTAGTTAAGGGAAAAAGAATATAGTAGTTTGATTTTTATGGTCCAAAATGCTATAACCTATAAATAAATATTGCACGACGGTAAAAATCAGCAAGGGATGATGAAACCATACAGTAATAATGTTTTATACTTTAACAATAGCAATTTGTATGTCAGATTATTAAAGCTCATACACAGTTTGAGCATATTTCCTTATTTCGCGTGTCTCATTAAGAGGTTAAATCAAGTGGTAATGTGCTTGATAAGAATTATAAGATCGCTGCTGTGTGTTGATTTGTGACGTGCACTGCTTGTATCTTGAGTTAATATTGTTCCATTAAAAAGCAAATTTTTAGTGACATAATTTTCTAACTAGCAGTTTAGTATAAGAATATGGATAGTTACCTAATTCGACATAGAAGTTGTACTTCATCGGCGTGTGGTGCGAGTGCGGTGCGTGGTGCGCATGCGCGGAGTGCGGCGCGTCGTCCGTGTCGCGCCGCGTGCGCCGCCCGCGCCCGCGCGTGCCCGCGCCCGAGCTCTCCGACGCCTTGCGCGACCGCGCACCTATTCGTACAATAATAATTATTATTATCATTACAGTTCACAAATATAACGCTTAGTTCCAAGTAAAACATTCATCAACATCAAACGCTCGAACTAGTTTAGTGCTGGACTGTGATTCTATTCTGTGCTGGTAAAAGGGGTTTATTATAATCTTCACTCTTGGGAGACAAATTAGAAATGGCGGTTTATCAAAGAGCGCTGCTGTGTCTGCAATCCATTAGCGGCTCCTACTACACCCACGAGTAGGGATAGTGACAAATGCAAGTATAATATTAAATGAAGACTTTTCAGTATATTACTTATAATATATATGTTGAAGTATATATTTATAATTATACACTATAGCTTTATTAAATAAGTATGTTGGGTTAATTAATAGTCATTTTGCATTACAACTTATGCACCTCTACCATGTCATGTCTCTGTACCATATTAAGGTAGACTAAACTGGCAGAGAGTCCCCTAGGCGTTAAGTCCGCCTTGTGCTAATTATGCGCCGAATTAATAAATAAAATAAATATATATTCCATTTGTAATAATGTTACTGTTGTTACTAACCGTGCGGCTTCTCTATGTCGAGTCCTGAAACGTCGTTCATTCTGCTGTCGTCTTCGTCGTCCTTCCGTTCCGAAGGACTGTCTCGTTCTGATATACGGCGCTCCCTGTTCACATAGAAGCACAAATAAATACCACATTTACCCCATGTTATTTTTTTCTACTTTTCTTAAAAGAAAGTTACGAATGTAAAATTGTTCCAATTAAGGATTATACATATTCATTTACACAACAATATTTGAAATTAAATGTTACACGTTCAAATTGTTGCACCGTTGGATTGATAGCTATTCTCCTGTCGTGGGTACATGGACCAGTGATTTGTTGATTACTCAACGAATTGTGTCTTGCAAAGTCGGAGCACGCCTAGTCACTGAGCCAACCTTACCATACCATTACAGCTTCGTATGATATAGAAGTTAGTAATGTTTGAGGTGATGGCACTGGTAAGATTCCAATATTATTAGTCGACAACGCACCAGAACTGCCTTTGACTGTTTGATTTTAACATTACAAGTAGCATTTATTATTATCCATATCAATATAATCAAGTCTTAATATCTTATACTTATTATATAAAGCTGAGGAGTTTGTTTGAACGCGTTAATCTCAAAGAACTATTGGTCCGATTTGAAAAAAAAAAAACATTTTGTGTTGGATATGCCATTTATCGAGAAAGTTTATTGGTTACTAGCTTCTGTCCGCGAATTCGTACGCGCAATCCTGTTTACCGTTTCTACAGTTCCCATAAGATTTCAGGGGTTTTTTCTGTCATAAGAAATCAGCCAAATCGGTTCAGCCATTCTCAAGTTATAGCGTGACAACAGGAAACGGGTTTTTATGTTCATATATTGGCTATAAAACATCACGCTGCGATCAAAAGGACGATCACGCTAGGATTATTGCTACATACGCGTGTGAAACCGCGCGTATGAGTTAGTAATTAGATAATTGTATAAATCATACATTTAAATCAATTGCAAGACAAGTACGAGTAATGAGTAGAGTGGCGCGGTACCTGTGTGGCGGCGAGGCGTCGAGGCTGCTGTCGGGCGTCGTGGGCGGCGTGTTGTCGGCCAGCGCGCGCCCGCGCCACGCCTCGCGCGCCCCCGCGCCCCCGCACGCGCCCCCGCCCGCGCCCCCGCACGCTGCGCCGCCGCGACGCTCTTCTGCAAATTACAATAATACCACGTGAAATCATTTTATTTCAACTAAAAACAATTCCAAATGGTATTAGAAGTAAAAATGTTAGTTACTGTGTAAATACGACATTTTAGTCATTATTGGAAAGTCCTGTCAATTCGAAAACGCTCTCTTAATACATATAGGTATATACATATAAAACTACGTTGGCAGTAGTATTTGTAAATGGCAACAAAATATATTGATTTTCAGGAGTGCCCACTCGAGAAAGGGCAACATATATATAGTAAATTACCTCTCCTTGAAGCAGTTTGCCAGCGCCATCGGGATATGTTATTCCATATCCAACAACAATTAGGCCTTTGAATCCTAACAGAAAACTGTTGAAGGCAAAACTTCGCCACGCGCCAATCATCAGCGACCAACGTGGCAATTAACATGTGAGATTCATATCTCATTTCATTTTGATAAATCAAATTCATTCTTTTTGCTTAAAAAAGTACGAAATAAACATAACTATCTTCACAAACTTTTACATTTACTATTTTAGTAAGAAAAAGAGGGAACATTATTTGTTTGTAATGAATAGGCTCAAAATAAAGCAACTAATTGTTATCGACACAGTACTACAATACTAAGTAGTCTATTGTTAAATAAAGAACACGAAGAAATCACACGTGGGAGAAGTCTTTATGTTTTTAAGTTTGAATAGGTGTTTTGTTCATAGTGAAAAAACAATTAAGATAGTATTTTAAAGAAAGGTCGCTTACCGAAGAATGCCATTTGTGATTCAAGTTATTAGAAAAACTTGGTCTTACTACTTAACGTGCTAAATAACGCAGGTGTAGCGGTCATTGTGAGAAACTGTGTATCATTTCAGACTTTGTGTCTACTGTATGGTATTATAAGTATGTATGGCGAGATTTACCTTTAGCGTGATGATGCGGTGGTGCAGATGCGAAGGGCATATGCAGTCGTTGTCTCGGGGGCGCAGGCTCGGCGTCCGGCGCGGGCGAGCCCGGGATAGTCTCCGAGCACAGTAGCAGAGAGATACTGCCGTCCTCCTCGCGCGCCTCGCGGGCCTCGCGGGACTCGCGCACCTCGCGCGGCCCGCCCGCCACTACTACACTCGCGCCTGGTGAAAGATAGATAATTACATACTTATGTACTGACTCTTCAGTTCAGGTAGAATATTGTAGACCTGACACATTTCAAGTCATGTGTCCAATAAAAACGTAGAAATCCTAGTAAATCTTAATGCAAATCCGACACTTCTTGGTCGGTAATTGCGCTTGGAGTCCTTGAACCAGATGCCAATAATAATTCGGACTGCCATTCTAAGTAATTTGCAATAGTCAGGACAGAGCAACTATATTGTGTTACTGAAAGTTTATAATAGTTATACTTACTATGTTTCCGCTCGTTCTTGCACGCATCTTCGAGCATAAGTAAAGACTCCCCGGCGCTCCACTCGCCTGGAGACTTCCCTGCGTGCAGCGAGCGTGCACCCAGCGCTAGCGACGTACTGGGGGGCATCGCACCCAGCGACCCCAGCGACCCCAGCGGGGGCAGGGCGTGGGGGGCCAGCGGGGCCAGGCTGTGGGTGTGGGTAGACTGAGCTGGAGACGACCGCTCGCTACTGCCCCACTCGTCTACTACTAACTTGTCGATTATTAATCTACAAGGAAAGGAGAACTAACAGTTAGTACGAGCACAAAACTAAAATACATAATAGTTACCCATTCTTTATCAACCCATGAACGGTTATTCAGATGATTCATTATGTTTAATTTAGATTTAGACATTAATAAATGCACGTGACTGTAGAATGAAAACAAAGCAATTTATTACCTCCTGTCGGAGTCGTCCGAGTCGCTAGAGTCGGTGCGCTCGTCGCTGGGGAAGGGTAGCGGCACGGTGGCAGCCACGGCGGCGGCGGACTGGTTGATCTGGCTCGACAGCTTCTGGATGGTGTCACTGAGCACCTTGTTGTTCTTGCCGGGCACGCCGGGCACCCCGGGCACGCTGGGCGCCACGGCCACGCCGGGCACGCCACACCCGGGCACGCCGGCCGCGCCGGGCACGCCGGACCCGGCCAGCTCCGCCACGCTGCTGCGCCGCTCGAGGCAGCTCAGCGGGGAGTGCAGCCGCGGCGCCACCGCTTCCTCAATTTTCGGTTTCTTCACCTCCAGCACGTCACGCTTCACCTCCACTATATTGGAAGACTCGCCGTATATCTCGGCAGGCTCTGGTGGTGTCACCTTCTTTATTGGTTCAGGTTTCAGTGTTGGTTTGATTGCTTCTGGTTTCAGCGACTTTGGCTCATTACTCATCACGGGCGAGAGCTTGTGCTCTGGTTTAATCGGTTTGATTGCGTCCATCTTGGGTGTGACTGGACGATCCTCCAAGGGCGGAGGAGACATTGAGAGACGCTTAGCGCTGCTGATAGCTTTCAAAAGTTTCTCAGCTATCTTTGGTCCCTCGGATTGGAGCAAGAATCCTGGTGGTGGCTCCGGCAGCACGTCAATCCGTGCCGGACTGTCCGGCTCGGACTTATCTTCTTCGGTATCCATTAGAGGGCTCGCTGGCGGTTGCATTTTCAATATACCTGGCTCTATGGGAACCGGATCCAATTTCTTGTCAATTTTTAGTTTGAGCGGATTTTCTTTTGGTTGTTGAGGGGGAGTAACAACAACAGGGGGAGGATTGACAGGTTCTTCCTTCTTTGCCTTCTCTACGTTGTCAACAACAGGTTCGGGAGTCGGGGCTGCAGTGACAGTAATAGTTGGCGGCGTGATGGTAATGCTCGCAGTGGGCGTCACCGTCGGTTTGGGTGGTGGTGAATCTGGTTTCTTTTGCGGTGGAGGAGTTTTGGGCGGTTCGGGAATAACCTCTTTAGGCTCTTTATGTTCTTTATCATCCTTCTCGTCTGTTACTATTTCTTTGATTGGGACTACAATTTCAGGCTCCAGGGGTTCATCTTTCACGGGAGTTTCTGGAGTCTTGGGTTCTTCAACCACTGGTAACGTGGGTGTAGGCTCTCTTGCTTCCTCCTTTACAGGGATATCTTCTGGTTCATCATCTGATGACTGTTCGTCATCTGCTGGGCTGTCAGGAGAGTCATCAATAAGTTCTCTCAATTTAGATACTTTGCTTTTCTTCGAATATGTTTCTTGATTCTTAGCTGGAGTGAATCCCTCAAATGTCGGTCCTGAACTACCATCGCCAGGGAATGAGTCATCATCGAGCGAGAACAGACCATCTTTGGAGTCATCCTCGGGACTCTGACGGTTCACATCTCTGGTGACGCCGAAGTCTCTGAAGGGAGACAAGGAAGGTGACCTGAGGGATGACGGCCGAGGCCGCATGGGATCTTCGGAAATTTCTTCACTGAGTGACTTGGATAATGTAGACGTGTATTTGCTGGGTGAAATGTCGTCGAATATACGATGGGTGCGCTTTTTCTTTTCGTCGTGCAGTTCTAGCTCGAAGGGTTCTGGTTCTTTGAACTCGTAGACGTCTTCGGGCTGTTTGTCTTGTTGCATGGGCTCGGGAGGTGGTGCAGTGGATTGCGAGGGAGTGGCCTCGTCAGTGTCGGCGGATTCTTGCTTGATATCTTCGGGCTCCTGTTTGACAGTTTGTAGCCCTTTGAGCTCGGAGCGTATTTCATTAAGATCGTAGTCTCTGCCTTGATGGCCGGGTGCGTTAGGCCGTGGTTTCTTGGCCGGAGACACTGAAGTAGGAGTGGACACTGTCCTCACTGGCCGTTTGCGTGGCTTGTTTGAACCATTACTGTCACTTGACTTCACGTCTTTAGATCTCGATGGAGCTATGGACAAACGTTATGATTTAAGTGCCAACTTGCATGAATAGTGTGAAAATTATGATTTAAACAAAATTAATGACTTTAGTACGTATAGTACATATATACTATAGTTTTTAATTACTTACTCTTAGAACTACTAGATTTATCGTCGGACTTCTTAGGTGGTCTCTTGACGTCGTCGTCACTTTCGGAACTATCGGAGTCTGACCGTGCCGACGACTCTGTAAATAAATATTTTAGGCATTAATCTTCACTATACTTTTTAAGAAGAAATGTAATATGAATTATGTATCGACAGGGCCAAAAATTACACATACCTTCAGTCCTTTTGCTCCGAACACGCCTGCTCATACCAGAACCCTGAGAAATAAGAAATATATATTAGATTGGAACATGAGCGACCAACATGATTCATGATATTATGAGACCCAATTTTTCTTGAGATAAATCGAATATCCTCTAAATATTTATGTAACCCATATATTTTGATTAACTAATTATATTGTACTGTACTTTTTTGTTCCTTTGCTCGTGTTGCGTGACGTTGAGTGCGATGCGTTGTGGTTTGATCCACTCGTCGTAGCGCGTGTTCCAGCCCAGGTAGTGCACGCGGAGCAAGTCACCCGTCGCCGACTTGTCGATCACCTTCGCCTCGTACGTCACCTGCAAATGTACATTCTTGTTATAACAGCCTTTAGGGACCGTAGCTAGTCGGTGAAGTTCTTGTTGGGGTTACAAACTTGTAACTAAATATACGGGATCCTCTAAAAAGCAGTAACATTTTATCTGCGGATCAAAGAGATTACATAACCTTTAACAAATAGGATCAAAAATGTATTGCATTCTTAAACATGATTGTGAAAAGGCTATTCATTTAAAATCGTCAGAAGTATTATTTATTTATTTAATGATTTATGTACACACAAACAGCACATACATAAAACTAAAACCTAACTTAATACTTACTTAATACTTTATAAATTAGAAAAGTAATTAACAAATGTTTGACGCGAGAACGTATGACACATTGCACAGCAGTAAACCATCTAACCACTACGCCTATGCAATCAAGCAGTCAAACAAATATATAAACAGACATAACAAAGATGTACTTACAGTAATTTTTTAATCCCTTTACAATTACGAAAGAGCCAGAGTTATCTATAGATCACACTGACATAATTTAATTTCTTATAATAAAGTTCCTGCTTTTATACCCATAGTAATGAATCCTTAATGAAATGAGACTATTAGGTGTCGCAACAGTCACTCATTACTTATTTTGTTAATTTCTCTATCGACATAATTACAAAGATAAATTCCATCATTACCTAATTATTGCAAACAATGTGGTGTATTCTTCCTGCGGTTATCATAATACCCAACTTTTTGTTTCTTTTTTATAAAACTTTGCCCCAATTGGGATTTTCTCCTGTGTCGTGGGTGCGTAACTAAAGGACTACATATTTTACAGAGACCGGGAAACAGCGCTTTGATTGATTAACATGGAACTTTTAAACTACAGCCTCAAACACACCTGCCAAACCCTAATCCCCCCAATCCCCGAACCCCCAACAATACTCAAAAGGCCGGTAAAGCACTTGTAACGCCTCTGGTGTTTCGGGTGTCCATGTGCGGCGCTGATTGCTTACCATCTGGTGATACCACCTGTATGCTCGTTTACCAGCTTATCGCATAAAAATGACCTCTTATGTTGAGTAGTGGACCGTTGCGAGCTGTTTACGTGTTGTGTATTTATATTTACAATTTTACTTGATTTTCCCTCATATTAGGTCCCTACGTTATAAGAATTGGGATACTTTTACGTAAAAAATAATTTATATCGTCTTTTCGTTTTTGTTAATCGTCATTAGATTTTACTCGAAAAATATCAAACTTGTTTATAATTGGCCAATTTCAAATTGTATTAGTAGAAGCCATTATTACTAATTAGGTTTTGTCAATTACCAATCTATATTGTGTCGTTAGACTTAACGCGAATTAAATATCTTGTCAGTAAGACGAATGTAGACAGCAACTTTATCTTCTGATTTCTTAGACTAAGTTTAGCTGCAAACAAAATTTCAGTCAAAGCGTATTTTGTCTGCGCTTCAAAACGACTGATGTTGATGTAACATTCTTCAAATGGTTATTAGCATTACCCGACCCAGGAAGCAAACAACTCGCTACTGGCAAAAATCACCAAACCAGAAAAGCAGTAAATACATAAATAAAAAGCAAATAACAAACAAACAAATAATATAATAATGTGGGTTGGGCCGTACTTTTACCTTCGATTCGGACTGGGTGGGTCCGTAGTACACTTTCAACTTGTCTCCCACTTGTGCTTTCACATTCGATACTCCGGAGCGCGGCGTTGGTTCATTGGTTGGTCTGTTGGGGCAAAATCGCTTGTATTAGTAGAGAATTAAAAACTTACGTAAATAAATCAAAACGAGGTTTCTTTGTGTAGTGTAAGAATGATTACACAACATATACTATGATGCATTTTATTTCTGTTTTGTCTTTTTTTAGCAAAGATGCTAGGGCAAACCTTAGGTTGTAGTTGTATTGTTGTTGCAGGGGTACGCCATTTATGGCGTAACCCTGGCCTTATTTCAGACTGCAAATGATTTCGTACGTTGCTCGACACGCGAATCAAGCCTGACACTCCGCTCGGCGGTCGCGACAGTAACTATTTGATTTAACTTTGTAAGTCATTTGTCCCGTGAATCGCAGGAAAAATGACTTACAAAGGCAAGATTATTTAACTTGACCACATCGATATTTTAATACGATTGGATTACAACTGTAGTAACTTCCAATACGAAATTTACACTAACTTTCTTCGATGAAATCATGTATATTAAGAAGAGAAGACGACAGTATGAGATAAGTATATACTCACTCGGTGTTCTTCCTCTTCCGCGGTCGCTTGCTGCTGTTGGAGGCTATAGTGTTGCCGCTACTGGCAGAGTTCGCGCTCTGGCTGCGACGACTCTGCATCTTCTTTATAGGCCCGCATCTATGGAACAATACATACACTTACAATTACTATGTTGAGTACTATATTTTTATTATCGACTAGTTGACCCGGCAAACTTCGTATCGCCTTCTTTTTTACCTTTTAAAACCTCCCTGGACTTCCAAGAACATTTCAAGACCAAAATTAACCAAATCGGTCCAACCGTTCTCTAGTTTTGAATTCATTTTTATTTATATAGATAGATAAATAGTTATAATGTTCAACACCTTTCAAAAAAGTACGTATAAAAAAATAATGTTAATCTCCATAGTGAATTATGAAGGGTATATGGTAGAAACTTTATGTAAAATACTAACATTAAGTTGTCTAATTAAGGATCAATACTAGTTTCATCCTAGTTGGACAAGATGGGAACTTATGAACTGAATGATCATTTTAACTGTACATATTTGTAAAGCAAAAAACTTGATACAGTTACGCCTTATGATAATAGTTTAAAATTGGCTTTAAAATTGGAATGGAATGGAATGAAAGTTTATAATTGGATTCAATGCCTGTCTGTGAATTCAAGTTGTTTACCTAGAAGCGCGCCCAGAGCTGTCGCTGTCAGTAGAAGCGTGCGGCCGACGAGACGCTCGGGAAGTGCCCGCACTAACACCTTCACCTAAAATAAATATTTCAATTACATAAATGTCACTAATGGACGAACACAAGGCAGTAGGCTAAAGCGTAGAATACCACAAGATGTGATCCAACCACAGTAAAAAGAAAAAAAAAACTGTATTTGTGAAGACGATGTGACACAGGTCACATACCGAAAATGCTAACTAAAGTAACATCCAACATAATATTGCCGAATGTCCCAAAGAAGGCAAAACATAAATATATGGAGGTAATCTAGAAAAAGACCATGAATGATTAAAGCTAGGAAGTAACAAAAAGTTATAAAGTAGTAAAGTAATAATATGCATACTCTTGGAAGATAGGGGGCGTCGCTTCGGCGTCCGTTTCTCATGGCTCTCCGTCTTCACAGGCGTGATAGTTCGTCCTTTAGACTGCGACCGAGGTTTCACTACTACTTTCTCTTTCTCCTCGCTAGTGCTAGTAGAAGCTGAACTCTTCTCCTTACTATCTTTTTCTTTTTCCTTCTCCTTTTCACGTTCTTTCTCCTTCTCTTTTTCCTTTTCCTTCTCCTTTTCTTTCTCTTTCTCCTTTTCCTTTTCCCTTTCTTTTTCTTTATCTATTCTGTTAATAAGAAATGAAATATTAGTATTAATAATATATCAGCTAAATGAATGCAATGTTAATCTACTTCAAACAGTTAGTTACAAAAATAGATGTTAAACAATTTTATTTTTTTGAAGATAAAGAAAAATGCGCCTACATATGAAGTATTAGTAACACAGTAGTACATACAGTAGCAAAAGTGAAATGTCTTTAACTTTTACTGTTTCTGCATAATATTTCAAAAAATTAGAAATAAGATTAAAAGGTCCTATGTGTACTTACTTCGGTGCAGTAACAATCAGTGGCTGGTTGTCTGCGCTGTCCTCTCCGTCACTGGTGCGAGGCTTCTCCTTCACTTTCTCTGGTTTCTCCGGCTTTTCCTCTTTCTCACTTTTTTCGCTCTTATCCGTTTCACTTTTATCTGAATCTTTGTCTTTGCCTCGCTATAGAAAAAAAAAACAGTTAAGATATTTACGAAAATGAAATATGAATTTAAAATAACCAGAAGGAAATGAAATAATATTAACAGAAAAAGTAATTCGGAATTGAGTATTAAACATCCTCTTAGGCCTGCTATTCTCTCAATTGTTACCTGTATTCGTTTTGGCATTTTAAATAAAACCCTTTGGTGAGAAGGGAATAGAATCTAAAGTCTTGTAATTTTGAGTTGAATTTCACATCACAAATCACTTTATTTGAAGACAATATCTTGTTGTCTTATTACCTGAGTGGACGTGGAAGTAGAAGGACCCTGCGCGGGTGGTGTCGGAGTAGAACAGTTCGAGGAGGAGGCGGGCGGCTGGCGGTCCCGGTCCCGTATGAGCGAGCGGCCGGCCGGCGGCGTGCGCGCGCCGCGGGGGTGCGCCACCAGCGTCACGCCCAACTTGCGGTAGAAGTCCTCGTAGCTGTGCAGGAACCTACCACCAAACGAACACGTCTTATTTATCTACTCCACTGAATGTATGTAGTAGGTAGTATGTAGGTATAGAAATGATGCATATAGTATAGTGAGTAAAGAACGACAAATAAATTTCTTTACAGATGATAACAAATGATTAAGGGCTCCGGGTGAACTCGAAATTAGTCAGGAGTTCAATGAAAACCGCATTATTTAGTTTTTTTATGATTTCATGTCTTAATAGGTCAAATTAATTGGAATTCATAGTTTTACTAAAAATTTAAAGACAGCTTGGGGGCTGTCCATTAATCACGTGATGTTTTTTAGCAACTTTTTAACCCCCTCCCCCCTTCTGGTGATATGTAGTGAGGTTTTAGACTACCCCCCCCCCCCCTAGCCAAAATCACGTGTATTTTTTCAGCATAAAGTATATTGATATTTTCAGAATATCATCTTTAAATACAGGTATCATGTGATTAAATTTTGGGAAATTTAGCTTTGTGATAGAAACGTCTAGACAGACATTAAGGTTGCAGGTTGTTTTTGACTAGCATAAAAATCATATTCGCCACCGTTTTGTTTAACAATCGAGTTGTCAATGAAAAATAAATACGCGTGATATCCAAATTTAACCCTCCCTCCAGCGTTGTGATATTTCGCGACTTTTTTTCGAACACCTCCCCCCCCCTTTCGGACCTCACGTGATTAATGGACGACCCCTTGACGCTATAAAGGGGGGTGGCAGAGGTGGTGGCAAGGTGGCAATTGAATTTTAAATTCCGTCAATACACGATACACACAAACACGACACAGAACGGCACTTACTTCTTATAAGCTTGTTTGCATAGGTTCGTGATGCTGGTGGTGACCGGGTGGAAGCCCATCTTATCCGCGATTGTTTTCCATTGGTTTTGATTTGTCACTCTGTTGTAACCACCTAACTTTTCTACTACCTGTGAAATCACAAATAACTGTGTTATAAACAACAATATAATTTAAGTTCTTTGAGTGTGTCTTTGGTAGAGACTCCTTGCTTGACAGTCGACAGGGTCTTGGGTTCCGTTGTAGAGAAACGTATATAAGGTTTTTCAGTTATCAAGATGTCAGTAACAATACAATGCCTGTACAGCTGGTCCAACCTAATTTTAAACTCCAAAGACATAGGCAGAAGAGCACGTATATTATTACCAGATATGTATGCAATTAAGTAATTATAAACTTACCTTGAACAGTCTGTACAGGTCAATATCCTTGTTGGCGATGGTGGGGTTCCTGTTGAGAGGTGTGCCTCGCTCGTCCATGAACTTGTACAGCTGTGCCACGAAGTGATCCTTCTCTTCCCGTGGCTCATCGTCTGAACTCTGTGTGTGATATACACGTGTTATGTCACATTGTGCAACTCAAAATAAATCTCATGTCTTTAATACAATAGTTTTCTAAAAGTCATGGAATGGCACCCGAACAAAACTAGAACGTGTCGCTAATTTTGTAATTTTTAAAGACTTACGTCATCAGAAGTGTTTCTCGGTTCATTGAAGAGTGCATCTCTGTCCCAGTGCGGGGGCAGCACTGCGTTGTTCAGGTATTGTAAGGCTGCGTCCACACCGGCCCACTCCAGTGGAGCGCTGCCCTTGCGGAACTCGCGCGCTTCCTTCTTAGGCACTGTGTAACTGTGAAACAAAGTTAATTGTGTTACTAGTAAACTTAATAAATAAAGCCTTGTAAAACACTTCAGCAAAGGAGTGAGTCAATAAAAGTTTTTAAAAGTTAGAGTTTATATTTGGCAAATGTTAGTTGATTAAGAATTATTAGCTTTTGTTGCCTCATCATTGTAGTTATAACAGCTATAAGACTTGTTGATTCTTCTTATACCCTACTTATACTGTAGTACCATACGTTTTTGGCAGACCGTGACGAATAAGTATTTGGCTTTTATTGTTTCATGTTTCATATGACTACGACTACTAAAGTTAACATTGTATATTATCTAGAACTCACTATCTGCCATCTTTGAAGGAGCGTACGAGATAGTCCTCTTTGACTTTGATCTGTGCCGTGGGTGCGACGACGAGGGCGGGGAAGGCAGGTTGGTGGGGACGGCGGCGCTCCGCCCCGCCCCCCGCCTCCACCAGCACCACGCGACCCACGTGCGGCTCTACGTCTGCTTTCACGCGACGACCAGAACCAGATCCTTCACTCTCCTCAGACCTAAACCACAGCAAAAACTTTTAAACATCTATGTTCTGATGGCAATAGAAGTAAGTTTTCTGATTGATGGATGTATGGATGAATGTATGGAATGGAATGGAATGAGACAATTTCTATGCAGAAAAATAATGTAGAGGCAATAATATACGTGATTTGTGGTGTGCACCATTTATAACCAAACTTTATTATTTGCCTGGAACTGGATATTTAATTCAATCTTTAATTCAATGTCTAAGGTCTAAGTATGACTGGTGAGATGAATATAACTGGTTAAAAGTGGATGAATTAGTTTAATTAAACCCTACAACCCCATGCATGTTATGTGTGTGTATGTTATAAGTAACAGTTAAATCCTTAGGGACTTAACAAGTAATGAATTGTTAAAGTATCGGACATACTGTGCTCTTCCGCGTCTTCCCCTTCGCCCAGCTATTACTGGGGTAGAGAAGTGTTCTGGATGTGTTAATGGCAGCTGGTCTAAGGTTTCACTCTCATTGAAATGCCGGCCACTCTTCAGACATAACGCTGACCGTCGCAATGTAGTTATGTCTCCATCGTCAAATACTGTATTACAGAGAAACATATTCAAATTAAACAATTTGTGCAGCAATTAGACTACATTATCAACCAATAAATAAAGACGAATTGAGAACTTTCTCCTTTTTTGAAGTGGACTCAAGTAAGATTTATCAATCTGATAAAAAAGAACAAGGAATTTTGAACTCAATGCGATTAGTAGTAATAATAACTAACTTTTTGATTTCGGAATAATTTACGAAAGTATTATTCTGAAACTATAAAATATATAAGAAAGCAAGGAGTCACAATAGCTCTTCTTAACTACTTACCAACTGTATACTGGCTACAATCTTGTATCTTTGTGATGACAGCTTCCATGGCATCTTTCTTGGGATCTTGTTTCACTTCCACTATGCTCCCAACCCTTAAGGTACCCTTGATCACATCATCATTCACTGTGATAGTACCACCACCAGCCTTTAAAGTCACCTAAAAATAAGAGGATAATTATTAATTGCATTGTTTTGACCAAGCTGTTTCTTTCATTAATTTCTCTAAAAATAAAAGATAAAGAAAATAAAATAAGTTCTTACCTTACACTTAATGTTCCTCACAACTTTCTTTATCTTAGCCTCACAGAAGGCACCTTTATACTTTGCACTAACATCTGTACCCACAGGCAAGAAAGGTGGGTCGTCACCCTGCTGGAAAAGACAAAGACAATTAGTATAAAACCTCCTTGCACTGAAAGTCATGATCATATATTTCTTTTCTAAGTTATTGTACTTACCATTGTATATGATACCTTCTATTTACCAGGCAATTCTGGAACAATACATATTATATTATGTTAATTATTAATTTGTTTATGCACAATGACTATTTTTTTAATAACCAATATTATTTAGGTTGCTAAGTCTATGACACACTATTATAAACTGAGTATACAGTTTTAATTCTACTACAGCAGAATATAAAGCTTCTGTAATTTTACCTTAGTGTTACCCTATAATACTGTGCTATGGTTTGATTATAAATTGAGTTAAGAGTCAATTAAATGGGTGGGTGGGGTCCAAGACATGTTCAATAGTGTTTTTGGACCTTGGAATAACTGCAATGGACATAATATTTCATACTATCACAGTAACAATTATTATTTAACAGGTGTGGATCCAAAAAATGGGACTAGGAATGTAACATATAGCACAGAGTCCTTGATAATATAGGTCAGATCAAAAAATAGTCCAATCTTGTAGGAATTAAATTTAAAAGACTCGGCACAGGCCTGGTGATCTATTAAACCATACATCTGTTGCAAAGAACTGGACTGTTAGTAACTATTATGATAAAAATTGAGCGTTATAGAAAACAAAAAAAAAATTCACTCAGACGACATACTTATAAACATCAAATGACGCCTAATTACTGACCGAGTCCTTAGAACCTAGGACACAACCAATTGTTCAGAATTAGTAGGTTTTCGATTTATATAAAGGAGCTAAACAATCATAACAAGCAATGATTGACAAGACACATTGACAACAAGCGTTGGTAGGAAAAAGAAAGTGGACGGCGCGGTAAATAAGACATACAGCATTCACTTACCAAACAGTGATATTTTTGCCAATTCGCTTATTGTAATTATTCTGAACCACATCTAAATGCCACAAGTTAAGTGAATTACAAATGGAGATTCCATATTTATTAAACCCCACATCTATACCACTCTCCGTGTTTGCTTGACTGACAGGACATAGACAATAGACAACAGATAACAATGACATTTATTAATTGATATTGCCAGACTAAACAGGATCCTACCGTTGCTATTGATTTTTTCTACAATTTCTTTTTCTTTTTCTAGAGCAAGCTGAGCGAGTAAGTGACCTAATTTTGACTATGGTGTCCATTAACAATCTGTTTACATTCACTTTATCTGTGGCTACAGGAAAGAATGACACAAATGAACATTGAACACGTCAAACAAAAATAGTTTTGTGTTTTACGAAGATATGAAATGATGTTTTGAAAATGTATTTATTGACGGTCTCACGATTTTGGAGTGCGTAGAAATTTCCTAGATTAATTCGTATGAAAAAAAATTAGTGCATCGGCGAATCGGCGTTGTATCAAAATGAAGGCTTTACTAGCAACTGTGATCAGTCTTGGACTTACGACTGTGGTTATCGGCAATGCCTATTACCAGAAAAAACAGTTTTACCCTTCGATAGTTTATCTAACAAATTCCAATCCTAGCATGGCTGTAAGTAACACATGATTCTCTTATTTTGAAACTACCATCTTTCGGATTAGTACACAAGTACTCTGCTAATGAAAACATTATTTTGACCATGATAATATTATGTAAAGTTTTTTAATTGTACAATATGTCCTGGTAATGTCTTTATATTGTATTAATAACAATCTTGTAATTGCAGGTAATGTATTTACAAGCCTTTATACTAGTCCTACTAGTTGGTAAACTATTGAGGAAGATATTCTTTGGGCAACTTCGTCCAGCAGAATTTGAGGTAAATTAAACTAATTTCCATTATATGTGTATACATTTATTACTGTACCAGCTGTAGAACTGTGGCAATGTATATTTTATGTGGAAATATGTAAATTTTATGTGTGTTTTTTGCAGCATTTGATTGAAAGATCTTGGTATGCCATAACGGAGACATGTTTGGCATTCACAGTGTTCAGAGATGATTTTAATCCAAAGTTTATTGCGCTGTTCACTCTCCTGTTATTCCTCAAAGCATTCCATTGGCTAGCCGAAGATAGAGTAGACTATGTAAGTAATGATTTCTATTTTTGATGAGACAAATGAACTAATTATAGTACCTACAATTGTGTTATGTACTATGTCTGGCTCTCATTATGAAGCCAGGAACATCATACATTGATTAAATTGTAGCATTTTGTTGTAAACATATCTAAATAAGTACATATACATTATACTATTTACACTATGTTTATTACATTCTTATGTATTCCCTGTTTATAATTTTTATACACACAATTATACTAAAACTTCTTCTAGAGTGGACCTTTGGCATATAGTACATACAGAAAAAGGAAATGAAATTTTTTGTTTTGAATATATATGTAATTAATTTGTTAACATACCCACTATAATTGATATAATGTAGCATTTTAATGTGTGCTGGTATGGTCTGTATGTTTGACTAATAACACAATGAATTATATTTTTTAATTGACTCAAATGGCATTGATCATTATAAAATCATTGTAATAGTACTTATAAATAATTTGTAAAGTTAGAACGAAAAAGAGTTAAAACAAGAAATAAAAGAAGAAAGAGAAAATACATATATTCAGCATGAGGCATAGCAGCATAAATAAAATATAAAAAAGACAATGTAAGATAGTGTGAAAGTAACATATAACAACATGCTCATTCTAAATCTGTTACTCACTCAGTGTAAGCTAGGCGCACATCACCCAGCACTGATTTTCAGTCGGCACCCTTGCAATGATGCATGGATGGTAGCAACATTTTATGGTTAGACAAAGACAAACAAAAAAAAAACCATGGAAATATCATTTACTTATCTACTTTTTAATGATATTTTGTTCCATAGTCATGTAGTTGTAGGAATTTTGTTTATTTCATAACTAGTTGTCCCTAAAACTGGTACGAAAATTAGCAAGTTTCAGCAAACATTATTTGTATGTTTGGTTTGATAAAGATTATGGAAGTTTTTAATTTTTATTTGTATACATGTAATAAGTACTAAATACTGATTGAGAAAAGCAACTAGTAATTTAAAAATTGTTTCAATGCAATCACTCTTTTATCCTGCAGGATCAATAAAAAACAAAAAATGGATACATTGAGCACAAAAACAACATGATATTAACATAGGGTTGCACACTACAAGTATAATATGCATTTCATAATTTTGAAAACTTTTAGCTCATAGCTTCATCATCTCTAAAAGTTACAGACAGGCATTTACTATGTTACAATCCTATAATATTTTTTCATTATTTTTGTAGGAAATATCTAAAAATGCATACTCAAGTGAATAAAATAGTAAAATAATATTACTTGTTTAATATTTAGATGGAGAGGAGTCCAGTGATAGGGCTGTTGTTCCACGTGAGGATATTGACCCTGCTGATGCTGCTTGCTCATGCTGACTTCTACTTCATCCACCATGCATACCAGTTCACAGCTGTAAAGGGACCTTCCGTTCAACTCGTATTTGGCTTTGAGTACAGCATTTTAATTATAATGATTGTCAATATATTGATTAAGGTGAGTTGTCAAATTAACTTTATTCTTGTTACTTCTTTTATGTATCAGTAATCATCAATAGAATTAGTAATAAATAGGTTCTTTAAACTTCTGATTACTTTAAAATTACCTTGAAAGTTTAATGTAGTCTAATATTGATATGCCGCCTATTCAATCAACTGTGTAACTTAATGTTTCAAAAACAGCTATATTCAGAAGTTTTTGTTTTCAGATTAAAATTATCTTAAGCTAGTTTATGTATGTTCAATATTAGTTCATAATGGAAATGAGGCATTTGAATATTCATTCCCACAGTATGTTCTCCACGCTATTGACTCACGCTGGGAAGCCCCATGGGAGAGTAAAGCCGCAGTGTTGCTGTACACGGAGTTGGCTATAAACTTCCTTAAAGTACTCCTCTACATTGGGTTTGTGGCCGTCATGGTGAGGATCTACACACTACCACTCTTTGCATTCCGACCCATGTATGAAACTATGAGGTGAGTATACAAAACGGGTTGCAAATTATTTCTTTTTTATCATGGCAATCAAAATTTTAGTAAGGAGTCGCATAGTACATTTTGTGAGAACATAACGTAGATTATATTGTATAAAGGGTATTTTGTTAGAAATGAGTTTTTTAGTTAATGCTATAATGGAGAGAGTATGACTCAACTCCCTCAAGATACTATTTAACAAGATATTAACTGGAACACCTGTTTTGGTTTTGGGGTGATTTAGTTTAAAATTTAATACAAAATAACTCTGAAATACTAGTGCTAGTTCACATGGGTACATTGAACTTGAGTAATAAAGAAGATTTTTATGTTTATTATGATAAAATTATAACATCAACATCATCATGACTTGACACTATTTTGTAACAAACATGTTTACATGTAACAAAGTCTAGTTTTATCTAGATTCAAGATCTTTTTCAAACATAAATATGTATCTGCAGTCATTCGAAGAATTTACACCTAAACTTTGTTGTCAATGGAGTGCATAAGATGCATAATAAGATTGCATAAGAGATAATGGAGTAGAATACAATGGAGTGCTAAGTGGGGTCGAGGTCAGGTATAATGGTTGTTATGATTGCAGGAGTTTCAAGAAAGCGTATAATGACGTGGTGCTGTCGAGGCGCGCGATTCGCAACATGAACACTCTGTACCCGGACGCCACACCTGCAGAACTTGCTGCCGCCGACAACGAGTGCATTATATGCCGCGAAGAAATGCATACTGGTATGCAACAATTACTTTACATTCACACATTTTTTCACAACAAACGTCATAGATAAGTAAAGCGATAAAGTGAAACGTGACTTATAATCAATACCAATAATTACATAATGATTTCAACGATTTTTCTTATTCGATTTGCATAATTTTAACTTGTGTGTACTGTTACGTGCTCGCGATTTATTCTTGAATTTAACTTTCGTGTCGATAAAGTACAAGGTTGGTGAAATCTGAGCTCGTGTGGTTGAATTAAGATTTAACTGGTACGTGCGAGGTTACATGACCTGAAATACCTATTAAGTAATTAGTGTGGCCGTCTGTGTGTATCTACCTAATATTAGTAACATTACACACATGTGTAATGTTCATTCATGTGTACATAAATGTACACATAGGTACATTACCTATATTAATTTACTAAGTATTCAAGAAAACTAGAATCTAGTGACGGTATACTCTATGCATACAATAGAAGTAGTGTAGTAAATAATAATGTAATTTTATTTCAGGTGCGAAGAAGTTGCCTTGTAATCACATATTCCACGCGGCGTGCTTGCGGCTGTGGTTCCAGCGACAGCAGACGTGTCCGACGTGTAGACTGAACGTGCTGCGAGCGCCGGCGCCCGACGCGGCGGCCGGGCCGGCCGGGCCTGCGCCCCCCGCGCCCCCGCTGGCAGGCCTCGCGCCCCACGCTGCGCCCGCGCCCCCGCCACCCGGACCTGTGCCTCCACCCTTCCCGAATATGCCTCCACCACCACGTGAGATCCACTTTTAATATTCAGTAATTTGTTTCCATGTCAAAGAAATTTTAAACCAGAAATCAATAAAATTTCCTGCCTTTAGTGTTTTAGTGAAACTATTTGTATGTTCCAATTTGCTGATCTTCGAAAACTACTTATTTTCTTTTTTGTACGTGATTTCGTTTTTTGTACGTGCGCCTACATCTATCTTTTACATCTATTCGTTAATCTTTGATCTTAATAGGCGGCAATATCGCTATAGTACAATCAACAACTACTGGATAATATATCTTTAATATAAATGAAGAATGAATTTACATTTATCTGTTTGTGCTACAGCTATGATGGCGTGGGGTATGCCACCGCCCCCGCCGCCGCGTCCAGCGTCCCTTGCGAACCTGACCACCGCGGAGCTGCAACGCATGGAGGGCAATGAGCGCAGGAACATTGAAGCGAGGCTACAGGTAAGTTTACATTACAACAACACTATAAACATGTAAAAAATGGAGTTTTCGTATTCGACACTGAGAAATCCCTTGATTAATTAGGAAAAGTCAAAAGCATAAAACGAAGCGTATTAAGTAGATATACATATTAAATTATTTTTAATCCAATACGTTTAAACGCTCAACATCCATTATTTAATACGTTATGCCTCTTATAGTTGCTTCGAGAAATTCAAGCAATGCTGGACGCATCAGTGCTGCTCATGCAGCAGTACTCGACGGTCGTAGCGAACTTACCGCAGAACAACGTCACTGTGTCTACGCAGACGGAAACGTAAGTACTTTAATTTACTCTTAATCATGCAATCAAGTAAAAATAAAAATTGAAGACATTCCAACTCGACGCCCTGATAATATTTTGTTTTACTAGATCTTAGGTACAAAATCCAAGACTTAACTGCTTAATAAGGGCAATCTTAATTTAGAATGTTTTAATTTAAAATGCACATGAGGAGACAAAGTGCTGCGCATTGAGCTGTCGTCATAAAATTTATTTACTCCTGGGCCCCCTGGGGGTCGTGACCCACAGGTTGACAAACCATGATCTAAATCAAACAACTAGCTGAAAATGCGGGCACATTAACAATAAACAAAAACACATATTGGCCCATTTTTCGACGACTTCCAGTATACATAAGTATTTTTTTACAGGAGAATAGAAGAGTTAACCAAGGAGTCCCCAATATCGACGACTCAAGGGAAGTCGGAGCCGGACGTGGTGCCAACCACTTCAAGTTACAAGCAACCTTCGCCGGTGCCCTCCACCAGCAAAACTATTGTCACGGAGGACACGAGTCCCATGCAGCCTGATACTACTACTCCCGTAGACACTAATAGGTAATAATTTATCATTTTGATTTCCGAAAGACAAAATTTTACCCATCTCAATTCAAAATCTTTAGACAAATAGAAAGTTGTTTATTGCCCTAGTTCATATGTTACAATAATGTCCACAGGTTGATGGTGTGTTCGACCTGTGGTTGTGTCAGCTACTTATTGTCTACATGTGTTTGCCTGAGAGAGATCTATATAAGTGTCGTGTAGTGTGTTTGTTCTTTAGACGAATGCGAGTTTCTGTCAAAAACCTAGATCAACCCCGAAATTTTAGATCGATTATTCATTTCAGAACAGTATATCAATCATGATGTTTATCTCTCGATTTGTAGGACTCACAGAGTAGATGTCTTGTAGAGTAACTATATTTACACAAGTAGGTAGTATGCTATTCACTTCAAGTATGTAATGTATGTAAGAGGCGAGAATTCAGACAAAACTCATACTATACGAAGTGCTTCGCATCAAGCTTTCTTGTGCGTACTGCTAAGGAGTGGAATTCTTTGCCAGAGTCTGATTTCCTGAAAGGTATAACCTGGGTGTCTTCAGGGCCCGATTGAATAGGTTGCTTATGGGACGACATGCTCCATCGTAGACTGCATCATCGCTTACCACCAGACGAGATAGTGGTCAAACGTCGGCCTATCAAATATATAAAAAATAAGTAAGATGGAGTATCTGATCAGTCTACAAATGGGCCAAATGTAATGAATGTCTATTTTTTATTTTCCAGAGACAAGACTGATGTGGACGCCGCCGACGAGTTGAGAAGACGTCGATTGCAGAAGTTTGCGGTGGATAAATGAGCTTGTTTATATATTTTCGTTTCGATTTATTGATGTACTATTATTTAATGTACAAAGTGTTTTGGTATGTGTAAGCATTATCTATTCTAATTCTAATCTGAATAAATGTATTTATGTTCTTGTAAATATAATGGGATATACACATGAATACATTACAATCATACTTTGCTTTCTTGTCAGATTCATAATCTTACTATCTGTCTATCTATTCTTTCTGACTATGTATAGGTTTGGTGTTTTTTGTATTTGAAGTGATAGATGAGACCTTCAATAAATATATAGCAAGTTTGAATAATAGCTGTGAGAGAAGAGTTGTGATGAAATAAAACAATTTTTACACTATTTAATTAATATAATTAAACTACTCTATTAGGTAAACTCGGTGGCTTAACAGTTATATAAAGCATTTATGTACCCATATACTTTGTTGTTATAATTCTCTAAGACAGGCATTCCACCAAAGTAACGACTGGAGCCATACATTTGGAGGTTGTTCTTGCAGTACCACACATTCTTAGTGCCCTCAGTTCCATCTACATTCAACGTGTTCAATTCCAAAACCCCAAAATGGTATTTTTGACCATCTGTTTGTATGCAATTAATGTATATAGGTTCTGGTAGGTCTTTTACATCCTCCTGTAAGAAAACATACACATATTTATTAGTATATTGTAAAATTTAGTTTTGGAGAAAAGCATGGAATAAACTGTGTTATTCATAATATGTCATTCATTATCATTTGAAAGAAACTAACCTCATCTAAAACCCATTTTTTTAACCCGACTTTCATAGAAGATAGGTTTTGTACTATCAAACCTAGCTAGTCCAAACTAATGAGAATTGTAGTATGTATGCTATTATAGTTAGATTTTAATATCCATAGTACCATTCTATTATAGGTACATTTTAATATCTATAGTACTTACATACACAAAATAGTGTTATTAGAGAGAGGTGTGGATTAAAAGACGATGTAGTGACATGGATTGAAAAGGGAATGTTACGCTGGTTTGGACATGTAGAAAGGATGGATGAAAGTAGAGTAACGAAAGAAGTATACAGAGCGGATATGAATGGAGCCGTCGGTAGAGGGCGCCCTAGACGGACATATAGTGACCAGATTGGCGATATATTAAAGAAGGGCCAAATTAAAAGTACCCTTAACCGACGAGCATGCATTAAAAGATTGATGACTGTTAATGAAGCGAAAGAGGTATGTAAGAATCATAGTGATTGGCGTTCCTTAGTCTCTGCCTACCCCCATGGGAGACAGGCGTGAAGTTATGTATGTATGTATGTATGTATGTAGTACTTACATACACAAAATACTAAAACTCATGCCTATGTGCCATGGGGCTAGCACTATCTAGGATTCTAGGAGGACAATCTTCTTTACAATCTCTGCTGGAAAGTACTCTATCTTAGGTCCTTAATATTGCAATATAAAAATACGTACTCCATGTAGTTGTTTAGCATAAGCGCTGGCAACAGTGAATGCGTGTGTGAGGGATCTCCCAAGGAGTTGCTGTTCAGTGACCGGAGTCTCATAGATGTTGCTCACTTCAGTTTTGTTGAAGTGCAGCCATGTAGTGTGCGGGTGTCTCACATTTACTGTAGGTTTTATTGCTGGAACACAAAACTAAGATTACTTTTCACTTTAATTTGACAGTTTATATTCATAGCATAACTTTGTTAACAAAGATAGAGAAGCAATGGAAGGCCGGACTTTCTATTTTTTATTATTATGATCATCATTACATTCAGATATTATCAGAGATTCTTGTTTAGCGACTGCTGGACAAGGGGTCTCAGGTTCGATTCCCAGGTTGGGCAAAAGTATTACTGGGCATTTAAAAAAATTGTCAGTAGAGTCTGGAATTGTGCCCCGTATATGGTAATAGGCTCACCCCCTATTACATGGGAATCATAACATAAATAGTGAAAAGTGGGTGTTACATTGTAGTGGCATTAAGTGTCGTAATGAGCACCTCTGCTTACCCCTTAGAGGATAAAGGGCGTGATGTTGTATATATTCTTGTTTATAAGAAGAAACATAATTGGATTAACTTACTTTCATGACAAAAATTTTGGCAAAATATCTTATGGTGTTAACAATAATAATGAATACTCACGGTATTTACTTTCCTCTTCATAGAAATGTTCAGGTGGTAATGTAACAGTGCATTTAATGGGATGTAGGTCAGGGATCTCATTGTAAGTGACATCTTTCTCTACATCGTGCTTCACAGGCTTGTTGCAGGTTACAAGGATGTGAGAAATATCTTGAAACTGTATAAGATCATCTTCCTTCTCAAAAACGGTTTTGCTTTCAACATTATTGAGTATATATCTGGACATTGTGACCTCACTGTCACTGCTCTTTTCTACCAGTTGCACCAATTTGTTTGTTAGGATTTCACTGCAAGTGGAATGGAAGGATTTTGGATTCAGGTATTGCATTTGTCTATTCTTCGAATAAATAACTAAAAAAAGTATAATCTAAATAAAATTGGACATGGTCTGCTGAGAAGTAACAATTAGATAAAACAGCTTTTAATTCCGATTGGAATTATTACCGACATATATGTTAATGCAAAAGATAAATAACATTTTCAGTAGTACCTAAATACATAGGTATTCATAGCAAGTAATTATGAGTTTATAATCATTTAAGGGTATATATCAAGTCCATAACAGTATGTACTTACTTGCGCCTTCTGTCTGTGATACCCAATACCCTAGGAAAGTTGTAGGCTGGTCTTTCACGATCCTTGAGTTTAGGCAACTTCTTTTGTTCACAGTCAAATACATTTGCAGATAGAATGGCTTTCTTTATATTTTCGTGAATGGCAGTTGGAGCGGGCACCTGAGCCAGTTCCTCAATCTTAGGTGGCAGTTTATCTTCGGCTATGATTGTCTTGGTTAGTACTTGTGCTTGCGATATACCTTCTAAGAGCACATTTGTACTCCTTAAGGTGAAACATGGTTGTTTTTTATAAGCAGGGTGATTTTCATCCAGTGGCAACGGCCGTTCGTAGGGTCCCACTATATTGAGTCTGAAAGTAATCGTTTTTGTATTAATGTTATTTACCGATGAATTATTAAAGAATGCTAGTCGTATGTAGATCTTACTGTTCGTGCTCTTGAGGTTTCTCCTTGACGAATTCAAGTGCATCTTCAATTGGAATGCCTTTAGCTTTTAGCTGTTCCTCGAGTCCAGTATCGATTGGTACGCGTTTACCTTGTACCCGCCAATGTTTCTTGAACATAAAGTCAATGTGTTGCCGATTTAATACTTGTGATAGCCGCATTATTGTAAATATTTAACAACTTTAAAAATAATTAACCTGAAATTACAAAATATAACCTCTTTAAGTCAGACTTGACACTATCGATGACAGTACTGTGACATTGACATATGACATTTGACAGCTATTGTTTTTTTTCTTTGAATCATTGTATATTTGCCAAATAACTTAGCGGCAAGTGGGAGAGTCCGTGGGTGCAAGAGGGCAAATACATAGAGCAACACGGGACACTGTCCAAGATCCGAGTATAGTATACATATACCTATATGTATACATATTGTAATGTATAGTATAGTGTTTGTATAGATTGATGGTTACTGGATGTAAGTCTAGTTGGTTGTCAATTGAAATTATTCGGTAAAATTGAAATGAGTATTTCAGTAAAAAAATTGTTTGTTGTGGGACCTATCCCTGTTTTTTAAATCTTCAAATCTTTAAAACCCTAGCGACGCAATTATAACACTACTGGGCATCTATGAGTGGCGCTGATCCCTAAACACCAGCTTGTTTACTGCCCTTTCCCTTAAAAAAGTACTTAATCAAACTATAATGACTAGGATAGCTAGAATAATGAAAATGAGCGTGCGTAGCTAGGTACTAGGTACAGAATATGGTGGGAAAGATCTTAATCTAAGATATTACAAACATATTTTCACGAACCACTTTAGAGTATGTAAATCTAGCAACACCTTCAAATCTAGAGTTCCTATCCTAAAAATCTTTGTCACATCTGTGTGTTGAAACTAAAAAACAAAATCTTCAAGTCTCAAAGTTTCATTTTTTTATGCCATGACGGTGGCAAAACAGCACACGGCCCACTTGATGGTTAGCGGTTATCGTGGCCTATGTACGCCTGCAACACTTGGGGCATTACATGCAGTTGCAGATACTTAAAAAACCTTGATGAGCGCCGTGTTCTAGCTGGAAAAACCTCGGCAGGGACTCGTCAGCTTCTACAAAAATCCTGTTAAAATACAACAATTTTCCATACAGCTTAGTCATTTGGCTCTTCTATCCCCGTCGCCATCTTGGAAAAATGGCGTCCTAAAACTGTTTTATAAATTGTTATATGAAAAACCATAGTTTCTAATCTCATCTTCAACAGCCTGTCAGTACCCGTGTGGTGCCCGTGATAGTCCACAGCTGGCTGTAGAATGCATTTGTGTCAGCTTTGAGTTGTCATGCTCACTCAAGTCTCATTGGCAGTGGAACGTTCAATTCCCTACAATATGATTGAGTTGGGCGGTGCTGGCGTACTTGTCATGTCAACTCAACTGTGTCAAGTCAACTGGGACTAGTCAGCTCCAGACTGTATTTTGTTGTCCTCAAGGTTACTTTCTTTTCCTTCTCCTTGACTGAATATTTGTGTTACATTGTTCTCACATAATTGAACCAACGAAACAATGTAACCAGGAATTGTCTTGTGAACCTTAATGAAAAAAAGTAACATATGGAGTTCTTCTGCATAGGAATCTACACCTTGGAACGAGCAAATAGCTTCACTAGAGGACTGTGGGCTTACTCTTGAATCCAATTCCGATCGATCAACATTGATATTGTGAAATTTCGTACGCTTGAGTTGCAACACTAGCGCCCATTGTATCCGTATTGCGTGGGTATTTAATGAACTAAATGGTATTGAGTTCCGTACTCTGAATGCTATTTTAATAGCTACAATAGGGGTTGTATAGGTTTGACACTGAATAATTATTGAGGTTTTTATTGGATTGCAATTGCATTGACTTTGAGATTGGTTTCTAGAGTGCTTACCTTGACCGACAGACTGACAAATTTTCTTTAATATTTAAATATTTTCTTTTGACGTTCAAAGCCTTCTTGGTCTAATTGAAATGAATGATTTTGACTTTGACTTTGGAGAATGGCCTCCTAAACAAGAGAGGCCATGGCCATAAGAGGGGACTGGCCATAATTTCAAGCAACTTAGCCAGTCGGTTGAAGTACCTATTACAGTTGAGAAATATAAGGTTTTATTACAGAGGTTTGCTGCTCGGTCTTTGGTGAATATGTAGTTCCTTAGTGGAGAGAAATGTATTCTACTCGGCATCACCAAGCGGCGATTTTCTTCACCTATTCTTAGAGTTGTTTCATTTCGCTCGACATTGTTTTTCTTGTCTTATTTTATTATGTAGGAATTGCGACTGCTGGGCAAGTGGTCTCGGGTTTGATTCCCGGGATAGGCAAAGCATAACTGGATTTTTAAAAAATCGCAGTATAAGGAACGGAGTCTGGAATTGTGTCCGGTATAAGGCAATAGGCTCACCCCCTATTACATGGGACTCATAACATAAATAGTATAAAGTGGGTGTAACAATGTGCAGTGCCGTAATTTGCGCCTCTGCCTTCCCCAGGTTTGAATATAAAGAAACTTTCCGAGGGTGCAGGTTCGAAACTTACCAACGGCAAGTACCAATGTGACTTTTTCCGAGTTAAATGTACTTTCTAAGATTATTTAGACACCACTGACCAACAGTGAAGGAAAACATCGTGAGGAAACCTGGGCTTATAATTTCTAATTATAAGTTTGAAATCGCCAACCCGCATTGAGCAAGCGTGGTGATTATTGCTCTAACCTTCTCCATGTGAGAAGAGGCTTTGCTCAGCAGTGGGCATTTATAAGCTGTTGATGATGATGATGACCTCACCAGGGGGCTTACTCTTGAATCCAATTCCTATCGATGGTCATTGGTATTGTGAAATTTCGTACACTTGAGTTGTTTCACAAGCACCCATTGCATCCGTATTGCTTATATATTGAATGAACTAAATGGTATTTGGCTATGGAATTTGGCTTTATATTCCGTAGGTACTCTGAATGCTATTTTAACAACTAGGATTGGGGTTGTATAGATTTGACATTGAATAATTATTGAGATTTTATTGGATTTAAACATGATTTAATTTGCATTGACATTGCGATTGGTTTCAAGAGTAAGCACCCAGTACGCCTTTTATGTTTATCCACATTTAAAAATATTCAACACAATTCATACCTTTTATGTACTTTACTTACTTACTTATTCTGGGTTTATTTGGGACACAGGTTGAAAAAGAAAAGAAAATATGATTTATAATTTCGTAAATATATATATTTAATTTTATATCTTCCATCAATACATACAACGACACTTATACATTCAAAAATTTGGCCGTAACTACTATAGGTCTCACTTACAATGGCTTCGCTTACAAGTAAACGTGTAGATATATGTATTAGCACAAAAATGGGAGCAAAACACAATTATATTAGACTGTAGTCTTTAATACAAGTAGATACAGACCTATGTGAACTGGAGTCAGACCAATCGAATTGTTAATACGGGGAAGACATCGTATTACATTTCTTTTAAAATTGAGTGAACAGCACCGTGTGAAAGTACCAAGACAAAAGTTTCACAAATTCTAACCTACCAACCGCATTGCACGAAACGAAACAAGTATCATATTGATGGAGGAGAGATATTTTACAAAATAAAACTTATCGACATATCTTCGGTGTACGCTAGGAGCTATAAAAATTGAAAATAATACAACTAATTTAATTTCATAACTAGTAAGACATTACAATCCCTTACCACGAGATCAGCGACAAGTTGACGTCACCCGGTGTTGCGTTCACGTTACGGTCATAATACGTTGGACTATTGCGTGTACAGTTACGGAAACAATCGTCGATAAAACAAGTTCAAATATCTTAATCACTTCAAAGCAGACGATGAGAAGTCCCTTTGGTAATTTTGTCATATCCTTACCAATTGGTGGGAATTTAGATTTAATAATCTTTGGACTAAAATCTCTGACAAAAATCGTTTAATGTCCGTCCTCATTCTGACTACTCAATACTTTAATCGCATATTGCAACAATTTGCGAATTAAACATACAACACTTAACAACTACTATAATATAATACCTAATTATTTTATAAAGTAACAAAATTAACTTATATTTACAGTTATCATTAAAATTATAGTAAAATTTTACTATTTTAGCACTAAGTTTTGATTATCTCGCTGAATTCTGTTCTTGTGTATGAGAATTCAAATAAATTGATGTGTCGCAATGTTCGTGGACGCATACTTATCACATTGACTCGATACATAGAGAATAACATAAAGTGCTCCGTAATACCGCACTGCGCATGCGTTGCGCGCTCCGTGCGTCGTGCGTCGTGCGTCCAGTACAATCCAAACGAATGTTTGCGAACCCAATAATGAACGAACAAGTTTTCAATAAGGCACCATTGGTTACTGGGTACAAAGTATATGAATGTAATATATAAAGTGAACAATAACATAGGACTCTTCGTGTTAGCCTTCATTAATTTGTTAATAATATTCCACTGGTGGCTGCATATGAGATCAAATCCATTTTAATATTATGAAGTTCTAAAAATGATTATAAAATCTTAATGATTGTTATAGGCGCGGGGCCTTGTTAGCAATTAGCTTTTGAAAACACACTTAGGTAGGTCTGCGGCGGAGTCGCCCGATCTCTTCTTGGAGTCATTGAGTACGAAGTAGTTCGTACAGCAGTAGAGTGAGACAGTCTGTGTATGCTAGAGATGTGTAGCTAATAGTACGTTGGGTTGGAGGTGTCTGCGAAGGGAGCGATGTGGAGGCGGGCCACGTTCAGTCCTCGTCTTTCTTCTCCATTTTGGGTTCGTACATTGCGTGCAGTTGCTCAGGTGAGATGCTGCAATAGAAAAGTATTGGTTAAAAAAAGTGTAACACAAGTAATTAAAATCAAATAAGGATGTGACATAAAGAAAAACTAACAAAGTTATACGTTATTGTTACGAGTAAGCAAAGAATATCTAATCATATTGTTTTCTCAATTAACAAAACTAAATGCAAGTCCATCACAACTAGACTTCAAGAAATTGACAATTGTTCCTTCCATTCATCTCTTTCACGAGCATCCTTGCATCATTCTGCCGCGACGTGTATAAGTGGAATTTACCCTAACAAGCTCTGCAGGTCACACACGAAGCGGTACACGTAACGTTTGCCGGCCGTCTTGTGGATGATGTTCTTGTCGTAGTAGTAGCGCAGCCCACGGGACAGTTTCTCATAGTTCATCTTCGGCTTGTTTTTGCGGATGCCCCAACGCCGAGCCACCTGGAAAATAGATTCATTATTAGCATTAGAAGAAAAAAGGTACAAATACCTACGCTACGTAAGTTATTTTCTTGTTTGGAAAATACTGAGAAGATTATAGTTAGCTTAGAGCAGAATTTACGCATCTCTAAAGGGCTAGTAAGGTTTTATCTTAGAAATTTATGTCAAAGGAAAATACTTTCATCTCATTGCGTATATTACTCATACTATTTGATTGTAGTAGTAGCACGAAGTCTGGAATTGTGCCCGGTATATGGCAATAGGCTCACCCCCTATTACATGGGACTCGTAACATAAATTGTGAAAAGTGGGTGTTACATTGCACGGTGGCAATGTGCACCTCTGCCTATCCCTTCGGGGATAAATGTTATGTTATTTGATTCTACAGTCACTACAGTCGGACTTTCAGTGACACACATACGTTTAACAAAGTTAAGACATCTTACCTCATCAGGGTCGGTAAGTTTGAACTCCCAGCCGTCGCCAGTCCACGAGATGAATCCCTGGCAACTCTTGTCAGTCAGCAGCTCCAGCAAGAACTGCCACAGTTGTATCGGCCCTGATCCTGGAAACGTGACACACAGTTGCTTTACGATATACGACTGGTAAGGGCTATAGATAAGACGGAAAAGAGGTTTGGGAACATTTGAAAGATTTAATGTTTTTTAAAAATGTTACTGGATAAATAATGCATGGTAAACAAATTGTTATCTCAATAAAAATACTGGAAGACTTAGACAGGGATGTTACATTCTCAAAGGTGATAAAGAGTCCAAGTTGCCAAATGATGGGAGAAAATCCTCTTTAAATACGTTTAAAGAAGATAAATAATAACGTCTTATTTATTACTTGATTCATAAGTGAACATACCAGTGAAGCAGGGTCCTGTGGCAGGGTACGGGAGTTTGTCCTGGGGGATGAGTGCGTGCTGGTCGGCAGGCCACTCGTTCCACTCCGCGCATGCGCCACCGTACTCTTGTACGTAGCTTTCGCCATAACCCTCGCCACCATATCGGCCGCCAGCGCCTGCGCAAATAAAATATACAATTATAATAAGATTTATGAAGATGAAGAAATCTTGTGTCGGTTTTAAAGATTATTTTCAGACTATTTAGTCTGAACGCATTTTAAAAAGAAATCGAGAAATAATGAACGGTTTGTCGGATCACCAATTAGTGCAGTCCAGCGACGGTGACAGGCAACAAAGTAATATGATCACAGCTAAATAATAACCACATGAAAGGTCCGATTCAGTTTAACGACATGACGCTCGCTGTTGAAACAGTACACCGGACCACATCAATTAAAGTGACCACGTCACTTGTCTTCCGATCTCTCATAACGAGATAATGTCCATGTTTGTTTTTAATTACGGTTGCGTGATTTTATCACTGTGCTCTTTTAAACTTTATTTACTGAGTAAATGATTTTGCGATTCAAAACAGCACAATGTTAAGGCTCTTGATATCATAAGAAACTGGTGAAACTGTCGTGGATTACAGTTTAGAGATGAAGAGATGGCTATTTAAGAGTATATTCTGAATCGGAACTTACCTCTTGGATAAGGCTTGCTGTAGGCATGGGGCTGGTATTTGGGCTCGTGTGTGAGTAACGGCTGGGAGTGCGCGTGCGCATGGTGGTAGTATTCGTCGATGTAGGGCTGCGCAGGGGGCGCAGGGGGGCCGGGCGGGTACTCTGGGGGGTAGTACTCGTCGAGGGGGGAACCCGCTGTTGGCGCGGGTGCAGCTCCACCGCTCGGTTCCGAATACCCGTAGGCGTTCGTCTCGCGAGGACCGCCAGTAGTGTAGCCGCCTGTAACAAATGTCAACATTATTAACATGTAATCGACTATGACTATTTTCTAAGTTAAATATTTTAACTTAAAAAAGATCGGAATAAAGGCAATTTGTAAGTATCATTAGTAATGTGCTACGTAATTTGCTATTATAGTTGCTACGAGGGCTACGAGGTGCTACGAAAACGACTTAGTAAGGAAAATACTCGAATATGTCCTAAAAACTATTGGCATTATACATAACTGGTTTGTAGCGGCTCTGTTATATCAGTCAGACAAAATTTCCATGAAAAAAATCAGTACGGCATGCATATCGAGGCGTGTTGGCGGGCACGGGGTACCGAAGCGCATCGGTCGCGGTTCACGGCTCGCCCTTTGTTCTGCGCGTGCGCTGGCGACGCGACGGACCCACACGTACCCTCCCCCGTCCCCCTGACTCACCCCGCACACTTCTCGACACCCTCGCACATAGTCACGATATCACACCGACCGATTGAATTGAAGTTTGATTTAATTTGCAAATGATGATTGGACTAGGAAATTGTTTATCGGGGAAAGTGAGTAATGCTGTTTGTATATTGAGTTTATAGATAAAGGTTTAAATGAATGGTATGTGTTATTACTAAATAACGAATAGCTAATTAATGTATTTCTAGGCTAGATTATCTATACGCTAGTTGATTTAACCTTATAAAAAAAAACAAAAATCGTTTATGTGCAAAATCAGATTAAGGAATTTATTAATTAAGATTGGAGCCTCCTTTTAAGCAAGTTATGCCAGTGTTAGGAGATTCCGCTTTTTCACGACAAGATGTACATAACAAACTTCTATAAATATAAGTATTGTTTATTATAATTAAATTTCTAAGTTTGAATTTATTAAAAGTCTAAGATTATGTTACATTTTTAATATCATATTATCGGCTATATGTAATCAAAGGTTAGTTGTGACCACATTAGCAGACGACGATTATGAAGATTCTTTTCCATAGTCATTGTAGTTTATGAAAGTATACTATATAAACTAAAAAGAGTGGTACTCTAATATTTTTATTTAATAGTTTTAGTGAAATCGAATTTCTTTAGAAAACAACTTCGACTTATCAACTCACAATTAACACTAGCGAGCAATTTTTCGTATAAGTAAACACAGATTACTAAAAAAAAATGTACAAAATACGTATCGAAATTGTTAACATCCCTATTCACGCAGTCCGCGATTGAAACGTTTAACAATAGAGTATGTACTAACACACATAGCAAGTCTGTGATTGTGTGTATGTGTGTGTGTGTGCGGGGTCACCAGTCGCATTGTCAGTCGTTTGACCGATGTATCACATCTCGTTTGTAGATCACAAGTGGGATCATTGATGCTGCTGTTCAGTCAGGGAGCTATCATTCATATTAACTCGATATCATTGATGAATGCAAGCTTTAAGGATGTTATTGTTTTGTACGAGTTTTTGTATCGTAGGTGAATATTAAAAATATACGAAGTACAATTTTCCTGTACCTATACGTTCCCATTCACTTTATGTAAGAACAACGGTACACATTTTGTTTACGATTCTATTCTATGATAAAATCTTTTTGGTCTTGTATCAGAATTCAGTAGGTAGATACTAGGTATACCTATCTCATCATATATGATGCTTATAAGTATGTGTGATAGAAGCATAATTTTATTAGTGAAAAATACAATGTAATTGATTAAATAACAATAGGTAGCACGTGTGCAACTAAGTTCATAGAAGGGCTTATCAATCCATTCATCAAAACTCGAAAACAAACCTTATAACGGTGAACATAAAGGTGTTACTTAAAAAGCTGGTCATGGATGGTTGGTCTTGGTTTTCAAATGTACTGATATTGTGGTCAATGGCCAGTGCTTCAACAAAGTGTGACCATATCACTCTCGTTATGAATGTGGACTACTTTTTTATTCGAGTTCTATATTCAAAAAGTTGTTTGTGTTCAGTAGCGAAGTGAGTTAAAGCTGTTACCGTTCGGATCTAGACCCGGATTTTACTTCCGAAGACTCGATTTTTATTAAATTGACAAAATGGGTGCTTTTTGTTCAGTAATTGTATATAGGCGGATCAAATTCCGCCAGTGCTACGTCGTGCTACGTTGAGCTACATCGCGCTACGCCATAGTATTTCGAGCTATATCGCGAAAAAATACCTATTAGGCAAAGTCAAGTAATTTTTTTTTAAATAGTGGTTTTTTTTCGAAAATAGAAACGTAACTTTCAAAAGATTGACATTAAAAAGTCCATATTCGAATGTTCAAAATGTTTCATTTAGTTTCAATAGATACACTCTGAATTGACAACAAACGTTTTCAGTGTGAACACTTAATTATCTTTGTAAGGTTAAAGTTGAAACTAAAAGTAGAAATAGATGTTTTTTAACGAAACAAATGATGCGATAGGCAGAGACAAGAATCGTGTAAACAAATCACGGCGTGTCAGAGACAAAATACAAAGAATTTTAATGAAGCAATTGTTGGCGGGAACGTGGCAAAGGAATTAATCTATAAATCCTTCTTGGAAGGCAAACAGCCCTCTTGGGAATGACCCTTGTGACCTTGTTGACTTTTTTCGGAATGGTTTTCTCTTTGTATTTTTATGTTTATTTAATGTATTTGTGAGTAAACGAACAAAGTGGAGGGGATGTTTAAATTAGATGGCGAGGACTTTGGAACGTTAGGGATTTTGAATTTTGTTAAGTAGAACAACTGCGGCTATAGTTAAATAGGTGCGTAGGTCATACTCTTATCTCCAGTCTTTACACTTAAGCATAAATAAAATTTTTGCTACTCATTAGACTCCTCAATACATCTGAACAACTTTTAAGATAAATTCAAGATATCAGACCATTTAATCACCCACTTTAAGCTTTCAACATGTAGAACGATCAGTAATACAAACATCCGCTAAAGAACCTTCTTTCTGTAGAGGTCGACTGACAAAAATCAAAGTCGTTCATCGATTCATTTATAAAAATGTAAGAAAAGTGCGCGTCAGTCACAGCATCACAGTTGAGAGAGATCGAGTAGTGGGGCGTGGACGGGGGCGGGTGCGGGGGGTGGGGTGGGGCGGGGCGAGCCAATCGGGCGCGGCCACGCCCCGCGCGCCAACGCTCGGGTCGAAAGGTCGCCGCTCCACAGCGCCATTGGCTCGCCACGCAGATCAATTTCAAATAGAAACAAAATGTAAGATCAACTGAGACTTGACAATTGATCTGCAAATATGTTTTGTCTCTACATTTTATAGAGCTAATGACTTGTAGAGTCGTAGAGTTTCATCAAGCCTTTATTCTTAAGTATTTACAGAGATTAACGTAAATAGACACGAGGCTGACGACTTTACTGTTAAGGCTTTGATCTTGAGAACTTTAGAAATCTTCAATGTTGAACCTGAAGATGGATGTAATTAGATTGGTTACAAGAAAAGGTGATTTTAACAAGTACCTAGATACAAGAATGTATCTACAAAGGCAAACACCTTGACTACTTACATCATTAAAATATATTTATGAGTGAGGACAAGTAATCATGTTTAATAGATCCTGGATTCGAAGGTAGTAGTGGTTATAACGAAAATACAAGCTCCACTAAACAGCAAATACTGAATTTCGAGTATGCAGTGACAGTGACAGCAAAAAGTCAGCTGTCATAAAATAAAATCATTTATAAAAAAAATACTAGAAACGAGAAGACACTGGCACAAAAGAACATAATTAAAAGACAAAGTTTGATAGAAATGAGTATGTAACACAACTGCTCTCGAACAAACAATAGATCAGTGATGATCCCATGGAGTTGCCATCATTATTGACATTAATGGCTGCGGGAAATCCCAAGTTCTATGAATAGAGGAAATATAGGGAACAGACAACTAGGGTACAAAGTTCTTTCAGTAAGTACAAATTACAAGGATACTAGAAAATGTTTTAAGAGGGATTGCCCCTCTAACCATAATCTGTTTAGTAGCAACACTAGTCGAAGATTGCGGATTGGTAAAGCTGTTTGTCTTTTCAAATCATAAAAGAATCGGGATAAAATTAAAACTAAATTCTATTCATTTCCTGATAAGTTTTGTGTGTCCACTTAGAATGTAAAATTTTATATTTTTAATGACACTTTAAGCTCAGCTCATGATTGAAGCAGGTCGGCATTGCCAGCTCACAAAAGAGACTATAATGTGGCGAATACTTAAGACAGTAACCTTAGACCTAACGGCAGCTGCGACACGACTTTGCGGACTTTTTTATTTATTATCTGCGACGAAATTCGAGCCGCGAAAACTTTGAGTCGGTTTTTTGTAATGGCGAGCACGCGCTAAGCTGCCATATGGCGCCGACAGACGAGCAATAACGACGTTTTTGTAACCATATTTTAAAAGTTAATAATCATAACTTTATCCTTTTTAGAATATCCAAGAAATATTAATGAAGTCATTCATTCACAAACAGTATTCGACTAAAATGTACTGACTATTTGGTTTTAGTCGATTACATAAACCCAGCACAAAGTTTTAGCGATCTAAATTCGAATGTATTTTATAATCGCGAAGAGACGCATATCGCGCCAATTCCCATTTGGGAACGGAAGTCGAAATATGAATTTTTAAAATTAGAATCAAATGCGGTGCGCAGGTGAGCGGCGTGACAAGCCGCTGTCGACGACAGGCCGCCGTGCCGCCCGGTGTTTTGACATAAATAATTTGGCCTCATTAATTAATTAAAAATGTAAATAGTCACAATTAAGGAACACTATAATTTGACTACGATAAAGATGTTATAAGAATTTAGTTGTTGAATGATTTGAATGCAAATTGTTTGCTTATTTGTTTCTCTGTTAGTAGAACAGTTAATTTGTCGTTCATTCGTTTCTTAGATTAATCTAAATTCCTTAATACTTATCTATGACTCATGTTTAACACTACATTTTATAACCATTATTTGATATTTATTTTTGTCAATACGACTAGATACTTAAAATAACGATAATT